TGTTAAAATGGATCTAAGTGTATGTTATATTGTTTTCCTATCCTTACATAATATTTTAGTACCATAAAAACTCAACAAAACAACCAACCATGATGAAAACACGTACCTATATCATAGACCAAGAATCACTACATTAACTATACTTACGTTTTTATCGCTTAAGAAACTTTTATTTCTGCAAATACAAATTCGAAGGACATGAATTCATAAAAAAACGCGTTGTTCGACCAAAGTCAATATTGATACAGACAGTACCGACCGAGAGTGTCCGACCTGAAACAAATTTGGTACCCGAAAACATTTTAAACCATAATATATTGTCCAAACAGTACCAGAGACGTGCATCTTGCCCGTAACGGGTCAACCTTTTTTTTCTCATTTAATGACTTTTCCTCGAAGCCACGACAGCGACTCATGAATAATACACGATATTTGGGAAAAATCGATCGTTGTTATACTAAAATCCATTTTCATATATGCGAAGTCAATCGATATTATAACATTATGTAAATAATGCCAAACTTTATTTATTCTATTCACAATCCCGTGAACATTCTCGTGACGATATATTGAACTTCATATTCCACGGCCATCACGGTCTTTCTGCCGAGGAGCAAGGGGAAAGACACCTTGCTGACTCTTATGAGGGCTCAGAACTCTAATGTAAGGACATCGAGTTGGCGAGTTATCAACTCGACGGAGGAGGGTCATGGTCAGGTCCTCACAGTAGGAATTGACCTCAAATCCAAGGAGGCAATAGAGAAAGAGTGATATATTCTCTATTATAGATACAAGACAACACCGGTATCAGGTCTAAGGAGAGACCAAGTTAAAGAGGTGGAGAAAATGGAGATAGATCTTCCAGCCTCCACCTCACGGGTACTTCAGCCGGAGGCAAGCTCCTCGACTGTGAAGGGCACGGTGGACCAAACTCCAACCGTGGTAGGGTGTATACCCTAGGAGGAAGAACATCGGTTGTCAGAGGAGGATAGGAAATACCCTGTCCCCCCTACAACAGGAAAATGCCATGATGGGTTATATATATATATATATATATACAGTGTGATGGAGTTATAACTCAAGGAATCTCAATAGATCTTTAAGGTCGCAGTGATTAACCCTTCCTCTCACTCATTCTACATTCTACATGTTTAATTCTCCGATTCACATGATCGTATTTTAGTTTAACGTCATATCGCATGTTAACTAAGAAATTTAAAAGAGGATTGCTTAATTTAGGATGTATTTTTTGTTTTAATATTTTTTATATTTTTTCTAATCTTAATATTGAACTCATCTTATTACTTCATCTTATTTATTTCTATTATATCCATCCAGTCTATGCTGATTGCTGCGTTAGATTTGGTTTCGTTGCTGGGGTTTGAAATTCTGATTGATTCCTCACTCGGAGGCCTTGCCATATTGTATATTGTATAGCAAACCTTTCTCTCATTCTTTCTTTGCGTTAAAGCACTTTCAGCTCTGTGCAAAGTTCCCGATGTCGCTGATATTGGCTTTTGCTGCTTCCTCTAGTCCCTCCAAAAACCGTGCCCTAAATTTTTAAAGCGTCAATTTTCCTGTGCCGGACAGTGGCACAGCAGGTGCTCTATGATCATTTCTTTCTTTCTGCATTCTCTACAGTAGTCGCCGTTGGAAATCTTCCATCTCACGAGGTTTGGTTTGGACGTGGGACAATTTCCAGTGACGACATCTACAATTATGCGTACTAAGTTCTTTTTGTGCACTAGTTGTTTTTTGCTATTTACCACTGGACATAGTCTTCGAGATGTAGCCCTCACGGTGTTGCCACGTCTCTTCCTGCTTAGCCTTGATGGTTGTTTCTATAGCTTCCTTCAGTGTGTTGATCGACACAAGTGGTGGGTTATCTGCCCCTGTAGATATATTTTTGATGTTTTTTAAATGCTTGGTCTCGTCGTTTAAAGATTGTTAGTTTTCAGGTTTTGTGCTGCTGAAAACACAGAAAACTTAAGTCTTTTTTGATTATTAATTAAATAATTTTTATTACTTAAGTCATTTGATTTTAAGTATTTTTTTCGAAAGCTGACTTAAGACTTAAAATTTAAGTAGTTTTCAAAATGATTTTGGATTTAATATTCCGAAATAGAAAAAGAATTCAGTCATTAAAAAGGTTTAAATCTTTTAAAAGAGTTAGTTAGATAAGTCAGATTTAATTAAAAAATATTTTTTATTTAATTTACTCTATAGACTTAAGTCATAAAAATGACTTAAATTACATTATGTCTATTGATTTAAGTTTATACGAAAATCACTTGAAGGAAAATAATTTAAGTCAGAGACTTAAGATTTAAATTATTTAAACGTTATGTTGAAATTGACTTAAGATCTATACAGGGTGTCCCAGAAATAAGTGCAAATATTTTAACTGGTAGTATAGTTCAATCCCAGAAACATGCCTATGAGTTTTTTTTCGCAAAAAAAATATTTCAAAATTCTAAATTTTTTGAAAAATGTTTTGGATTTTTTTTTTATTTTTTAGTTAAAAAACATAATTTCTTGATAATATGGCAACATAGGTATTAGATTAAATTTACAAGAAAGAAAATCTAGAAAAGATCCAGTGGTTCTCAAAATTTTAGCAAAAAATCATTTTTTTAGTAAAATGACTCCGTTATTTTGGACTTATTTGAAAAACGATAAAGAGAAAATATGTTTCTTTTATCGAGATCTACTACCCCTTACAATATTTGCACTTATTTCTGGGACACTCTGTATAATATTGATTTTAGAAATAATTTAAGACTCAAGGTTTAAGTCTTTTTGAAACTGAGATATTGCAGCTCTGCATATTATGAACCCCAGTATAATACAGTGTACCCCGGATTGCCTTTACAAGAATAAAAACTTTTTTATTATATACCGTTTTAGAGAAAATTTAAAAAAAAACATGAAAATATAGCTGAATTTTGTTGAAGTCCTAAAAATCAAAACTCGTTTTTATGATAATATGATTTCGTTTTTATTCTTTGATAGATGGTTATTAATAGAATTTTAATTAACGTCATATTTTTTGCCGTTTTGAAATGCTAAAGAAGCACAAAATGTATTTAGTATTGCTACGGAAAGGATGATATAATCTTCTTCTTCAAGTGTCATGTTCCTAGTGAACGTTGACGACTGCCATGTTAACAATATCTCTGTATCGCTCTCGATCTCGCGCTACATGGAGTAATTCATCCGCGCTCAAACCTGCCGAAAGCTTCTTGCATCCAACCCACTTTTTTCCTTCGATTTTTCCGTTAAGGATCAGTCGGACAAACTCATATCGAGGTCCTCTGGTTATATGGCCAACGTATTTAAGTTTTCGTCGCTTGAAAATATTCAGAAGTAGTCTCTCGTGCTCCATTCTTCGAAGAACTTCATCATGTCTGGTTCTGGTGGTCCAAGATATTTTAAACATTCTTCTGTATGTCCACATTTCGAAAGCTTCCATTTTATTTATCGCTTCTTTAATAAGCGTTCACGTCTCACATCCATACAAAAGAATCGACCACACTTAACACTTCTTGTACACTTCTCTCGTATTTGGATGTTTAGTGGACCATTTGAGAGCAGCGACGTTTGAAATGCATTTCTTGGCTTGTTCTACGTAACATCTGATTTCGTATGAAGGAACGATATGTTGGTTAAGCCAACAGCCTAAGTATTTAAACTTCGCCACTCTCTCCAACGTTTCTTCATTCAACAATAATGAGGTCTCGCCGACATGTACTTTACTCACAATCATATATTTAATTTTATTTATATTAATATATAACCCCCAGTTCCAGCCATGACACAATAGTTATCGGAAAATGTGATACTTTAACAACAGCAAAAAATAGGCAACGGCCCAGTTACGTCGAAACACCGGTTCCCATTAGAACACCGAAGTTAAGCGACGTAAGGCGATACTAGTGGATGGACGGGTGACCGGTTCGAAACTCTGTATCGTGCAAATCTATTGACACACACTGCTCATTCACGCCGGTTCGAGGAGGCCGGATGAGGTCGGATATCTCGTGAGTAAGAGTTGATTTAGTCGACTTGTCAAGTCGGTAGGCCATTGACCATGATATGGACGAGGACCGCGGTTCGGATTCCGAGTAAACAAAGTAGGCCCCGTCCAGATTAGCTCTGGCAGCAAAAAGGAGACGTTAACTGAAATCTTTACTTTACTTTACTTTTAACAGCAAATATTATCAAAAACAAAAAAAAAAAGCAAAATAAAACACTAAATCACCACAATACACCAAAACACTTTTACTATTACACTGGATGCGCGTTTCGCTAACCATGTTAGCATCATCAGTAGATGATTAAGACTCATTGAGTCATCGTTTGAGACTTAATCATCTGCAACATGGTTAGCGAAACGCGCGTCCAGTGTAATAGTAAAAGTGTTTTGGTGTATTGTGATGATTTAGTGTTTTATTTTGCTGTGTAACACCAAAGGTTCCAACCCCCAACGGTAAGCAAAAAATATGACGATAATCAAAATTAATAATAACCACCTATCAAAGAACAATCAAAGAATGAAATTCAAATGATATTACTATAGAAACGCCTTTTGATTTTTAGGACTTCAGCAAAATTCAACTATATTTTCATGTTTTTTATTTAATTTTTTCTAAAACGGCATGGAAAATTTTGAAAAGAATAATCGGGATTAACCATTTTAGAACAATGCATTTTTCTCAAAATATTAATAATAAAAATGTTTTTCTCTCCTCTTATGAAGACAATCCGGGGACGTACTGTAGAATCGCTTAGATTTGGCTAAGTACTTCCAAAACTCCAGACCTTCAATCTATCCATTCACTATTTTTGTCTAAATAGACTTGACTATATCGTTTATTTATCTGTTTAACAATTAATACTTGTATATTAAATTAATTATAGAGTACTAATTAGTGGGTAATTTAGTAAGAACGTGTTAATTTGAGAGAACACTTTCAATCATTTTCGCTCTCGATTTGCAGGAGGATGTTCCCAGTGGTCAAGGTCACGGCTACCGGCTTAGATCCTAAGGCCATGTACACCGTCCTTTTGGAATTTGTCCAGATCGACCCTCACCGGTGGAAGTACGTCAATGGAGAATGGGTGCCAGGTGGAAAGGCGGAGGTCCCGCCGTCTAATCCGATCTATGTTCATCCGGAAAGCCCGAACTTCGGTGCCCATTGGATGAAGGAGTCCATATCTTTTGCCAAAGTCAAATTAACTAATAAAACAAATGGTAAATATTTATTTTATTTGTTTGTAATATTTTATGCAGTATTTTTGGTTTTTAAATATTTTTTACTCAGTACATTACCCGTGAGTTTTTTACAATTAAAATTATTTGAGTGATTGTTAACCGTATCCAGAAAATTTCCCGAAAACAAATGGCCGAAGGAAAATTGACCGAATTTTTATTTCTGTTAATAGTAATTCGGTGATATTTATTTTCAGTCAACAATATTTTCGGGTAATTTTCACCCGGTTAATTGTTTTCGGGTAATTTTTATAGATGCATTGTCAACATTCACTGGATTTTTAGACTTTCACTGTAACATACCAGGTGCATCTCAAAAGTGACTCACCCTTATAACTTTTTATGTTTTCAAATAAAAAAAACGCGATTTGGCATGTTAGTATATGCCATAAATTAGGTTTGATTGACGTATTCAATTGTTTTTAGTCACTTCCTGTTACACCGGAAATAACTACAACTTTTGATTTTTAAATGGTACCACCGGTATGTTTTTACTATATTCGATAGAAAATGACACTCAAATGAATAGAATAACATATCATATGTCAACTTTTGACATTTTACCTTAAAAAATTGCATTTTAAATTTCAATCTGGAGTGCCATGGCTGTGTTAAAAACACTATTTTTTAATCAGGGAGCCTTCGAAGAATATATTTGATCGTCTAATGTTTTTCGTGTCTTGTCTTGGCCGGTTAAAATATGTCCAAATCGTATTTTTAATCTTATCTAAATTATTCCAAAATGGAACAAGTGTGGCTCATTAGCAAATTCGGAAAATGCATTTTTTACGAATAATTTGGTACCACGCATTTTGTATTTCGGGTCAAATTGTCGTTATGAACCGCATGTTACAATTTCAAATAAACCATATGCGAAACTGTCAATAGTTGACATATGATATGTCATTCTATTCAGAGTGTCATTTTCTATCCAACAAAGTAAAAAATACAGAGAGTGCCATTTAAAAATTAAAACTTGTAGTAATTTCCGGTACAGCAGGAAGTTATCGAAAACAATTGAATGGACGTATTCAATTGTTTCTCAAATCAATCCTAATTTATGTCGTTATTTATCTGAAAAATTTTTTTGAGACGCACCATGTATATAAAATTTATTCAGTCCTTAGGAACTTTAATGTGTTTAATTTCTATTTATTTATGTAAGGGTAGTTGTTATCGACAATACTAATTGTAAATTTACTTAATGACAGAGTGGCTATTTGATTAACGATTTAATGTTTGAATAGAGCATAAATAGAACTCACTGCCAGAACTTCTATAAAAATTTCAAAATACTGACTCTTCCTTCTTTATTCGTTTTTGAATCCGTTTGCTCAATCCGCAAGAACATATATCTGCTATTCTCGAAAGACCATCTTACAACTATCATCTTAGGAATGCGGACCACGATCTTTATCTGCCATCCCCGAGCTCAGAACTAGTTAAAGTAAGGCTCAATACTGTACAATCATCTGTCTTTGAATATCAAGTCGCTTTCATTCTTTCCCGCATTTCGCAAAGCTCTAAAATTATACTTACTGGAGAGAGCCCTATATGCGGTAAACGACTTTTTTGTTGATGTTTAATCATGAACAATTTTGAATTTTAAAAATTTGATCATCTCACACATATTTTATAATTCTTAAATGATTCTATCCATTTACAATTTTCCTATTGTAAAATTTTACGTTTCGATATGCCTTTTTTGTGTTCTGCAATGTCCATGTATTAATGTAATTTTAATGACGTATTTTTTTGGAATTGTATGATTTGTATTGTATGATATTTTTTATTATTTGTATATTTTTTGTGCTTTTGTTTGTTTTGTAAATGCTTTGTCGATAAAGCTATTTTGGCTTTTTGTACAATAAAGCGTTATTTTTTTTAATAATCGAGGAAATTGCGAAACTATACCAAAAGTTAATGTGCTAAGTTTTTTATATATTTTTATATTAGAAGTAGTAATTATATTAATTATATATAGTCCGCGTTGGAAAGGAAACCCATTGACGGGTTTTAGTCGCAAATGACTATGCAAAATTGGCGTTAGAATGGTAGTATTTTTGAGATTTTGTAATGCATATAAGAACATATTAGATATATACAAATAATATTGTAATATTGTTTGTGATACACTCTAGCGAAGAAAAAACAATAATATATTTATTTTTTAGGAAATGGTCAAATAATGCTGAACTCATTACACAAATATGAACCAAGGGTGCATCTGGTTAAAGTCGGGACGGAATCCAGACGTGTTATGACGTTTCCCTTTCCCGAGACGCAGTTTATTGCAGTAACGGCGTACCAGAATGAGGAAGTGACGTCCTTAAAAATTAAATACAATCCTTTTGCGAAAGCTTTTCTTGATGCCAAAGAGAGGCCAGAGAACAGTTTTGTTCAAAGGGGAGACTATTCGCCGACATACCAACAGCAGCCTCACGCGCAATGTAAGTTTTCGCGTAGATTGTTCACATAAATCAAAATCATATATTCAACCGTAATATTGGCATTTCTTTCAATTTAAAGGTCTAAAATTTCTGCTATTGTCAAGAGCAGAAATTTAAGATTTATCATTAAAATAATCACTCAGTATATTAAATAAATTATATTTCTATAAACAAATTATTTCCACAATGAAAATTAAACTAGAACAAGTTGACGTCAGGCTAAGATCTGAAGGCTAACTTTATATGTATTTATTTTCATTTTATTTCATCATCTTTTAAGCAGGTTGTTTTGTTTGTCAATTCATTATTTTTCTCTTTTAGATGGCTCATGGTTTATTCCTCATCAGTCAATTTACCCAGCACCAGGTCAGATGTCTCCTTGTCAGTACAGAACTGGTCCAAAGCTGATAAGACAGAAGTCTGCTCCTTATTTATTGAATCGACAGAAAAGTACGTCACCAGTATCGCCCCCACCAAATGGTAAGCATAAATATTTTAATATTTTACATAATTTTATATTTATAAACGTCTACTCTTTTATATGGAACCATTTGGCCTGTTATGATATCCTTAAAATACTTCTAAAAGTAAAATTTGGACGTAAAATGCTTGTTTTCTAACTGATTGTTTTATTTGGAATTAGATTTAATCCATTTATTACAGTTTTGAATGTTGGATCAGATATTTATATTTTTAAAATCATGTGAAACTTCAAAGAATTGGATTTGACTCTTCGGTTGATCTGATTATTGGAGGGCGGGTAATCTGAAATGAGTACAGCGTATAGGCCTGATTGGGGCTCTTATTCATCATTTTCCGGGAGTCATACATCATATAAGCTACCTTCTTTTCTGAACGTGCCTTATGATCAGGAGATCCTAAGTTTGTCTGACTGCCATTGTTTGCTAATTCATCTAGCGTTATCCAGTGTGCCCACGAGGAGGCGAACTAGCTATGCACTCCATATTATATCCCCCGTATATATAACCTCTATTTCTATTCCCTTCCTCTTGTTTTTTTTGTAGAACCTTCAAAACAAGAAATTGAAAGAACTAGTCGACTCTCATTCTTCAAAGTGTTAATGTCATCCACGATGTCTCAAACAAGGAGAAAATGATAAATGGTGATGTTGAGATAATAAAATAAGCGTCATTCGTATGTTTTGCTGGCCAATAACATGCCAATTACAGTACGTCTCGTCTATCCGTTCTGTAGGTACGAGGCATCCGTAAGGAGGGAAATGATATTCTCTCGAGGTTTCTCGTAAAAAACTAGACGACGCTTCCTATCAGTATAAATTCGACAAATTTGCAAGTAGCCAATGAAGTGAGTGGGCGGAGTATTTTGCTGTGACATACTCGTCAAGTCCACATGGTTCCATTTACGTAGCGATTTATAAAATATATTGTTGTTTTTTTAAATGTTTTTTTTGTCCGCATTCCTTTCATAGACATAGATCCAGTAGACGTTCTTTAGATGGCTGTTCAAAAGAGTGAAACTAGAGACTCAATGTTACCTACAATATTAAATACATATCGGGGCATCTTAACTTAAGAGAAACTTAGGTACCAGTCAACAGGTTGCCATAACGACATGCGAATAATACTAGAAGTGCGTTATAGTGATTTTCTGGTTTTACTCTCTTGAACCAAGCAGTCTTTATAAAAGTAAATGACACGTAGAGTTTTGAATTCTCCAGAGATCGTTCTACATTTACAATATAAAGTTGTTTTATAAATATTTTATTGAGTTACAATTCTCCTATAAACTCTAAAATATTTTATTTCCATTACAGAAATTGAGTGTGTGGTATAAATCACTTAAAAATATTTTTTTGCAGTTTATAATCCTCCAGAACACATCCAACAACAACAGATCTACAACTCATCTGGAACGTATTCGAGCTGGTCCTCGATGCCTACGATGCAAGCACAAACGCCCACAACCATCATGTCTCCACTCAACTGTTGGTCCTTGACATCTAGTCCACCACCTCCTCATCAAATCTCTTCCCAGCCTACGCCTAATCAGTCACCTAGTCACCAAATATACCAACACTCACCGCCATCTGTGGCTAGCATCACCAATTTGTCTTATCCCAGTTACTACCATCAAGACATCCCGACCTATCAGAATCCGGAATATTTGGTCAATCCGGTTTCGGAAGTAACTTACGCTCAGTTAGGTTCAGAGCGTACTCCAGTGATTTACAAAGCTGAGCATCTTCAAAGTCTGGACAATGTTTCTAACGATTATGACAACATCAAGTCAGAATGTTCGACGAGAACACAGCAAGAAGATGGGGCTAGTCCGGCACCAGGAACACCCCGTAGCGAATGGGTGCAACAAACTCATTTGCAAAATTAAAATTTGAGAACTGTGTATAATTTGTGAATGTATATTTTTTATATTTTTAAGATTGTTTTTGGTTAATGAACACGGTATAATTATGGTTGTACGATTTAATAGGTATTGCTTGCAAGCAACGAAGCAATACTTGATCGTGATTCGGTTGGGCCGGTCCTAATCTGAATTATAAGAATAAAAATTATTTATACATATATATGTAAAATAAATAATTTGAAATTGAGATTTGTAAGTTGTGTTTTTACCGCGACATGTAAAACACTATATTGTGTTGAGATCTCGGAATTATTGTCATGTTTGTGAAGTAATGTGTAATAAAGTGTAAATTTTAAATTTATCTTTTATATTGTTTTATTTGTACACGGTGAGTCAACGATAGAGTCTATCAATTATATAGTTGTCAATAATTAGATAATCTTGGATTGCCCTAATCTGTGCTATTCCAAGGAAAATGCAAGTATCATCTTTCATAGTATAGAAATACACCAAGAAATTCATGACTGCGATTTTAGTTTATTTGAGTAAAGTTAATTAATTTTAACTAATAATAACAATGGTGTAACTAATTATTAAATTACTTGTTAAAGATAAGTAATAAAAATTTTGTTTTGTCATGGCAACTATGATGTTATAGCGTAATAATTGTTTTGAAAATATGGGTTAAAATAGAAAAAATTGGAATAAATGGCAAACTATTAAAAATAGGTATATGATATTCTTAATAAAAGTTGAAGAGTTTTGTAAAATCTATCAGAAAAAATTATAATATACATGTAACCCCTAAAAGATTCAAGGCAAAATTTAAATAGTTTAGCGAAGGCGATGGGAAATACCGAAAATAATAAGGAAGCCAGCTGGAGTTTTAGGGGGTTAGGTCTGATTTGTTTTGGCAGTCAAACGGATAGCACCTTTTGTATTTTTCTAATAAAAATTGATAAAATTTCAGTGGTGAAGTTTTAATTTTGTGTATTCTTACATACAGTGTCCGGCAATAGTGCGTCGGGCATCTGTAGCTCCTATAATAAAAAAACTTGAGAATTTTGTTTAAGTGTAGATCTAAAGTATGTACCAGGATGTATTTCAGGAAAATATTTTAACTTCTATAGAGTGGATCAAAAAAGCGTGAGCGGATCTGGATGTTTTTTTTTAAATAGATCATCCTATATGTTATTGTATTTTTGGCTTCCTTTCAGATCACTTTACATAATCCTAATATATAAAAAATTTATTAAAAATACAAGAACTGTTCTGAAATCAAAACTATATTAGGTATTTATTGTAGATGGTTTGTTCTTACTTTGCTATAAATATGGTAATCGTAAATCATACACGATGTTCAAAATTCTACGCCAAACTTTCTCAAATATAACATTTTTTTCTTTTTTTTATGGAACACCCTGTATATTATTTTTTATTAGATGAAGAGTTAAAATTGAATATTTTTGGAATTTAAAGTATTTAAAATTTTCCAATAGTTTTGCAGATATACGCAGTATTATTTCATATGGCGCTTTCAATGGTAAAATACGAGAGAAAAAATATTGGGTGGCTTTGATAAAAATTTACTGTGGAAAATGCCATATGAAATATATTTTTTTATGGAACACACTGTATATTATTCCATTTTTGTCTTCCTTTCACATCACTTTACATAATCCTACGACATGAGTAAATATATTTCGATAATTTTAGAGATATTAATAAATAAATAAAAAATATAACATTTTTAAAATTTTTTTACAAATACAAGAACTCTCTTGAAATAAAAACTATATTATTTACTTTAGTTGATCTGTACCGAGTACTTACTTTGCTATAAATAAACGTATAAAATACAAACTTTCTAATATATAAAATAATTTTTATTTTTTTTAATGATACACCCTGTATATTATTTTTTATTAGATGGATAATTAAAAAATTAACATTTTTTGTATTTAAAGTATTTCAAAATGTTTAATGGGTTCGCAGATACACGCAATATTATTTCATATGGATCTTTCAACGGTAAAATAGCAGAGAAAAATCATTGGGTGACTTTAATAAAAATTTACTGTGGAAAATGCCATATCAATTATAAAATTATCGCAAATATCTGCGAAACCGTTAAAATTTTTGAAATACTCTAAATACAAAAATTATTTTAAATATCAAACTAAAACCGTTTAAACACCATTTTTATTAAATATAAAAATAAATTACAACCTTTTTTAAGATCAACTGGCAATAAGCGCTATGAAATAATAAAGAGTACGGCGAAGTTTAAAGAAGTACGATCTGTAAGAAGTACGTCCTCGTCTAAGTCTTGACCTCATATGGTATTTCCAGAAATATGCGCACTACGTATTTAATTAATATCTTAATTTAGAAGACCAACAATCCAACCCTAGCAACATAAAATAGCGGCTAAGGGCTACCTGCCCACCGCCAAAAAGCGCATTTGCTATACACAGTCAACATTTCGCAAGTAATTTTTTTATAAATCCCAAATAATAACTTCATATACCCAAAGTTGTTTTCTATTATTATATTATTGTACTCTATATACAATAATTATTATATACATATATTTCCATCTTTTGCAATCGAAGTTAAAGTAGGATGGATTCAAATCAATAAAACTAAATTTAAACTTTATTTTAGGCATCTGAGACTTAAAGATTACTACCTCTATCTTACACTAACTATGTCTATTTATTTCCTATCGATTATATTTTTATCAGTTTAATTATATCTATTGTATTATTTTGAAAAAATAAAAGTTAGATGGCTTCAAATTAAAAAATCTAAATTTCAATGGAAAATAAACATAAATTATTTTGTTACCTTCACCAAATTGTCAAGACAGTAAATAATTGAGTTGCCTGCCATCACACAGAATATATTATGATTACTTGCATATATGCTAATTAGCAGTAACTGGTTGGTCAGTGCTCTGAAAATCATTATACAGGGTGTCTCAGATTTTAATCGGGAAAATTTAATAGACGATAGAACTTGCAAAAATAAAACAAAAAGTTCATATCAACTTGTAAGATTTAAAGCTTCCTTTTCGAGATACAGGGTACCATTAGAATACCAATTATAATAGTAATTACCAATTAGAATTTATTTTTTTTTGCAAGAAGTAAGCAAGATAGACAAAAAAGTCAGGAGACAAAAAAATATTTTTAATTACTAAATCCAAAAGTAATATTAAACTTCTAAAAAAGCAGTGGCGTGCCTATTTTTTTCTTTAAAATAATTTAACAGTGATGCCCCACCGCCGCCCCTGGCCATTAAACTTAAATCTATTTACATCAAATTAACTCCAATAGTAAGTATTATAAACGGGTCAAGTTATATCAAAATCGATTAAATAGTTTTTCAAATATCTTAAATTTTTTTTTCTTTTTTAAGTAACTTTAACACCCTGTATCTCGAAAAGGAAGCTTTAAATCTTACAAGTTGATATGTACTTTTTCTTTTATTTTTGCAAGTTCTATCGTCTGTTAAATTTTCCCGATTAAAATCTGAGACACCCTGTATATCTATTATCATTATATATGGCAATACGTCTTTATCATATTCTGCCTAGAGGAAGAATGCGCGATAATGGTGGTTGCCTGTAATTTAATTCAAATTTTGATAATTTTTTTTTGATGTCGTCTGGCAAATTATACATTTTTTTGCTAGATGGATATACATATACAAATTAATTAGGTCTTAATGCCAGTTCAGTTATATATCTTAATATAAAATAATATATTTAAAAAATAGGATATAACCTTGATATAACCAATACAAAATCGAAATAATTTTAATTAGGATCTTTTATTATTTAATAAACATTTATATGAATGATTAGAGCATAATAAATTACTACTTATCTAACTAATTATACACAATACCAATAAAAAAATACATCAAGATCATAAAAATGAAGGACGGTATAAACAAAATGTTGTCATATATCTGAAGAAGACTAGAAATGTCTAATTTACACTGAAGACTCCATCTATCTACACATGAATATATAAAATATTGTTCTCTTGGACCAGCCGTAATAATTTAACAAAAATGGTTTGCTTAAAAGTATTCTCTTGACACCCATATCATTAAATAATTTTTAATTCGAAGACAACTTTTGAAAGTACTTACTTATTTTAATTCTTCTCCTCTGTATTCTAATAAAAATATCATTAGGAAATAACATCCTCAATATTTTTTTTATAAGTAATATTAATTTAGACATAAAAAGTACTTTCAAGACTAGTTAAAGTTTAAAATCTTATGAATCACGTGATCATAAGATTTACACACTTGATGTACATACTTTATTTACTAGAACAAGTAGGTATTTTAGGTGAAATATATAAAAATTCGCTGGCCCCTTAAATTGGACACTGGCAAGAAAAGTATTTAATTTTATTTAGCATATACCAATTCAATACATTTGTTTATTGTTAAATAAATTCTTCCAAATTAGGTATATATTTTAAAATAAAACATATCAAAAATATATTTCCATAAAAAATTCACAATATACTGTGGATATTCGAGAGCAAACTTTCGAAATTAGCAAGAGGCCTTGATTCTAACTCATTTCAAAGACAATTTTTTCCTGATATCAGAGACTTATGTGAAATGCCTGTATACTCAACAGTTGGTCAATGATCAGGTCTTATAACAAATCAAATTATCAGTCATTTAAAAATCAGAAGTTGTAGTCATGTGATTACAACTTCTGATACCCTCGATTTTTTACTTTATTTAATAGAAAATGACAGGCTAAGTAGAATGACATATCATATGTCAACTTTTGACTCTTTGAATTAAAATAAGATATGTTTTAAATTTTAATCTAGAGCTTAAAGCTTCATGGCTATGTTAAAACCATTACTCAAGGAACTTTTGAAGAACAGATTTGATCGTCTAATGTTTTTCGTATCTTTTCTTGGCCTGTTAAATGATGCCCAAATCGTATTTTTAATCATATCTCAGTTTTTTTTCAAATAGAACCAAGGTGACTCATTAGCTCATTTTGAAAACCCCCTTTTTTAAGAGTAATTTGGTACCACCTACTAGGAATTTCGAGTGAAAGAGTCGTTTCATTTTCATTTATGCGGGTGGTGAAGAAATCTCGTAGAGACTGATATGGATCTTCTCTATAACAGCACTGGATATATCGAGAGATAAATTCAGAAACGCCTACACAAAAGATATTCAAAACAAAAAAAAAATGAAAGATAATCAAAACCATATGTATCTACTAAAGCCCTAAGACGAGACCAATGGAACAATAGAACCGAATTGATATTGCCCATCAATCAACAATTTTTTTTTTCAAACGAGTTTTTGATTCTAAATTTACGAGTTTTTATATTATCAGAAAACAATTTTCAATATTCTTGCTCTTTTCTTTACCTATTTCGCTGGAAGTATAATTTAAAAAATGGATTGCTGTAGCTCTTCGTTTAGCTATTGCGCTTATTCAATACGTCAATATTGCCTAAATGGCTGAAAATAAAGGTTTCTATTGAATAAATATTGCTATCAAGTACATTATGGAAGACAATTTCAGTTTTGCAAATGTCAAATTACTATGGAGACCAAGAGGGACCACAAGAAGTGTCAGTTGACCAAAAAAGAGATCGGTCGATGACTTTAGAATACTGGTAGGAAGAAAATGTATGAGATTGGCTAGAGATCGCATAGCATGGAAAACCCTAGAAGAGGCCTATACACAACATTGGAGCCAGGCTGAGAAAGAAGAACTGTATTGTATAAAAGCATTAGTTGATAACTTTTATGTGCTATAAATTATCATTAGATATACTGTAAAATGTACCTTGTAAATTCTAAGGGCTTTTCTCAAGAACTTAAAATGGTTTGATAGAATTTTTTTGTCAGTTAATAATTAGTAAATCAAAACAAATAAAAAAGTATTTCCTCGATATTTTGACACTTTTAGGGAATAATTTAAACCTTTGAAAGTATATAGAATCAAGACCAAGTATGTCAATCATAAAATTGTTAGGATGGTAGCATTTTGAGCTACCTATGGTGTAGTCACGATGAAAATCAAATATTACTTTACATAGTACAGTTCTTGATTTAAACATGGGTCCCATCGAGGGAATGGACCTTGTTCAGTCTATCTCTAAGATGAGCAGCTTCGATCTGCACTCTGGCTTCCTTCCTCCCTAGCGGACTACGTAGTGAAAATTTGGTGTCCCTCTTAATACAATGCTTCGGCGAATGCACGGGAACTATTGCTTCTGAAGGTTTTACTTTGAAGTTTTCGGTTTCGTCTATGGCTCCGTTATCTATGACGGTTTTGTTGTCGGCTTTGGACTTTTTGTGAGATGCCAATGAGCTTGACCTAGAAAAAATATGTTCTTAAACAAAAAGGAACCCTACTGATACTAAAAGAATTGCACACTTCCATTATCTCAGACTTAGGGATTCCATGACCATTTTAGCGATTTACAGGTTACCCATGGTTTACCTGTTAAAATTTACTAAAAACGCTGTAAAATATTACCGGTAAATCGTCTTTAAACCCCGTTAATTTTGGTAATCATTAAAAAAGAAATATACATTAGGTTAGAGGCCAGAAGCCAAATTTGCCAGAACTCATAAATTAGAGGCCCGAAACTTTTATTACGATTGCAATAGATTTATTACAAAATTTATTCTATAATGCTATTAAAATATTCATAATTTTTGTTATTTATAAGTGTTTTCAAGAAATCACTTAAAAATATATTATTTCGAGTTAATTTGCGTCAAAAAAATATGGTATAATTTTTAATCGCAGCATTGCAACCAATAAAAGTTGCTGTGGTGTAATTAGTATTTTGTCGTAAAAATTCCAATAGTTTATAACAAATTTTGCTTTAAAATTTAGGATTGCTAAGGTAACAAATCAGAGCATAACTTTAAGTATCTTGTCAATGTCATTCAATACTTACTCTGCTGTACATTATTCTCTTTGTAAACAATCCGATATTAAAAATTACGGAATATAAATAGAATTAAATCCGCTATAACAGAGACAATAGTGTATAGTATTTTCAAAGACAATTCGAAATATTAGAACTTTTAATTCATTTGTACAGACTATATTTTATCCTATTCCAACTGATTTCAGAAAAATTATGACTAGTTCAATGAATCTCAAAGTTCGAAATAAAAGATTTGAACATGAACACTATTGATACTGATTAATTCCTTAAGTTGAATTGGGCTAATATTCCGGTTCTTTCATTGGCAGACACTCTGCTGCCGATTAAGGGAAATCTTTAGTTTCAATATAAAATAAAAGCAAAAGCCAACCAATATAATCCTAGAATACACATGTATGACAGAAGAAAACAGAGCATCGCGTCGTAAAAATTTACGATCTGTTTTCTTCTGTCGATTTTGTATTAATGCGGTCACTTAAACGGGCTGTATTCGACGAATACACATCGATGTAGGTGTTTCATTTGCTGAGTTTTGGTGCGATCGTAAAATTTACGAGTGATTAGTATTAGCGTAAACTTTTTAAACAAGTAGTAATACCAGTTTAGTTGGTAAGATGGATGGTTATACCAAGTTATACTTTCTATTCATAAATGTATACATTATATTTCTTAGAAAATGGATTCAGGAAAACGACCCTTGACCCACCAAGAGGTGGAAAATGAAATACAAAAAATAATGACTGAGAAGGACGATATGGATGGTTCTGAGAGTGATAACGAGAGTGATCGGGAAGAGGCAGATAATTTAAAGGACTCCAGCGATGGACTTAGTGATTTTGAAGGAAACGAGGTTATAGAGGTTGATGTGAACATTTCAGAAGATATATCTGAATAAGATATAGACTACCAGCCGCCTGCTAATCCTTCTGTTAGTGATGGTAGTTCATCTGATGATAACATCATCAAATCCAACCAACCTGATGAAGTTGTTCAGGTTGAAGGCAGAATCGTTCAATATACTTTACCAGCAGATTAAGACGGATGACGACCACGCACTGTCCCCAATGCAAACACCCGATTTGTGCCGAGCACCGGGGTTAAGTTCCAACAAACATATGTTCATTTGTATTCGATAAAAATATGAAGCTTACATGGGTTTTTGTTTTATTGGCACATTAGATTTACCATATAAAAGAACATATTAGTATTCTAGGGTTAACCAGCTGTAGAATATATAACATCTATGGTTATTGCCTAAACATTGAAAACAGAAATCTAATATTTTCAAAGGAATTAGAGGAAATATTTGAAAATGCTGCTTTAAGTTAATAATATTTGGTTTTATATTTTTAATTTTCCGCTTACTGTTCGCATTAATGCAACTTTTTCATTTACCGGTAAATTGAATAATAACAATTTTTTGAGGAAATTTTTTGGGAGTTTCGGTGCATCGATTTTAGTATTAGCAAAATCAGGAGATAATTTATTATTATTATTCTTTACTTCTTTATCTTAATTTTTAACTCTATGTCTTTATCATTTATTATCGAAGTTAGATACACTATTTTTTGACACTCTGTGTATTAATTAGAAAGTAAACTTGATAACTGAACACCTGATGTAAGTTAAAGTAAATAGACAATGGAAGTTCGAAATTCATTTAGTATCAACACTGACTCAAATTTTCTACTACATTTAAAAAAAGGTAATATCTTAAAAAGGGTACGTAAATCATTTTAGAAAAACATACCGATTAACAATAGGTTCAGACAACAATCGGGAGACGGGTTTAAAATTTGTATTCTCCAGATGAACGGAAGAAGACACGGGAGTATGCGGAGCCGACTGAGAAACTGCCATTCGATTGATAGTAGCCGATGTGATATCCCTATCTATCGATTTCATCGACTTCATGTTCTCCAGGTTTTGTGAGCTTAGCTGTCGCATGTTGGGCTGAGATCGGGCGTGCATATTTTTGTGATTTCCTCTCGTAGTATTCCTTCTTACTGGGCCTCCTGTGGTCTTGTTCGTTATTCTCATCGAGCTGTAGTTAATGATCTTTTTGTTAATATCGCTCTTGCCCTGAGTTCGAGCCCTACCCAAAACGGCACTGCCAGCTAAGAAAAAAAATATAGTATTAATATAAACACAGATTCTTCATATTTTATATTTATGTAATGTAGGCGTTATTTCTTATAATTTGAGGAATATATGAATACGTAAAATCGTTAGATTTCCGAAATAAAGACATATTTGGTAAAAGATTTTTATACCAATGTCTTGAAACTACGTTGGACGTTAATCTAAACATACGGAAATAGCTAGTGAAATAGTGACTAAAGACAAAAAATATTTTTGTCTTTTATAGGTTACAGGTAGGTATATCGAGATAACCAAATTTATATAAATATTACTAAGTAGCTTACGAGTATTTCCTGTATGTTTCTTTCTGGTATGAGCCAAAGCATATACCACGGCGGCCAAAGTGCTGTAATTGCTCGCTTGGCGCTGGAAACTGGGCCGTCTACTGCGTTCTTGCCGACCCATCACAAAGTACGTTTCCATCAAACCCTTTCCTTTCACATCTATTATTCCTCGCTTTTTTAATTCATATCCTTTGGCGCCCAATATCTAAGATAACATACGAATGCATGGAACTTTTATGAATAAAACTTTAGCACAATTTTTATCCGCGTATAATCTCTGTTTACTTTAAATATTTCTAAATATAAAGTTTTAGTACATATATTCAGTAGATTATTTTCTTTTATCTATGGGTAAATTCTATTATGTCAATTTGTCAGAATGAATGATTATTATCAGATTTGTTACCAGAAAACCTCAGTTTCTTTTTAAATTTAAAATTTTTTAATCTATTTTTTTATTAAAATATTAATCAGTATCTTTATTTTTTAGTATTAGTTTCTACCAATTGTGTATCAAATGTAATGGACAAGTTAAGAGAGTTTGAACAGAATCACCCATCTGGATGTACATTTGTTCCATTTTGGATTAAATCATACGGTATCTCCGTTATTAGTAGGATAGAAGGATAGAAGGATATGCGGTTGGCCCAAACCCTTATACTATGCCCAAACCTGTCCCACTTTTGGTCAAACGGAAGATGCTGTAAACAAAATTTTCATAGCCCAGTTCGTTTCTGGAGCTTCAGGGTCTTTTTGAAAATTTTGCAATATAGGACGCCCCCTGTCTCTGTTATTGTAAAATGTATCGAGAAGGTGAAAACTCTGTTTATTGTAGAACTTTTTACGTAAAATATAGTGGAGTAATTTGCTGTTCTACGAAAAGAATAGTTTTGAATATACGAACTGTTTTCTTAAATAGCTGTATATTATATTTTCTGTATATTTACGAATCATTCTTTCAATTATCTGGCTTGAGCTTCCCAAAAATATATATCACTCTATATTTATTTTCACTATTTACTGCAACTTAAAAGTTTTCATTAAAAATAATTTTATTGGTAGACTGTGATTGATAATAAAAGAAACAAAATAATTATTAAAAGTATATTGCTGTCTCTTATTTTATTTGAGAGCCACTAATAAATTATTTATGTATCGTGGAAACTTAACACATTACCGTTATTTTTGAATTTTTATAATAGTTTTAATCATCTGCTGATGATGCCAAAGATGATGCCAACATCAGCAGATGTTCGTCGGAATTTACAGAAACACGGGAGGTGTCTCAAAATGCAAAATTTTCGTAGCTTAGAAACGAAGAGGATTATGAAAATTTTGTTTACACAAACCGGATCTTTGTATCTTCACTAATAACGAAGATACCGTATGATTTCTACCAAAATTGGAAACTCAAGTACATTAATATAGGTTAACCAAATAGGTGCCTTATATTGTGAAGGTGTACTAAATAGAAATAAGAAAAATGGTTTCAAAAATAACCCTTAATTTTACCTGGGATGTTTCTTTAGGAACTTGTATGTATCCAATTAAGCCTGTCGAATCCATTCTGGAGGCTAAATTGACTGTATCGCCCCATATATCAAATACCGGCTTCCTGGCACCAATAACTCCACAAACCAAAGAGCCACAAGCAACTCCTATTCGGAGTCCGAAGTTATTGAAAGAATCCTTATTGATATCATCTAATTTGTCCTTCATACACATAGCATAATCTATCAGAGCGCATAAGTGGTGCACACCCTCAGAGTTTTTGTCAGATGTCTAAAACAATAGTGTGTTCTATTATTGTGTTAACAAGTAGTGACGAGCAAATGCCAGACCAAGACAAAAACTCCTCATTACTAAATTCAAGCCTTATTCAAATCCCATATTCGAATTTTCTTAATGTCAGGTTGGATTTTTTATCACTAACCTATAGTATTTACTGCAACTATTATTTAATTATTATGTAATTAGATTAGTTACCTGATGTGTAGGATTCAAACCCGATGCGGCCATATAAGTTGCCGTTGCACTAACAGTCTTTATTTTCTCTATACAGTTAAATCTCTCATCATCTAGAAGCTCATCAAAATCCGCTAAAATTAATCATATTTAAATTAGCATCACCATAACAAAACATATATTATTTAAAAATGTTTATACCTCTGTGGCGGATTCATCTCTTCAAAAAAGTCCTATGGGTATTTTGCCACTATAAGAAAATCTACAAAATAAAATAGTTATTTTTTGTAAACACTGATGGCGTTAATCCTACGGAGACTAATTGTCAACAATAACTATTTTATTTTGTATATTTTCTTACAGTGGCGAAATACCCATAGGACTTTTTTAAAGACATATATTGTTTGTTAAGCTATGACGACCTACCTATAATTTCATTGAGCAGTCTTATACATTCGACGCCTTTGTTGATTTTTTCCGAATAAAAATCGGTAAAGTTAGGGATCGTAGCAAACAGTACTCCAACTTCCTCTCTATACTGGGAGAATAATTCCTGGAAATATTTAAGCAAATAAATTTCAACGTTAGTACTACAACAGTACTACAACTTTCTTCTAGCATATTTCTATTCTATTTCTATCTAGCATATCTTCTATTCTAGCATATTCGTACTTAGAGTAAGATGCCTCAAACTACTATATCACGATATTATTTTCTGGCAATTTTTCATAGAAATTTCTCAATAACGTTGAGATAAACTAAGTTTGATAGACTAGGGATATTTTAATTATTTCCTCTAATCTTTTTTGCAACCGCCTAAATATCACGAATTTCTGTGACCACATGCCACATGCAAAAACATCTCGCATTTTGCTCGCAACTCCTGCTCTAAAGAGAAAACCTCGTGTCAACTTGATGAAACATCCGCGTGCTGGTTTCAAGAATTGACCGAACTCAAGAAGAAGGCAAACAAAACAATTATTATTGTTATTAGCTTTCATTATGTCCAAAATAAGCGGAATAGATAATGAAACAGGGAAGACATGCGGACATTCAAAAATTTTACGGAAACCTAAAATTTGAATTTTTCTGAATTGTTTATTCACTGAACAAAGTTCTCGCAAGAATCTAGAACCTGACTACATACATCAAAATATCCTCGTATCTGAGAACGTTCTTAATGGAGATTGCAATGTAATGAGTAATTTTGCAAAAAATGGATTTTTAAACAGCGTTTTACTAAAACTACCACTATCATCATCATCATCATTGTCAGCTTATTTAGTTTTTAGATAAGTGGCATTACTTGGGTATGTATTGTGGTATGTATGAGCTATAATTTCATACCATCCTGGACTTTGTCTATTCGACAATTGAATAGCACCTGTTGTAACCTACAATATGAAGTAAACCACCACCTCATATCCGTCGATCAAGAACTCTCTGAACAGAGTTTAAAAATATGCAATATGAACTATTAACCTAGCAACTGTATATTTCCAGATTTTCTGGGGCCTACACCATCGGCTCTTACTGAAATTCAGAATTTAGCTATTTGGATTTGATGTTTAGTTTTTGTCGTTGGGGTTTAGATTTTGTTTGCTCGTGTCATGTGTTGCCATACGCTAAATAAATAAATTACTTCGCCACATATAAAGATCACAGCATTAACCATCTAAGGAAGAAGGATGAAACAAATTGAGTCCATCTTAATGAAATCCTAGAACTGTGTGTATGAAAAACTACTTTCGCGGATCTGTTATAGCAAACAGGAGAACAGGAGAATTGGCCAAATGAAATCAACATAAACTATCGGCTTGGCACACTGTCAGAAAGGTGCTGAGTAAAGATAATAATAATAGGTGTTGTAATATTCCCTTTTTTCTCTTCTATAGAAGTCCCGTATGAAAGTGAGCGCACCGTCGAGTTCTGAATTCAGTATTATATGAGTCAAATCTAGGGGAAACGAGTCCACTATTATAAGCTGTACCTTGATATAGTCTGCCCAACAAGGGGATCCATGACAGTGACAGTTGTGTCAGTCATTTTAATTAACAGATAAATTGTATTTTCTGTCATTTTTTAGATGTCATCTGTCGAAATCTTCCTTAAATTTGGACAGACTATACTCCGAAGGCGTGTAAGAGACTTACTGGGAGGGAACTCTTCTTAACAAAAAATTATACTAGCACTCTTTTCAGGTTTAGCTGAGGACTGTTTACGGGGACTACAAGCTTGATGGAGTTTTATTAGATTGATATACGAATCTATTCCGTCTGAATCTTATGAAACGACATGACGGTCTAATATTTCAGAGTTAAAGATCTTAGCTTATGTTTGTAAAATATAATGTAAAAGTACTCACTTCACTATTCCTATCGTTAGACAAAAAATGTCTAGCAACATGTTCCGGTAGAATATTCTTTAATAATTGCTTGTTATTCTGTTTTGTTTCTTCCATGTCAGTCAATTCCCTTTCAGCTTGCTGCTTCCATAAAAAATCTAGCCGAGAAGTGACTTCTACCAATCGCGCATGATAAGCGACCATCAAACAGAAAACCACCAGCAATATCAACATCTGAGCTGACAAAGGAATTACTATTACGTCACTAAAAACAAAATTTGATATTGACAATGAGAATTATAATTTACCTGGTGCTTACCCAATAGCAATAGCATTTACGCTATCAAAAATTGGTTTATATGGTACCAAAATTAGAATGGTATAAATTCCAACCATAAGACTCGCCATAAATAGCTTTACGAGGTAATACAATTTTAAAGCAGTCGCTAGCGCGATCATACATAATACCCAAGTAAAAACTATGTATTCTGGATGTCTACAAGTTACATCGCAAATGATTGTACTGTTCTGAGTACTAACATCAGTACTGTCTGTAGTTACTTCTATCGACGATGTCGCCAAATCACGTTTGAAACGTTTAGATTTAAAGTTAACTAAATGATTAGTTTTATTATTGGTATGAGCTAGATGTGAATGATTAGTTGAGCATGTTACAGATTTTTCTATAGATTGGTGAGTTTTAGAGATTGCCGTTGAAATTGTCGACGTTTGAATTTGTTCCTTTACATTTTGATCCCTTTTGGAGGAATTGGTGTCTTGATTATACAATATTTGGCGTCCATCGTGCATTTTCTCTTGTACCATGTCTGGAATTTGAAATTACACGTTAATAAAGACGGTAAATATACCTTAAATAGCTATGATGAGTATCTTTCATTGATAAATATAGCAATATTCATTGATTCTATTAAAAAATAGTTGAAAAAATTAAAACTATGCTAAAAAGTTTCAGTTCTTATAAGGATGTATTTAGAAATAGGTCCCTTTGGTGTTTCATTTATTAACTATTCTAAATATAAAGTTTTCCCACTAAAAAAGTCGACTTTTTATGAAATAATGTACAGTGATTATAGTTAAAAAACGGGGTATTATACAATCTTTTTTCGGCTTTGAATTAAACAGTTATATTATAGGGCCAATTTAGGGGTTATACTGAATAATATATTTGAAAATATACCAAAGTTTAATTTCAATAAGAAAGAAATGTTCCAATTCTAGTCTACTGAAACCTCTTGGAATTTACAAAGAACGCTTAGAATTTGTGACAATAAATAAGGAATATAATTCTAAATCACGTAAATTTTACCTAATAAATAATAATCTAGATTTAGTTTGTATTTTATATCATGTAATTTATATCTAGAGTTGGCACATGTTTAAAGTTATAATACAGGAATTCTTGCAATTTTTTTGTTTCATTCAATATTTTGTTAGTGCAAAAGTGTAATTTTATTTCTTATTCTAATCAGTTTCATTTTGATTCTCGTTAACTTTAACAACGAACATTCTACAGTATGTTCCCGGATTGTCTTTACAAAAGGAAAAATTTTTATTATTAACACTACCTATGAGAAAAATGAATTATTTATAAAAAATTTTTGTTTCTTCTAAAATGGTTAATCTTGTTTATACTTATCCAAATTCCCATACCGTTTTAGAGTAAAATAAAAAAAAAGAAAATATGGCCGAATTTTCTATTTATCATTCTTTGAATTCTTTATTTTGGTTATTATTAAGTTTTTTGGTTATTTTTAATTTAAATTAATGTCATATTTTCTGCAGATATTAAAAATATGAGCAGGCTCTCTTCAGTCTTTCACCCTACGTGAGAGTATGGTGACATCATGTGTTGATTCCCCTCACTTCCTCGGACCAAGTTGTTCGACACTGCGCCATATGTGAGGTTTCGGGGAGGTTATGGCCCCCTAGGGTTTTGACTTGGTCTACCCATCTCTTAGGTGACCTTCCACGTGATCGTCTTCCCTCTACCTTCCCCTCCACCATCAGTCTCTCAATTGAGGTGCCACTCCTTTTTTAAATAAAAGATATTGTAATATTTGAGGGGTGGTTGCGAGCATGCATAATGTTTTGTGCCGAATCGGTATGCCTCGTCGAGCTATACGCGTGTCTGTTGTGATTGAATGCACATAATAATCATGCATGCAGTAATTTAAAATTAAGTATACGAAGTATGGGATTATGTGGCACAGTATATTATTTATCTATATGAATAGAAAATATTGATAATAAATACAGTTCGTCTGCTGGATCTGTGTCTATGAAAGGAATGCGGACAAAAACATTTAAATAAACAGCAATATATTTTATACGTCGACTTGACGAGTACGTCACCGCAAATCGCTGCGCCCACTCATTTTATTGGCTACTTGCAAATTTGTCGAATTTTTATTGATGGGACGCGTCGTCTAATTTTTTATGAAAAACATCGAGAGAATATCGTTTCCCCTCTCACGGATACCCCGTAGCCCCAGAACGGCAGACGTACTGTATAGTCTGTCCAACGAGAAGATCCTTGACAGTGATAGACGTGTCTGTCATTTTAATTTCAAAGTAGTTTATTTTATTTTCCAAAGAAATAAGTTGGTACAACTGGAACGCATAGCAGGAAATATTTAAAATTTGATTGACAAGATGACAAGTGATTACTTCAAAATATTGTGAAAAAAACTGTATAAAACTGAAAAAATGTAATCGAGTTATTTTATTTAATAAAAACGGTATGTGTGAATACAAAACAAACAAGAACAAGACAATACATACCAAAAAAATATAAAAAAGAACTATTTTTTACTTTCAAGCTTTATGAAACTACCCGCATTTATGATTATATTTATCAATATAACTTATGTACAAATACAAATTTGTAATATTCCACAGGAATAAATAAAACAACATAGGTAAATAAAACAAACTATTTTATTAATAATAACACCTACCAAATTTTATACCTTAAAGGTTGATTAATTAACTTTAATCTTAATTTTTTTAAACCAGTACCTTTTGACATTATTTTTCTGCAGTACTAAAATCCATTATTTACCTATCGTGTGATATCGATATTTTACAGCTACTCCAGTTTTTAGTATGTGTTTAGTTTGATCCTTCTACCATATACAAGATGCACTTATCTACGACGAAATGGTATACAAACTTTATCGATAGCAACTTCATTGGTGTATAAGACTTTCTGCCCTGGCAGCGAGTATTAACCATAAACTGTGCTCTGGGTCTACAGTTAATTTTCACTCGATTTTTCCTCCACTTGACTTCAAAAGACACAAAACACACGTAATAATACGAATCAAAATGCATCATATTCCAAAACGCAGGGTATTTAACAAAAGTTGACACAAAATTATAACCTAGAATTTGGCAAGACTTTGACAAGCGTCAAAAATGACAAAAATCTAAAGGCGAGTTCATACGCATCGGCGTCCGTTTGTCGTTCATCGTTCCGTCAAACCAATAAAATTGAAATACGATCTGTCATTTTTTAAATAAACCAATAAAACTGGTTAAAAACAACAAGAGACGACGCATGACGGATTTATATTTAAACCCATCCATAGATAACTTAAAAATTATTAGAAACTTTTTTTAGTAAAATAAATAGATTGGTATGGGACGTCATCTGCTTTTCTTCTGTCATCGTCTGTCGAAATCTTACCTGAGGAAAAAAACAGAGGATAGTAGATTTTTAAGGTATTCTTAGGCATGCAGTGCATGCGTTGCATTCATGGAGGATTCGCCCCTGAAGTATTTGCAAATGAAGCCATGCGAGGTTCTGAATCAAGCTTTAGGAAAAATTCAACCATATTTCATTTTTTATCTCTAAACGGTACAAAAATATGAAAAAATATTGACGGAATTAATCATTTTAGAACAATTTTTTTTATGAAGAATGCATTTTTCTCAAAATGTTTATAATAAACAGGTTTTTCCTCTTGTAAAGACAATCCGGGGATTTAGTGAATACGTATTATGGAACTGTGTATTAAATTATTTAAAAGACTAAATCGACTTACAAATTCTACTACCAATATCCCTTTTCTTTCTTTTCCTAAAACTACCAGTAACTCTAAAAGTTCCACTATTGTTCTTCCCTTGGTCCAAATTGACGACGGAGGCTGAGTCGTCAGAGATAAGGTTTTGAATCTTTCCCATAATCATCTTCATGCATTCCCCCGAACAATTCAGGTTCTTCACGGTGATTTCGGTATTAAGCTTTGCACTCAAAGTCAAATTTAACATAAGTTCTTGTTGTAGATTATTAACTTCCACTGAAAACGGGCTGCTTTGTAAAAGCATCTTCGGTTGGGCGTATTGAAGTGGCTCAGAAAACGTTGATGTAACTACGTTGCTGGATGAATTTGTGGAAGACTGAGAGGTTGAGGAAGAAGAGGATGGGGAAGGCATGTTTAACGGATAGAATAAACTTACTGAACTAGCAACCGACATGATAATGATAATGATGAAAATGAAAGCGGTTCGGGTTTTGTGCTTATGGACTAACGTGTGGGAGATCCTTCGAAGCAATTCGGGAAACTGGTCAAATTCTTCGGCCATTACTAGCACGGACGTTGCAGTAAGAATTAAAGTGACTAACATTAAAAACCATACGACGAGCGGAGATCTAAAAAGAAAATGGGTATATATTAAGTATCAATCTAACCATTTAAATCCAAATAGCAATACAATAATGTTAAGCCAATGATTCATGAACAATTAGTCAAGATGATACATATATGCAATACTGCGCATATCGCGACGTCACGTGGATTACGTTGCATATGTATCATGTAACGATAGACAGTTAAAGAACGACTAAATACGTAACGTATAGTTTAACACCTTCTACACTATGCCCGAAGTGTTCCATGGAATATTTCTGAAAATATTTCGTGAAACATTTAGCGAGGCATTTCTCCAAATACTTTCAGAAATAAACTCAATGGTTTTCTTATGTTGCGGAAAATCTTGGCTTGTCTTGGCCGCAAACTCCGAAAGAGATCGAAATCGACCGAGACAAGCCGTGATTGGTTGTTTGTTTTTTTATTGTTATTGAAATTGCCTCGGAAAATGTTTCGAGAAACATGTCGGCCTGTTTCAAAACAACAAAAAAAATTATGACAAGCCTCTATATTCTTCGTCCTACTTCGCGAAGTAATCAAGGTCAAACTTTATGGTGGCTTCAGAAAAATAAGTAAACATGGAGTATGAATAAATATAATTAGTTTTTAATGGAGTGTAATGTAATACCACTATATTACACTGATATGAAACATCAAAAACAGTGAATTTAGAAAACTGTTACCGATGGAAGATTAAACTGGCTATTCCTCTAAGGCTGTGACCTAACAAACCATGTTATTATATACAAAAGCATCTTTTACATTTTTCTCTTAAAACAATAAGAGAATATTTTTGTTTAAAAATGTCCGTGGACCATACTTTTATTGACATTGGCTCAATCAATAATTCTTCCTATCAGCTCAATATATTGATGATGTTGCCAGTATTACTCATCAAGCAATACTACTGTTATATTAATCAATTAAGGCCGTAAACAAACATAACATATACAGTTTTATATACTAATTCATTATAATAAAATTAAATATTAAAAATATTGTAATTATATTCCTATAGATTAAGTGAAAAGTTCTGTTCTTAAATATCTACTTATAAACGCGTGTTCAAATATTAATCTTGAGGAAGAGGGGAAGAAAACGAGATATAATTAACGAAATATTATCGTAACAACAAATATTTTAGAAACGTCTAGGTTTACTTATTTCACTGAGATTTATGGAAAAAAAAACGTCTTTTGCCTCGGTATTGATACCGACATGTCGTGAAAACAGTTCAAAACGAAACAAAATTGAACGAGACGACAGGAAACGCCAAAAAGAAATCCCCTTCGAAATCCTCCCACGCCCTTCTTCGCAATTTCCAAGTAGTTTCAAGGCGTTTTTAAAAATTAAAAGTAGTTCAAGACAAACCGAAATAGGCCAAAACAACCGGAGATAAGCCCAGAAGCAACAAAGTTAAGCGACGAGACGCGACCTTGATCTGCTCGGACTGTTTTCCGAATAGTGTAGAGGGTGTATTTGACTTGTACGCTTGCAATAGTGAGAAATTCAGTTGCGTTCCAGATTTGTGATACGCACCTTTGCGTATCTTTACGTACGTACGAAACGCATACGTAACGAACCGAAGAAGTGTTTCGCCGACTAATGCTAAGTATTGCTACTTCTCAGAGAGTGCACTTTTTTCTTTTAATATAAAGCCTCCTTTCCCAGAACAACGTTTTGTCTGGCCAGCTGGCGACACTGTTTGACATTTCAAACAACCAATGGAAGCTGTACTAAATTTAAAATTGACAGCTGTTTGAATTTTGTACAAATCTCATTGGATTTTTTGACGTGTTGCTGGCGACAGACGAAGTTCTCAGAACGGGGCTTAAGTGATAAACTATTGAAACCTCTAAGCATGTATGCGTATAATCAGACGAGTAAGAACTAGGAAGTTAGCAATTAATCTAACCTCAGATTTAATGCCATTTTTTTACCAATCATTACATTTTTTGACGATATTCTAAATACTTAATCTTCACTATTTAATAGTAGAGGACAAGTACAATTATTTTTAAATTATGTGTAATTAAAGTTATTTCTAGCAATTAAACATACGACATATAAGGAAGTCCAAAACCAAATGAAATTACATATTATCATGTCAACAAGCTATATTATTAACAAAAAAAGGTAACCAAAATTATACTTACAGCGTAGATATTACGAAATGGGAAATTACAATAAACAACCAAATTACGTAGCATGATAGCATATTTGATTTAAACAAATCTTCTCTTAGCTGACTGAACTAGACAAAAAAAAACAGAAATAATATACTTTGCTTTAGATTTCCTTTTATAATAAAGGAACCAAAAAAAAAATCTAAACTACTTTTATACAATAAATCATTAGGATAAAGATTTGTTTACGGATAGTAACTATTCTAAATATTGAAAAATAAATTATATCAATTTTAACATTTTAAAGAAAAAATATATACTAAAATATATTTCTTTAAGCCACCCCAATGAGAAATTAATAAAACAATCATCCCCTTTGACTTATACATTATAAAGTATGATCGAAAAAATACCGCGCCCAGTTGGCTTGGAAATGACGATCGATGACATTCTCCATTAATTTTATATACAGGGTGGCCCATCGAAAACGTTCCGCAAGGCATAACGGCCAGGGTATTCTTTTTTCAAAAAATCCAAAAGTCGTCAATTTTGTTTGTGAGGGGGACAACTTTTGACCCAAAAATGATTGCAAAATCTTCAACCCTCTAAGCGGGGGTGTCATCCCCCAACTTTTTTCAAATGGGAAGGGGGTCAAGTGGCACCGCAATGAAAAGAGCTTTTCATTCTCTATATTTCCCCGCTTCGCTTTTGAAAATCGGTTGAGTCATTGAGAAAATATGAAGGATTGAAATTTGAAAAGAGTTTATTTAACGATTTATCAGAGTAAATGATAATGATAAATTCCTTCGACCAATTTGCTGTTTTTTCTTATTATTTTTAGATGTTTACGCATTTTTTCACTTGCCACAAGGTTGAACGATCAGGTGCGGTAGTTGCTAGATAGCTGTTCTGTGACTTGTGCGTTGATGTTCTTCTCAATGTCGTTTAACTGACCCACAATACAATTTCCAAAAATACCAGCCCACACGTTCAATTTCTGAGGATTTTGTGTGTGCACGTCGTAAAAAACCCTGGGGTTGTCCTCAACCCAGTACCGACAGTTGTGCCGATTAACTACACCGTTCAAAAAGAAAGTACACCCATCCGAAAAACACATATTAAATAGGAAATTATTATCATTCGCCACTCGTTCACTCATAATTTCACAAAATTGCAAGCGACGATCAAAATCGTCTTCGTTCAGTTCTTGTACCAACTAACCATTTTGTACGGGTGGAACTTTTTTGTTTTTTTTTAATATCCTTTGGACACTGGTACGATTCACGCCGGTCTCATTGGTTAATTTGTACTAAATCTTGTCCTCAGCGTACTATCCATGGCAACTTGGCCCAATACGAATACCTCCATAGCTTCATTTACTACAGGGTTTTCCCTCTGCCTCTTTTTATTCATAACGGAACCAGTTTCGCGAAATGTTGCTACTAACTCGCGAACAATGCCATAAAGATGTTTGTAAGGATGGCGTTCATTGAATATCTGCGCAACCCGATTGCCACGTTCATTATTTTTAAAATAAAGTTCGATTATTTCCACTTTTTCTGCAAGTGAGTACCCCATTATTGTTAAAAAGTTTAACAATATTGAGAAGAACTGCAACGCACAAGTCACAGAACAGCTATCTAGCAAATACCGCACCTGATCGTTCAACCTTGTGGCAAGTGAAAAAATGCCTAAACATCTAGAAGTAATAAGAAAAAACAGCAAATTGGTCGAAGGAATTTACCCTTATCATTTACTCTGATAAATATTTAAATAAACTTTTCAAATTTCAATCCTTCATATTTTCTCAATGACTCGACCGATTTTCAAAAACGAAGCGGGAAAGTATAGAGAATAGAAAGCCCTTTTCACTGCGGTACCACTTGACCACCCTTCCCATTTGAAAAAAATTGGTGGATGACACTCACGTTTGGAGGGTTGAAGATTTTGCAATCATTTTTGGGGCAAAAGTTGTCCCCCTCAAAAACAATATTGACGTGTTTTTGAATTTTCTGAAGAAAAAAAAATTACCCTGGCCGTTATGCCTTGCGGAACGTTTTCGATGGGCCACCCATTTTTTTTGCAAAGGGAAAAAACCTTCGAAAGACACCTGTGCGATGTTAGGTTCAGGTAGTGTGGGATTTTTACCCACTAAAAAAACCATCTTGCGAAGACCAGCTGCTGCTAGAAGAGTGATGGAACTACCTATTCGGTATTACTTCAGCACACTCTGCATTGTCCTTTTCTATTACACAATAACTCTTCTCTATCCTGATTGTTGCAGATATTTTCTCTGCACTTCTTTGGCTCTTATAATTCTCGCAGCCGTGTCACATACGGCGCTCCAGACCACTTTAGATTCAAGCATACGAGGGACAATGCTGGCCGTTTTCAGTCTCTTCCCCACCAAATGCTCAAGAGCCAATCGTTCGTCGCTCCACTGCGGGCACCCAAAAAAAGTGTGCTCTGCATCATCCACGTGGTCACAGTAGTAGCATCGTGGTGTGTTGGTTAATTTGAAACGATAAAAATATGCCTCACAGCACCCAAGGCCCGATAGGATTTGTGTGAGGAAGTAATTTACCTCGCCATGTGTTCTTTTGATCCAAGGACTCACATCAGGTATCAAAAGCTTGATCCATTGCCCCACATGCGTTTCCTGTTCCCAGCTCTCCTGCCATAGATCTAAAGTAATTTCCCTTTCTTCCAACTTTCCCCTCTTGTCCTTTCTCCATGCTCTGCCTCGCTCACCTGCCTGTAATTCAACTGGTATAGTTCCTGAAATGACCATCGAGGCACTTGTAGAAATTGTGCGGAAGGAACTGCATATTCGCATAGCAACCCTCCTCTGTACTTTCTGACAGAGCTGTTTGTATTTCTGGCATTTTAAAGTTTCCTGCCAAACAGGTGCCGCGTAAAGGGCCACCCTGTATAGGTGTATAGGTAATGCTATACATGTATTCATGCATGGTAGACGAACAAAGGACCCTAAGGTGGAGATCCTTGATAGTTCTGTTTAACGATTCACTTGACACATTTGACTTTGATTTGGAATTTTATGGATTTGTCAGTCTTTACTGGTTTTATCTTATTTATTGTTTATTCTACTACTGATAGAGTTTTTTGAAGGTAGGAAATCTAGAAGGAAGTTGTGACAGAACTTAAATTAACAGTGACACTATTGCGATTTATCGAAAAAGACTGTAAAATACCGTATGATCGAGAAAAAACGGTGTCAGCGATGGCTATGGAATGAAGATCGCTGTCATTTTATATGTAAATTAATATGGGAAATGTCATTTCCCAGCCAAGTGGACGCCGTTTTGTTTTTCGATCATACGGTAGTTGGTTGTGTAGCGTGCGGTAGATCTCGGTCAAAAATCGAGGGAAATAATAGAATAACTTTTCGCTACTAAGTGACTATATAATATATGTATGTGTAGTAAACCGATCATTTATGAAATTCACGTAAAATTAACTAATTATATATTTTTTCTTGTATTTTTGCTTTTATTTACTACTTGTCAAAGATTAGATGTCAAAGAATTTAGATACGTTAATTTGACTTATCTGCTTCAGTAGCGTTTCGGATGTTTGTGTTAATAAATAATTATTATAACTTATCTCTTTTTATTAAATTTATATATTTTTATAACAATTTTAATAACTACCAACATTTGTTCACAACGTAAAATAAAACAACAAATGATTGAGTCTACCCTATATATTTTTACTCGTTTTGAATAAAATTAGGATTTTAGGAGTCTTTTGGGTCGACCTAAGATTTTTGATATTCTCCTTCCTTAATCTGTTTATTCAAAGTTGCGTAGCCATCTCTGACGCCGTTTTTATTTCGATCATATTGTACTTTCTATTATATCAGTCGAAAATTTCCTGATAAGCCACCCTACATAAACTAGTAATTCCTATGCCCTTGTGACGGGTTCATTACTGCAAATTCGGAGTTTATCGCTACCTGCTGCATCAATGTTTGGAAAGTAAATAACTTCTGTTTGTTCCTACACAAATTACGTAATTGAAATGCGTCTCATTTTCGTGTATGTAAATTGTCACTCAGCAGGTATGCAGTACATGCAAATTTGTTGCCTTTTTTGCTGCTGTATGTTTTTATGATTGTTTTAAAAAACAATGGAGGATATCAGTACAACGCCAGAGTATGTCATAGAGAATTTGCAATAGTATTTTTCAAAGTAGATTATCAATTTGTTAATTAAATTGAAATTGCAACTTTAAAAAAATAGAAGATTGTTCGTTTGAAGATAAATCAAGGAGGTGTTCACTCGACTAACAATAAATTAAATACATAACTTACAACATAGGGTCTATTTATGACTGGATATACAATATGATGGCTATGGAATGAAGATCGCTGTCATTTCATATGTAAAATTATATGGGAAATATCATCGACGTTCATTTCTGAGCCAACTGGACGCCGTTTTTTTTTCAATCATACGGTACTAATAACAACTATTAATACTACTAAATAAGGTTTACCTGTTTTTCCATTTCCTTGTCTATAAATCTTAGCGTCCATGTATTGACATTGGCACTTCTCATGCGTTTATTACTCTCAATTTCGATATTATGATCAATGATATCGTCCACCTGCTCTGTAACGATCTTCTTTGGTGCGTTTAGTTCATATTTCTGTCGTCCTTTCGGTTCCAGTGCTTCGTCGATATCCGCTGAGATAGATCTATGCAACTAGAAATTTATGATGAATTATTTTTGAAATTGAATGAATAGTAGAAGAATAAGTATTGGATGACTTTGAGGGTAGTATGCATAACGAAATAGTATGACATCTTTTAGACGGCTTGATCAATGATTTGAGGAGAATTATTCATTTTGCAACATCAGCAACTCGTACTTGCTCAAATGCCGAATATTAATACATTTTAGCACAAGGGTCATTTTTATTTATACATTTTGCCGATTGATTAATTTAGAAATATTCAAACCTCGAATATACATAGAGTATACATAAAAAGAACAAGTATACAATATTTAAAACATTTCATTCTTCCGTTCACTTGAAAATGTCAAAAGTTGACATATGATATGTCATTCTATTCAGAGTGTCATTTTCTATCGAATAAAGTAAAAAAATACCGAGGATGCCATTTAAAAATCTAAAGTTGTAGTCATTTCCGGTGAAACAGGAAAGAACCAAAAACAATAATTGAATACATCATACAATCAATCCAAATTTATGTCATAAACCTAACCTAACATAACAAATTTCGTTTTTCTTTATCTGAAAAAATAAAAAAAGTTATAGGGGTGAGGCACTTTTGAGACGCACCCGGTATATGTATAGAAAAAAATGTAATTTTAAGAAGAAAAGGTATTATAATTTTAAAATTGGTTATTAATTATTATTGTCATTGGTATTTAGATATGTAAACTGTGGACACTAATTTTGGGACTTGTCCTGTTTTTGTTCCGACTAGAAATAAATAAATAAACTTAGAGACACACCTCACTGGAGTATTGCGCAATAAAAAGGATTGGAAGAGAAAAACGTTTGCTCAGCAGGTAAAAGCACCTACCACAGCATCCTTCAGGCAAAAATCTACGCTATCGAAAGATGCGTACAACTTATAGGCGTACAACTTTCCGATAAGAACTATCGGAAACAAGAAATATCCATCTTATCCGATAGTCAAACAGCATTAAAAGCGGTCAAATGACATTAAATAAGTAACCATCAATTCGAAGTTGGTCAAAGAATGGCTAGAGAATCTGAACAAATGAGGCAAAGAAAATTAAGTCCTCCTGCTCTGGGTGCCAGCTGATCAAGGGATAGAAGGCAATGAAAAAGCAAATAATCTAGCTAGAAAAGGAGCAAACACTTCACTAACTGGACTAAACTGTTCTATTTCCCAAATGGAAACCAACTTAAAGCGGAACTGAAGAACCTGGAAGACTCCATCCGGATCATTGAATGGGAATTCTCCAAATCCTAAATCAAAGATTTTCTTTGATTTAAGTAAGAACAATCTTTGGATTGTCACGGATTTTTTTAATAGAACATTCATTAGTTTTCAATTAACACCTCGGTAGATTGAAGCTAAGAAAAAACGGCGAATGCAGGTGTGGGGAAAATAGGGAAATCCCATTTTCCCCACAGTATCATGAAGTGAGGTGTGTTTACCAGAACCCCTTATCATTGAGTGTGCCGAGATATCAACCATTTGTACCATAAACTCGACTGATATCAGAGATGGGGAATCCTGTAGAATCGTCTGAGATACTAGCTTTTGCCAAAGCCCCGAGAGTGTATGGTGAGTTATAACTCAGGAAAAAGGGACACAATACAAAGTAAGGTCGCTGTGATTAACCTTCCTCCTATACATTCTCCATTCTACATATTTTAAAACAGCATATTATAATTCAAGCTGAAATGTTAACATTATGTATCCATTTAATGCAACAAGAAGAATTTCCGTGATATTTGATGACCCTGTTAGATTGGATACTGCTTACAACAAATTGACACTTTCATTTTGGCATTGTTAGGTCTAGGTTGGAGTACGCCTCTGTTATATGGTCACCATATTATCAGACACATATAAATAACATCGAAAGTGTCCAGCGACGGTTTCTAAAGTTTCTTAGCTTTAAGATAGATGGAAATTACTCTTGTATAGGCTACTCTCATGATGAACTCTTGGGACGTTATAAATAACTTATAAAACTCTTTAGTGAATGGCGGCGGACTGTGTGATATTAAGAGGTTATATGGTGTTATTCGTAATAAAATCGACTACACAGATATTCTCAATAGGTCGATCATTTTTGTTCCGAGAGCAGAAGCTCGTCAGCACATTTTATGTTGGCGGTTGTAGGACTGACGTTAGCAAAAATTCTCAAAGCAAAAACTAATAGAATGCAACTAATTTACAATCAACGCCGGAGCAGTTTAGATATATTTTGGAGTAATATTACATCTTTTTTATCATTTTTTTTTTGTTAATTTTGTTTTGTTGATCTGATCTATCAGTTTGTGTTTACTTACTGATATATTTTGTTTTGTAGCAGACAATCGAATTTAAATATTTTGATTAAAAACATTTTTCAAGTACGTACATTTTCAAAAGGGATCTCTGGTGTCCAGTCGGTTGTTGTCTCTTCATCGATGACGCTGTGTTGAATACCGCTGTCACTTCGTTCTCTAGAAGGCGGTTGTGAGGGAAAGCTGGGTGTTTTCGGCGATCTTGGAGTACTAATGTTGCTATTAATTTCCTCGTCCCATAGTTTATTCGAAAATATACTAAAAATAGCATATAAACGAGAAAATAGAGTCAATTATAATTTGGTTTCTAAAATTTCGTGAGGATATATTTTTTTTAAATTTTGGTAAATAGTTTTAAATAATTCAAATATGTCTCTAAAACTTACTAGTCATGGTAGTACAGTAATAATTAATCTAATACAGTAAATAATTAGTAAGTAAATAAATACTTGTTTTAGCATCTAAAGTTCGTAAAACTTCTTCACATACTAAAGCTTCATTTAAAAATTCGAAATTAGTGAAATAAATTAGTGGTTTCAATTAGCGTAGAAGTTTGTTAATCTAATTTTAACGTAAGTTAAAACATCAAAATTAGTGGTGGTAATTTTTAATAAATAGAAAAAGTTAACAAACTTTTAACGTTTGTCATAGTCAAATTATTGTCTCATGCTTAGATTTTGAATAAAGCTTGGCTTCATTCAGAGCCACGAAATTAGTGGTTTCAATAAGTGTAGAAGTTTGTTCCTTTTAATTTCAATATAAGCATTCAGAACATCAAAATTAGTGATAGTAATTTTCAATTAGTAGAAAAAGTTCACAAACTTTTAATTTTTGCCACTAATTATACCTCAAAAGTCATTTTGGCCTTCGATTAACATCCGTCAAGAGAAATTGTGGTTTTGAAAAGACAAGCTTTCTATATGGATACAACTGACTACCGCGAGTTGTTGCTAGGATATTCTATCAAGTTTAATTCTATTTGTTTATATATTTTTGTAAATGATCTTGTAACTAGAAAGTGTATCTGATTGGTCACTAATTTGGAGGTTTTGAATGAGGCTTAATGCTTTAAACACAAATATATTTTTATTAAATCGAAGCACTCGAAACAAAGACTACCTTACAAATAAATTTTAGAAAAAGAATCAATAACACCAACTTATTAAAATAAATTAATATTTATTGTAAATGAATACATTTTAGGTAATGTTAGTAAATATTGGCCGAAAAAAATTTCAAATGTTATTTTTTTCAGTATACTTTCCTCCCTTATGACGAGAAAATGTCATACAAAGAAGTACTATGGATGTTCTACGTCTACGAGTATAGCTAATGATATAAATCTTGTGATCGAAAAAAAAACGGCGTCAAAGACGGCTGGGGAATGACAATCGATGATAATTTTGGCGAGGTCAATCTCTAGACGTCATTTACTAAAAAAGTAACATAAAGTCTGTCAAAACTTAACATTAATTATAGAAAGATTAAAAAAGGATAGACCCGTCTCTAGACACACAAATCTATTTCCAAAAAAAAATAGTTTTTTTTCAATTTTAAACTACAGCTTCATTCAGAACCTCGCAATTAGTGGAATAAATTAGTGGTTTCAATTACACTTTATACTTTTTAGTTTACGATGTTTTTTAATACAAGTTGACGATGTTTTTTAATACAAATAAAATTAACAGACTATCCTAGCAACAACTTGCGGTAGTCAGTTCTATCCATAGAGGAAGCCTAATTTTTAGCTTATTAAACAATCAACTTTTGATTTCTAACCAAAGTTTTTCTTGACAAATGATAATCAAAGGCCAAAATTACATTCCTCGCAAATTTTGAACTATAATTAGTGGAAAAGTTAAAAGTTTGTTAACTTAAAATCAGAAGTGGGATAGGGCTTACTTTTACAATAAGTTTTTGAGTGGCATGGTGAAACTTGGAGGATGCATTTGAATAAGATAAGGACACAGGTTCTAATTAGGTTTAAAAATCGAAAGTATTGGTTGCCTGTTTGTGGCTTTGGAAGAGTACGAAAAGTTAATATTTCAGTTAATCAATTGAGTATAATAAAGTAAATTTTTAAAGAAAATGAGTCACGGTGTCATGTCGCAAAACTCAGAAGCATTGCCGCATTTAGATTGAGCATTGCAGCGTTTATATTAAGCAGTTGGAACGTTTAGCAGTTTTAGAGCCCAAACAGATCTGTATAAAGTTACGGAGGGAAATATTACAGTGATTGCTATTAAAACAAATATTTTCTGCATTATTTCATAGCGATTTAAGTTTAATTAAGTTTTTATAGTCTGAAATTGTCTGAATAAGTTTTAATGATCTGTTTATTACTGGTAAATACATTAGTACAGAATGGTTGGTTTAAAATATTAGCCACACCATTTAAATTTTAATTCTGAATAAGTTTTTTTAATTGCATAACAAATAGCAATACAGGAAAGTTTTTGTCAAGAAAAAAATATTGATCGGTATTTATTCAGGCGAAGTGATAAATATTGTCGTTTTTGTTTGCAAGGCTGCTGTTTTTTATTTATTTCTCGCCGGTTAAAATAGTTTTGTTTTGTTGTTTTGGCTAAATTAGCCATTATGTCATACATGCCATATTTTGTTATAGGGTTAGGTTAGGAGCGTTATGTTTTTATTTTATTAAACTATTAGGAAAATTAAACATTCTAACTGAACTTATTAATTATTACTTGTAAATAGTAATATTATTCGTTACATATACGAATAAATGAATGATCCTGAAGAAAACAGTTGCATTTGTTATGTTTGTTTCTATTTTTCTCAATTTGTTTTATTCAAAATGCAAAAAATTGAAAGTTTAGTTTATCTGTGGGGTTTTATGCAAGGGATTTCAACTAACTAATTTTAAAACGCAAATTATTAATAGATCAGATGCATTATTGAGATGGCACTTATTTTTTTGTATATGTGTTGAACTAGTTTTGTTTATTTTTTGTGTTGAACTAGTTTTGTTTATTTCATTGTCTAATTAAGTTTTGATATGTATTGCAGAAATATTAAAAAAAATGATGATAAAAATATTAATTATAATTAGTTAATGTTGATATCAGAATGGCACGTGTTAGAAATGAATATGTGTTGAAAACATGGACGCTTTGCACTGTGAGTAATGTGTGAGTGTGTGAGTTCTGTTAGTAATGTAATAATTTAGTAATGTTTTAGTAATATTTAGGTGTTGAAAGCATGGACGCTTTGCACTGTTGTAGAGTGTTAAAAGCATGAACGCTTTGCACTGTTGTAGTATTTGAGTGTTGAAAGCATGGACGTTTTGCACTGTTGTAGTATTTGAGTGTTGAAAGCATGAACGCTTTGCACTGTTGTAGTATTTGAGTGTTGAAAGCATGGACGCTTTGCACTGTTGTTGAGTGTTGAAAGCGTGGCCGCTTTGCACTGTTGTAGAGTGTTGAGAGCATGGACGCTTTGCAGTGTTGTAGAGGGTCGAAAGCATGGACGCTTTGCACTGTTGTAATATTTAGGTGTTGAAAGCATGGACGTTTTGCACTGTTAGTAATGTGTACATATTGAAAGCATGGTAACGTGTAACATATGCCATGTAACATATAAGATTGAAGAAACATATTTTTGTTTGTAATGAATGAGTATTGAAAGTTATTTGTAAGTATTGGAAGGTTATGAGCAAATTGATCAGTTAATAGAGTAGTAGCTAGGTTCGTTATAACGAAACCTCTCTAATTAAGATACCAATTCCTATAAGAACAACTGACTACTCAGAATATCACCTTTGGTGGATAGCAATGAAGAATTCCTTTCTGATATTCAATAGCCGATTTCGAATAGAAGGACTTCGAGAGCCAAGTCTGTGTCAGAATTGGCCGTGTTAGAAATATGATTATATAAACAAAATTGATTTTATTTTTGGGAAGATAAGCACGGACCGCTGTCGGTCGCGCCAGTGTGAGGAGACACTTCAGCACGGTCGTTTGAACGCTGTCTGTGTTTATGTTTCCTGACGTATTATTTGTGATTTATAGTTGATTAAATGTGTTGAATTGTAGTGTATCGGAAAGGTTATGTGTTTTTATTATTTAATTGCTAAAAATATGGTCTTTTGATACTGTATAACCCGAGGTATAACCAAAAAGATCAAGCAAACTAGACTATGACTGTTAAAATATTTCTAAAGTAATTTCATTTAAAAAAGTGAAAATCTGTGACCGTCTAAGTCATAGTAAAATAATATTTTCGATTACAGTGTACGTATTCGCAATGATTATTGTCACTTAGCGACCTGAGTTTCTTAGTAAAAGAAACCAGGAATCTCGAGCGACAATAAGTTTTGTTTTATTTTCTATTATCCATGTATTAAAATTTAATTAGGAATGGTAGTCTAATTTTTCTATTTGTCTTTATCAATTCCCGCCGGTAGTTATATTAGAATTTTTTTATCTCACAATCAGTATTTTTGTACCCTGCAATATATGTACACACACACTTTTCGCACATCTTTTCTGAAATCGTAAATTTTTTGTTTGGTCTGTAACATATTGATCTTGTTCAGATTATGTTCATAAATTTTTAATCTTGTGCTGTATTTATATTATATTGTTATATTTTGATTTTAGTTTGGTTTGTTGAAAGTGTTTAAAAAAAATCGCAAAAAAACTCATAGGCGTATTTCTGGGGTCGAAATTTACTACCCCTAGAAATATTTGCACTTGTTTAAGACCTTTTTTATAGTTTATAGTACTAGTAATTTGCATTGTACATTTATGTCCTATTGTAAAACCTAACAATATATTTATCTGATACTGATACATATTTAGATTATTACACATGGCATTTAAATATAAGTGTCCGTGTAATTGGATTTTATTTTATAATAATAATAGCTCCCGTATATAGCGTTTAACGCCTTGGGAGTAGCAAGGTACAGCTTGCTATACTAGAGCCGTTCGGTATACAAGGAAGGTAATGTGGCTAGCACTACGCTTCAACCGCCTATTATTACCTCAGGATTGTGAATCCCAAGTACTCATTTAAGGCTGAGTCGACCTAGGATTTTATTTTAAACCATACATTTACTCGTTTTACATTCAAATTCTGTTTAATAAATTTTTATATTTCCATTCGACTAGAGTATTATTGGTGATTTTATATGAACACCTAATATTTGTTAAGAAGACATCTTTACAGTAAGTAAAATTCTAATACACTTTCGTATATTACCTTGGTCTTGATGCAAGTCTTCGTCTTGGTATCATCGGCTCACAGTGTTTGATTAGATAAGTTACAACATTGTGCTCTCTGAGATACGCATCTCTCTCTTGCCCGTTGCCTGGTTCAACTTCATAATCCCCGTTTAAGCACTTATACGTTTCTTCCGATATATGTACTTGCCTGAAAAATAACCATTGAAAATTAATACAAACATAAGAAGGTTAAGTTAGAAATGTACTAGGCCTAACCTAACTTTTCTGGAGATGCACTATTTTATGCAGAGGATCAAAACAACTACAAACTGAAGTATCAGTTTAGTTCGGCTTTTTGACGGGGATTATCAGGACAATATTTGCTGTCTCCTCAATGGGGTCACATGAACACCTCAGTCGATTGAAGCTAAGAAACTACGGCGAATACAGATTCTGTGGGGAAAATGTAAAAAACACCTCAACACTGAGTGCACCGAGACGACAAAACCAGTTGTGCCATGAGCTTTTGGTTCGTGATCATATCATTCACCAGAAGAAAGAAAATAGACAAACTGATACCGCTCACTCTTCTTGGTGAGACAATTCCTTTGACGAAGGAAGTTAAATATCTAGAATTAAACCTGGACAAAAAAATTGGCGCCGGGAGGCACGTATATTAGCAGCCCATACTAAAATATGTTAATTATCTCGAAAACTGCGACTTTGACTGATTTTGATGTTATTACAAACTAGGTTTTCCCCGCGACTACGTTCGTGTTACACCTCGAATAGTTCATGCATTGATTTAAATGATTTACTTTGTATATAGAGCTAGTGAGCCTTACAAATGCCCTATTTAAACTATGTTTTTAAGAGTTTTAGAGCTACTCGTATTTCATATGAAAGTTATTAATTGTCGATTTTCTGGGTATTAGACAGGGCAAGTCTTGAATAAGTGCAAATATTTTCAGGGCTGGTAGATCTCGATAAAAAACCATATTTTCTCTTTACCGTTTTTCAAATAACTCCAAAATAACTGAGTTATTTTACTTTAAAAATTTCCAAAAAAATATATTTTTTGCTTAAATTTTGAGAACCACTGCAGCTTTTCGGGTTTTTCTGTCTTGTAAATTTAATCTACTACCTATCTATGTTGCCATATTATCAAGAAATTATGGTTTTTAACTAAAAACTAAAAAAAATTCAAAAAGTTTTTCAAAAAATTCCAAATTTTCAAAAAAAATTCGCTTAAAAACTCATAATCGTGTTTCTGGGGTCAAATATACCTACTACCGCTAAGAATAATTGCACTTATTTAAGACTCGCTCGACAAAAAATCGATATTGTTATTTTTGACTTATTACATATTTTTTACTTAAAATTTATAAAAAGCCGTCAATATTCCAATTTCAAGAGCATTTTTATTCTCTTTAAATATTATTATGTACTTAAGAAAATTCGAAAATTTAAAAACCGTTTTTAATTTTTTCATCGCCTGTATATGACTTTATGACACACTTTGTATACCAAAAATAAAACTTTTGATTAGAGCCGTCTGAAATAAAAAATCTTAATAATTCTAGAAGTTATCGAAATCAAAGTATTTCAAAGAAGTTCAATTTTGGCTCCAAAATGTTTTTGAAATCTTGCTTTTTTTAACACTTTTTTTCAATTTTTTCTAACTACTTCCATTGACTGAAACTAATTATGTATGGTTGGATAGAGGGTGGATGGCGATCTTCCAGGGCGGTTTTTTATTTCATATTTATATATAGATTATTTTCGAAATCGAACCAAAGTCAATTTTAGAGAAATTTTGCAAAATCTGAAAAAATAAAATCTCTCCAAAATAATAAATAGTGAAATGATTATTTACCTTCTATAGATAGAACCACTACCTATGGTCCCATATAAACTGTATTACTAAAATAAATAGTTTTGAAATACGAAGATTTCAAATGAATATTTGAAATTTTCAATTGTCGTTTTATTTAATATACTCCCTTGATTTTATTTTTCATCTCTTTTTTTGGTTTATTAAAAGCATTAATACTCTATTTATAGTTACTTTTTATTCCTTGAAGGATAATTGAAGAAGAAATATTTCGTTTATATTATTGATGTGTCACTAAATAAACCCTTGTATAAATTTTTATACTGCTAGATGTTATAATAATGCATTTTCGTACAGCAAACTTTCATTCTCTATTCTACTCCCTAAGATTACAAATTTCATAAAATCGCTTTATCCAAATAATTAACTAATGTGTTTTAAATGATCCTTTGTGCCAATTTTTATGTGTGTGATCCAGAGGTCACCAAGTTTTATATAAATTTTTACTAACTTTACCCATTTAGTTGATGAATTTCAAAAATCTTTTCTAATTCTTTTTGTAGGATTTCATTCTTCTAGACCACATAGTAAGGAATTTTCATACAACAAATTGTTCCGGCATAATTTTACTCTCTAAGAGGATGAATTTCCTAAAATCGCTTTGTCTAGCTAATTCACTAATGTCGTTTAAACGAACCTTTGTTCTAATATTTATGTATCTAAAGCTGGCTGTATGCACTGATCCCTAAAATATCTAAAAACTTGATATATAATCTAACTGACAAACCACTGACAATGACAAATAATTTATTTCTGGAGGTATTGTGTGTAGGTGTTTTTCCGGTATGTTTTAATATTTAGTTAATTTACACAAAGAAATAGCCATTCAACAATTTAAAAATACTTCATAACAAATCTAGACATATATACCTTTCATTTAAAAAAAAATCATCAAGATTGGTAAAGCAGTTTCGGCGGGATGGATGTAACAAATAACCCTTTGAGCTTTTATATATTTATGGGTTTTGTTGCAAATATTATTCCTAATCTTAATTTGAAAACCGCGTTTCGCTAGCTACTGTAATTTTGGAGTTACGATTTTTTAAAATTTTTAACCCCCTCCCATACCTCCTTACCAACCCCCAACCCCACCAAAAACTAATGGCCAAATTTGCTTGAAATCGGTTCAGCGGTTTTTGAGTTATCGTGTTACAGACGGACAGACAGACAGACACCATGAAAATATTTTGTATTTAGTTTATTTATGACCCAAGTAACTCATTTTGAGTGAAATTAAAAAAACTTTTTTTTTGCCGATCCTAATAGCCTACCATACCTGTTGGTATGGTCGGCTAAAAATTAACCGGGCCTCTCATCTGGAAAAAAATATGTACTGGCTGTCATCACATATGGTAAAAAATGTCTATACCTATGTGGCGGATTCATCTCTCCAAAAAATTCTTTATGGGTATTTCGCCACTGCACTGCAAGAAAAATCTACAAAATAAAATAGTTATTTTTTGTAAACACTTCTGCGTTAAACCTAAGTATCAACGGTTTCTGGTAGATGTATCTGTTTTAAAAAGTAAAGTGTTCTGGAATAGTTCAATTTAAATATTTTAAATAGTTTTTTTCTTTATTCTTCGTATATTTTTGCTTCCCACGACGAAAAGAGATAAAGTTTCCGAAACGTTAAGCATTTTTTTCTTTGTTAGGCAAATTTTTATAACTGTAAACATAACTTCTCACAAGCAGCGTCCGTTTAGGTTTAACGCAGAAATGTTTACAAAAAATAACTATTTTATTTTGTAGATTTTTCTTGCAGTGCAGTGGCGAAATACCCATAAAGAATTTTTTGCTCACATATGGTAATTACCTCCACTGTGTAACCTGCATACGAGACCGTTAAAACTTTGGAATTCTGTACATTTAATAAGCCATTTATATAAGTCTGAAATAGAATATTGTCCCTCTAGAATTCCCAATCGCAGAACTTTCTCATTACTAACTACTGAATTACAAAGTAATAGTTTTCGTGATGTTAGATAATTCTGAAACAGATCCGCCACTCCTCTTCAGCTTCCACAGAAGTCATGAGGTACTGTGTCAAATTCCTTTTCTAAATCTAAAAATACAAGAGGATTTCTACCAATATTCAACTACTATGAACCAGTATTTATATTTCAGTCTTGCCGTTTGACAAAGTTACAGGTACGGATTTTTCTTGTGTCTGTAAATGTCTGTAGATACATAAGGATTGTAATTTTTTTCTTCTTATAAGACATACCAGACATTATTTATTTGAATTTTTGAATATAAGTTCTTATCAGGTCTTTCTGGTGATTTAATATTTAATAGACATCAAATTATTACATTATCACACCACAAATTATCGTAAAAATCTTATCCATAAATGTAGTTTAATTCGTTATTATTACCCACAATTTTTTAAAATTAAGAACAATACAATAATTTTTCTGTTCTCATATAAAACCACCGTTAAGTGAAAGATATAATAATTCTATTATTGCGATAAGGAATAGTCTGTAGTATCCATCATATTATAAGTTCAAAGAACACATTTAATTTTAGTAATAAAAATACACCTCGTGAACAAAGTTTACAGACTAAAGTCTAATAGATATACACTTTGTCGAGAACTTGATTTACTTGAGATATAATTCACGGTTATCATTATTTTGATAGTAAGAGATGGGAGAATGAGATAAAAATCTTAAATACTTGTTAAAATGTCAAAATTTTATATAATTTTATCTACACCAGTTTTTGACTTTAAAAAATCTCATAAAAAAATTGTAACCCGTGAACCAATACTACTAGCTACTATAATTGAAATAATATGATGAATTATTCGACACTTTCAAAGCTGAACATGTTTGTTAACAAATAAAAAGTGTCACACAAATATGGATCTAGAGTAGAGCAAGTGGTATTCGAAGTATCATATTTACTTATAATTGCAAAACGGTAGTAAAAATTCTAGAACAGTTGATGTAAAATTCAGTGAATTAAAGACACTTAATATTATCTGACTGCAAACAGGTCCACGAAATGCAAAATCTACACACGTTTCGTTCTTCACTGGAACTACTTAGCTGGCGTAAATAGGGTTTCTGCAACCGGTGCTGTTGGACTCGCTGGAGCTAAGGACTCGGGATATCCCGATTTTTTTGGTACTTTCGATACCAGCAAATTTTTCTTCGATAATGGCGCAGTTCGTCAATCACCAAGCAATAGGATAGTTTTCAAAAGTAAAATTGATAAAAAATTTAGTTTAAATAGAAATAATATCAAATTATTAAGTCATGTGAAAATTAACGTGAACATAAATGAACACAAGGGAAGAAAAAAAACGAAAAACATATAGGTACCTTAAATCTTAAATCAAACAAACTTAACTAAATTTGAATAAGAAACATTTTGAATTAACACGTTGATTTCCATGACATTTGGAGAGGAAACTTTCCGGGACACAACGGCGTAAAAATCATAATAATGAGTCAGAATGTATTAAAAATCAGCATATGCCTTATAACATGTATTTGTTTGTCCCAAAAAACACTACTGATATATCCTACTATAGTAGTCTATTGCTGATGCCCAGCACCACAAATGTCAACGCAAACGTGACGAATTTTCTCGGAGCGGGCGCTGATGATAGTTGGTGAAGAACGAGATAACTCGTGGTTATGGTCTGGAGATAGATGACTGAAAACGATTTAACATGTTAAAAAAGCAAACGCCTATAACAACTTAATAATTGCGAATAACCATTATAGGAACTTAAAAAGAACAGAGATAGCTTCACTACTTATTTAGTAGAGTTTGATTTCGACCGCCAGGGCCGTATCTAGACCAAAATTTCGGGGGGGGTTTGGCTTTTTACAAAAGCTGCTAGGAAAAAAGCATAATAAAAAAATCGCTTTGGGCTACACTCAAATCTTAATTGAAAATAACATTTTAAAAAAGTAACAGGTAAAAATTATTAATCTTAAAGGATAAACTGGTCTTTTCCCTGGAAAAACGATTGACTACCTCTTCGATATCGATATTTATTTCTCTATGTCCGCTTAATAGAGCAAGTCCTGTCAATCGCTCTTGACCTGTAGAGTTACGTAGGAAGTCCTTCAATCGTCTTATGCCGCAACCGCACATGCGGCATTTAGCGAACTCCTAGCGCTCGCTCGTCAACTACCGAACGCTCGTGATCGGACTTCGCCTTTCCATCCACACATGCGGGCTCTGATAGCAACAACATAGAGATGAGCGCTCGTTCTCGTAGCCGATCGAGTCGCCGAACTCCGACTTCCTCATCCACACACATAGGAAATCGGCGAAGCTTCGATCGGAGATCGCCGAATACCACATGCGCGGTTGCGGCATTAGGGTTGAAAAAGACCTTTCTGGTGTAGCTGTTGACGCTGGTAGAGTTGCTAGGATCATTAATAAAATGTATATATTTGGAAATATACACTGGTTACACTCCGATTATCGTTTCGATGGCGTTTTTAGATCGGTCGACTGCAGGTAGCTGCTTCCATTTTTGCCGCCACAAGTCTAGTTCTGCCGCTAAAGTGTCATAGCCCAAGAATTCTTTGTCTAATAGCAGAACAATAACAAACGTTAATCACGTTAATGACCAGCAAAACACACAACATTCAAAATCTTGTCCTTGTAAAACTTTTGCTGTTTTAAACACTTGAATGTTGAAAGTCGAAAATCGAAAATAACATTTGGTTTCAAAGTGGAAAAGTGAGGTTAGGGTCTATAATGTATATTCATCAATGACTAAAAAATACAAGGACAAATAGCACTCGAGACCAAACTGTGACCATTCTTCCAAACAGTGCCGTGGCACATATTTTACTTAACATTGCCGCTTGAAGGGATATTTATATTTTTGATATTATATGTTTTCACTACGCCTATGGTGTATCGGGGGGTATCATACTAATTAATTACGAAAAAAACGTATTAAAATGTTAACAAAAGGTACATAACTAGTATCGACGTATAGTACATATCAAGTACATATAATATCAGAAAAATAATTATCGAATTCAAAAAAAAACGCTAAAAAGGTGTAGGGGACTGTTTATTTCCCTATAAAACGTAACTTCTGGCTCTTTCTTATCATTGCGCCTTTTACACTTAAAAGCTGAACAAATTACCATTGTAATAAAGTTTATACAAAGTTCACTACACACAACCAACTATTAAAAATCGCTAAAATTGTCGCTGATGACCAGCTGATGATTCATTCGTTATGTCTAAAAAGTTGGCGTCTAAGGTCACAAATTCTGCTGCAGCCCGTATATGGGCGTTACATGTCCTTGTATTCTTTAGTCATTGATATTCATCCATCTTCTTCTTCTTTTTTTTTTGTTTCGTTCTTACTTACTTAATGATCATTACTTTTTAAAAATTTTCGGCCATAATTTCGGGGGGGGTTTGAACCCCCAAAACACCCCCCCAGATACGGCCCTGTCGACCGCTATAAAGTATCAATGGACTTTCCCATGTAACATAAAATATTGTTTTAATTATTGTTACTGAGTCTCGAAAGCACCGAATGAATCGGAAATTAATAATTTCGAGTCTCGGTTCTTTAAGGTCTCAAAAGAACCGAGAATTCCCGATACTTTCGGTACCGGAATTTCCTGGTTCTGAACTCTAGTGCGTATGTATAAGGAATATGTTTGAACCAACTGATTTCTGTTTAAAGTTCCTTTTATCATCATCATTCAAGTTCGGCAATCGTCTCATCAATTTCGAAGAGCAGATAAGTGATATCAAGTCAGCAACGACTGGCTTTGAATGTCGATTTCCCTGTGTAGGAAGAGTACAGTCAATCTTCAGTAGAGTATGATGTACCGAACAAAGAGGGAAAGCCAAGTAGGTATTATTACTCTCTGTTACCGATCGTAGTAGCTCAATCCCTAGAATGTAGAATGTTTAGGAGGGGAGTTAATCAACCCGACCTTACAGATCTATTGTGTGTTCCCCTTTCTTGAGTTATAACGAGTTATAACTCATCATACAGTCTCAAGAATTTAACAAAAGCCAGTATCTGAGACGGTTCCACAGAGGTCAGCTCTCCATCCTCGACATCAGCCGTACCAAAGTTCATGGCACGAATGGTCGTCGTCTCGGCGCACTCAGTGATAAGGTGTTCTGGTGTTTTATGAATTTGCATTCGCCGTTGTTTCTCAGTTTCAGCCTACTGAGGTGTTCGTTGAGGAGACAGTGTCCTGTTAGAAACCCCGCGACAATCCGAAAATTGTTTTTACTTAAATCAAGGAAAACCTTTGATTTTTCTCGGTCGTAAGTTCTGAGGAACTTTTTCGAGTGTCCTAGACCGTTGGAGGATACCCATTCCAAGTTACGGATGGAGTCTTCCAGATTCTTCAGTTCCGCTTCCAGTTGGTTCCCGTTTGAAACAGAACGGTTCTGGTCCAGTTAGTGGAGTGTTCGCTCCATTCCTAGCTAGATCATTTGCTTTTTCATTGCCATTTATCCCTTGGTGAGCAGGCACCCAGAGTAGGAGGACTTTATTTTCTTTGTCTAATTTGTTGAACTTCTCTAGGCATTCTTTGACCAACTTCGAATTGATGGTTACTGAGTTGATCGCGTTTAGTGCTGCTTGTCGGATAGGATGGCAATTTCCTGGTGTCAATAGTTCCTATCTAAGATAAATTGTGCGCATCTTTCGATAGCGTAAATTTCTGCCTCAAGGATACTGGGGTAGGTGCCCATTGGTTCGGAGTGTTTGGTTTTCGTTTCTTACAACCAAATCAGACCATTCTAATAATTGTCGCATTGGCACACTACCGACGACAATGTGCAGTGGTGTTAGGTCTAAAATGACCTCCATTGCTGCTGTTGGACATGTTCTCATGGCACCTGTGATGCAGATACATGCCAGATTTTGCACAGGTTTTGCCTTGCTGTATGTTGCTCTAGTTTTGTATACCAAGCAACTGCTCCATAGGTAATCATGGGTCTTACTATGATGATATACATCCAGCGCAGAATGTTAGGGGCGCAGCTCAATCCCTAATGCATTCTTAAATGTTTTATTAGATATGCTTTATTAGCATAGCTTTATAGAAGGTGGAGTAGAAAGTAGCACTTATCGTTAAGACAATCGTTGGAGCAAGGGAATTAATATTGGGGCCAATAATATTAGACAAACTCGTGATAATAATAATATTTTTAATACCCTTTTGTGACACTATACTATACAATACCATACACATGTACAGAAATAAACCAAAAATAGAAACCTTACCCTGGTTTGCCTCCCGATTCCATGTGGTTAGCCAATCGAACATCAGAAGACCATATATCAAATTGCCATTTTCTTAAACCTAACACGCCACATAGAACTGATCCAGAATGTACTCCTATTCTCATATCCAAATCTTCTACCTGCAAATAAACAAAACGATTCAGGTTATAGGTGATTTTGTCTTACACTTTACTGATTCGTCGCATTTGGACTCGACCATTTAGAGACTGACACATCAAATTTTTAGAGACTTCTTTAGGAAGTCTCTAAAAATTGATTGAAGTGTACAAGAGCATTGTAATTCAATCAATCAACTACAGAAGTCAACTTAGAGAGAGTAGGAGAGCAAAGTAAATCAATCAATAAACTTTAGCAGATATTTACGTATTGGTTGAAAGCCAGTATTTTTTACTTGCCGTATAATAAACAAACATCCAATATAAAAATACGCGAAATATTTCTCATCAGAATTTTTAATCTCAATATAACACTGTTTACAACCTGTGGATAATTTCAAAAATTATATTCAGAAAATGGCATACATACCTATAATGTAGATCTACTAACTCTTCTACAATATGAAAGAAAAAACGCCGTCAGCCACGGCTATAAAATGAAGATCGCTCTCATTTTATGTGTAAAATTATATTGGGAATGTCATCGATGTTCATTTCCCAGCCAACTGGAGGCCGTTTTTTTATCATACAGTTCAACGAAAATAAATAAAAACTTATTTTAAAATTAATAACATATCTATATAATTTGCAGTATATTTCTTGTAAACTATTTTATTTAAATAGTACAGACTTTAGGATAAATTTAAACAGTGTTTCTTTTATCTTCAGAGAAACTAAACAACTGCTGTATAATACAATAGTAATGGGAACAATGCAGGCCAGGGCAGTTAGGTGAAATAATGGCCTTTAGGAGAAGTTTTTGCAATCAAGCTAATTTTTTCACAGATGATACTAACCATCAATAGTACTCTGCAAAAAAAAGTTGCACCTAGTAGGAGGCTTGCTTTTTCCGCCATGCTGAATTAAAGATGGCCGACACAATATTTTTTTAAATACTGTAACTTTCTTATTGTTTAACCGATTTACCTCAAACAAACTCCATATTAAGGAGGAAGAGAATGAAGAGAAGCTATTTTTATAACAAAGTTTGTCAAAAAGTCGTATACAGGGCGAGAAAAAAAAAATAAAAACCGATTTTTTAATTTTCGGGAATTTTTTAAAATACATGATAATGCAAAAAAAGATAAAAATGCTATTAATATTTATATTTTAACGCACTTTACACGTTTCAGGGGAAAAAAGTACAAAAAATTGAAAAATCGATTTTTTTCAAAGGGGTATGCTCCGAAAATCGACAACTGAAAAATTTTATTCGAAAAATCTTAAAAACTATTCGTTTTAGATGGGTTCATTCACAGTTTAAATGGAGCAATTGTAGGGCTACACAAGCTCTATCCACACAGGGGTCAACCATCATTTTACAATTTATCATTTTCGAGATTTTAAGGATTTTTAGATTTTGCAAATTTTTGACTTTGGATCGATTTCTACAACACTCTGTACAATATTAAGAAGTAAAAAAAACTCACGTTAATGAGCACCACCTATGCTCTATTCAACAATGTATAACTAATTACAGACAAATGAAGGATATGGGAGATATTTTTAAAAAAGGGCAAAAAAGGAAAATTTCCAAAAAATTTGAGGCCAAAATTGAACTTTGAGAACACAAGGTTTGGGATCTAATTTTGATTTGGCAAATCTTCCTCCCACAGAAGACTCCAGTAATCAACACGTTTTTAGAGTATATTTACAGGTACAAGGAGAGGAAACGAGTTAGATCCACTTGAGTGGGGGTGGTTTGCCAGTGGCAATGAGCTTTTCCCAGTGACTTACACCAAACCAAAGGCAACTGTTTATATTTTATGTCAATCGAGCAAAAAATAAAGTATTTTTACATCCTGCATAAGTTTTATTTTTGTTTGTATCCTTAAGTATCCTTAACTCTATACACTATATCTCCCGCACTACTCAAGGACTGTTTCAAAATCAGAACAAAAGAGCGCATATTCTTTAACCTTTTTTGCTACGGAGTACAGTTCAAAAAAAATTGAAGAAAAGCGAGTCGATTTCTTTTATTATTTTCCCTTTTTTTATTTTTGACAGAAAAACAACCTGTCAAAATAGTTTTATATTTTTATTTAATTCGTTAGCCCAAAACAAAGGTAATGATTTTTACTTGACGAAAATCGGTTAATAAATAAGAAACTTACGATTTTTTAGAGAATAGTTCAGACGCTATCTTTAATTCAACATGGCGGAGGAAGCAAGCGCTCTAGGAGGTGTAACTTTTTTTTACAGAGTACTGTTAATGAGTACTATCATCTGTGAAAAAATCAGCTTCATTGCAAAAACGTCTCCTATTTTTGCTAACTGCCTTGGCGTAATGGTCTTGCTTTAGCTATTGTAGCAATGTGAATATGGTATATTTGTTGCATGGAGATAATAATATTTCAGTTACGGCTTTATATGGCTCCACAAATTTTGATTTAGTCATAATAGTTATCTTATTATACAAGGTGTTCCTTAATGACATGCTAATATTTAAGGAGGTGATTTTTGGCCCTATCCTAAGAAAAAAACTTCTTAAAAAAACTTCTCCTAAACATCTTAACTCTTTCGATACAGGGTAGTAAAATTTTCTATTTTTTTTTCAAAATATCCCACCTTACCACCTTGTATTTGATACACGTCTATGCATCTAAGGGCAACGGCCCAGCTACGTCGAAACACCGTTTCCCATTAGAACACCGAAGTTAAGCGACGTAAGGCGATATTAATGGATGGACGGGTGACCGGTTAGAAACTCTGCGTGCTGTTGTCCAAAAAAAGGCAAAAGTGTAAAATCTATTGATACACACTGCTCATTCACGCCGGTTCAAGGCCAGATAAGATCGGATATCTCGTGAGTAAGAGTCGATTTAGATACTGGCGATTTAGATACTAAGTAAGAGTCGATTTAGCTCTCTGGAACAGCATGCGGCCCGTCTGGCTGCTGATACCCGTTGCGTTCCCTACTGCGCATTGAAACAAGATTTTATATTTTTATTAGTCCTTTAAATTCTAGTATTGAATATAAACCGACCGAATCTCCATAGCTCGGCGCGTAGAGGTTCTGCCTATCAAGCGAGGAGTCAGAGTTCGAATCCCGGTCAGGGCAAAAAATATTTGTTTTTTTAATCAATCACCAGAATTATTTAATACTTTACTATCAGAATATAAACGAAAATAAAATAAAAAAAGTCTTTGCCCTGACCCGAATTCAAACTCTGAACTTCTACGCGCTGAACTATGGAGACTCGGTCGGTTTATAGTCAATACTAGAATTTAAGGGACTAATAAAAATATAAGATCTTCTTTCAATGCGCAGTAGGGAACGCAACGGGTATCGGCACCCAGACGGGCCGCATGCTGTTCCAGAGAGCATAGTAAAATATATATCAAAGAGCCAGCTTTCTTAAAATACTTCCTCGAAAACGTTGCTAGCTCTTAGACTATTAATATTTGATAGAATGTAGGATACTTGCACTAGTACCATATAATTAATGAAAAAGTACAAACTAAATTTAGTTTTACAGAGTATATGTTTTTTGTGTATTTTTGACATTCAGATAGTAAAATAACGGATAATAACGTAGGTATATAGCTTTCGAAATCCCTCATACGAGTATGCTAATATTATATTATGATTTTAGTTTTCTATTTTATTGTCTAATGTTCAGGTCGGAAGTGACATTCAGTTTTATACAGGGTCGGGCAAAGGTACGTCGGGTCTAGATCCTAGAATAAAAAACTTGAAATTTTTGTTTAAGTGGAAACTTAAAGTATGTACGAGGATGTATTTCAAGAAAATTTTTTAACTTCTACAGGGTAGCCCAAGGGAGTGGATTGGGATGCTTTTTTTAATGGAACACCCTGTATATTATTACATTTTTGGCTTCCTTTCAGATCACTTTACATAATCTTTAGATGTGAGTAAATATGTTTTGATAATTTCAGAGATATTAATAAATAAATAAATAATATATATATATTTTTTAACCTTCATTAAAAAATTATTACTAATACAAGAACTATTCTGAAATCAAAACTATATTAAGTATTTACTTTACATGGTCTATGCTTGCTATAAATATCGTAATCTTAAATCATACAGGGTGTTCAAAATTCCACGTTAAACTTTCGTTCTTATTTTATATTTTAAATTTTTTTTTAAATATAAAATAATGTTTCTTTGTTTTTTTTAATGGAACACCATGTATATTATTAGATGGAGAGTTAAAAATAAAGATTTTTTATATTTAAGAAATATAAAGTATTTCAAAATTTTTAATGGCTTTGCAGATACTATTATTATTTCATAATATGGCTCTTTCATCGGTAAAATAGGTACGACGGGAAAATCATTGGGTGACCTTGATAAAAATTTGCCGTAAAAAATGCCCTTTGAAATTAAAACCGTGAATATTTTAAAGCCGTTAAAAATTTTGAAATACTTTAAAAACAAAAAATGTTTTGGTTTGGTTTGGTTTTTTTACTTCTCCATCTATTGAAAAATAATATACAGGGTGTTCCACTTTCAATTAAGTACAGACCATCTAAACTAAATACGTAATATTGTTTTAATTTCAGGACAGTACTTGTATTTTTAATAATTTTTTTAAGGTTAAAAAATATATATTTTTATTTATTAATATGTATCTCCGAAATTATCAAAATATATTTACTCGTATCTTAGGATTATGTAAAGTGATCTGATACGAAGCCAAAAATACAATAACATGTAGGGTGTTCCATGTAATCCCGATCCACTCACACTTTTTTGAGCCACCCTATAGAATTTCTTTTCCTAAAATACATCCTGGCACATACTTTAGGTTTGCACTTAAACAAAATTCCCAAGTTTTTTTTTTATTCTAGGAGCTATGTACATGCCCGACGCACTTTTGTCGGACCCTGTACCTACAGATGATATTTAAATGAAATAAAAAAATATATTAATCAAATCAACACAGTTTTATTGAAAAAAATATGGTATTAAAATTTAACACAACGTCATTTTAATAGTCTTGACTTACAATTAGATCAAGAATATCTTCACTTAGTCCCTTTAAAATAGATTTATACGATTCGTTTGACCAATTCATGTTAATCAGTTCGATTCGATTTTTGTGCATGTAATAATCGAATTTTTCCTGATCGTGGAAAATTTCTTCTCGAAAATCCGGATCTATCTGTGTCACGTGACTGTATTCAGTGGCGATAATCAAAGCTACCGATTTCATAAACTTCAAACTTTGACGATATCCTTCTTTCGGGTAAACTATTTCTGGATCCATATTAAATTTTTTTATATGGTTCGATAAGTGGTCGTAATATTCATCCAAGAGTTTGGTCAGGCACTTATTTCTTGTTTCTTTGGTAGAGGCGACATGGAGAAAGAATAAAACATCATACGTAGGCGGACAGTATTTTAATAGCTGGAAATCTACCAGAATGGCGTCGGTTACTGTTTTATCTTTATTGAATGACAATAATACGTTTCCTAAATACATATCTCCGTGAATCAACCCGTTTTTGTGTTTCTCGCTTCGAACCATTTTTTCAAAGTTCTTCATATACATCTCGTCAAAGCGCTTATAGATTTCTTCTTCTGACAGTTTCAGGTCTTTTGTCAAATCTGGAAATTGCCTGATGATGTATTTTAGAGCACTTCTAGAAAGATCGAATATAGGCTTAAAAGGATTTTGATCATTATCGACGTAAGTGGAATCGTTTAGAATATACTCAAAATCATCGTAAAACGTATAAGTTTTTCCGTTGCGTTTTGATATGATTTCTTCATAAATAAGACTGCAAGCATGAAATTTCGCTAATTTCCCGACAACAACACTTAGTCCTTTGTAATCTAAAACATTGTTCGGTTTCAGTCCAACAAATCCCTCTACGCTTAAGTCATCCAGAATAACTAACCAACCAACTCTGCTCAAATAACACGCCGGCCCAAAATCTAAAAGTTGCCCCATTCCATTTTTCTCAAATAAACCAATTAGTTCGCTGTAAAAGAAATGCTCCTTTTTGGCAGGTCCCGCTTTTACAAACATTTCCATTGTTTCTGTAGGCACAATAATAAATTTTGCAAATAACGTAAGCAATTGAAGCTTACCGTGAAAGTTTACGTTAATATATAAGTGGTAGTACTGACCAAGGTGTCCGTTAGTTTCACTTAAGGGAGTCATTTTGTATCCAAGTAGTTCATAGTCAGACGACTTAAGTTTGTTCTCAACTGTTTCGTATATATCTTCTTGATTTATTAAGGGATACTTAAAGAAATTTCCGATGTTTGATAATAGTTCTTTATGATTTTGTTCAAGAACCTTATTAAGTATATTAAGTTTTATAATGGGCAACAACACTCTAATACTGTATTCGTTATATTCCGTCGTTAGTTTAGATCCCAAATCATTCTTTGATTTCTTAAGAGAATCTTGCAGTTTTTGAAAATAGTTCGTTACCAGTTCTTTGAAGTGAACTTTTCTGAAATTTTCATCGCTTAAAAGAAAAATGAACCACAAAGCGTCATATGCTGGAGGAATAAGCCGTCCTTCTTCTATTTCTAAAAATAGAGCGGAATTTCCTGTTTCGTTAATAAGTACACTTATATTGCCTCCTGTATTTATTCCGATACTTCTAACAACTAACTCATCACCAAGAAGCTTATTGAAATTCTTTTCTAATTTGTTCAATTCTTTATCAAAGACGGATTTGTCAATTTCTAAGTTTGATCCTTTGTCACCAATAGTTTTAATATCGTACCTACTAAATCTTGAGTTGTTTTCTTTATTAATCAGGTAATTGACCTGGTACTGTGCTAAACTTTCCAAAATTACTTCCAAATGTTTCAGGTCATTTCTTTTTGGAAATTTCACATCTGTGAAGTGTTGTTCTGGGAAAGCCAGGTAATGTTGATTAGATGTGTCTCTTATAACGAATTGGGCACGCACAAGTTTACTTAGATCGTTGATTTGGTTACCGAATGGAGGCAGTTGACTTGTTTCACATTTTAACAGATAGAAAGTTTTCAATGTACCCGACTCTCGCACTTTGATAACGGTAAAATTCTCGTTAAAGTCGCATTTTTCCGTTTCGAACGTTATAATTTCCGAACCGGTATGCTTCAAGACTTTCGACAGCTCGTCTATCGAGAAATTACACGATTTATTCATGTCTAGGCGCGATGAAATATGTTTTTAGACTGGCGGTATACATCGACTTAATCGCGATACTTCACTGATGACCGACCTCCATAAAACGTGAGAATTGTTTTCGTCGCAAATTACTGTGTAACTAAACCTTCTCCCGATATATACAAAATTAGTCAGATGTTTTAGATCTCGATAAAATTCCTGTTGAGATATTTTTTTATTGAAATAATATGCCTTGATAAGTAAAAAGTAATTAAGATATTGAACACAGAATACGTTATACAGGGTGGCGCCTCCCATACGCCGCGGAAGCTCCAAGGAGAACGGTAGTTTATATTGAAATGAAATTTTGGCAGCTTATGTAGGTTAATTGAAAGCATTTTATAAAAATATATAGAATTGTACAGGGTGTCCCCAAAAAAGTTATACATCAAAGTTGTGTTTTTTCTAATGGAACACCCTATATATTAATTGATTTTCGGATTCTAGGAAAAAAATAAAGGTGAGTTTGTAATATACATTATTATTTATTAATATTTGATTTGGGATTATAATTTTATTGACGGACATCGATCAATGTCAAAATAAAAATTATTATTATATAAAATTATATAATTATTTTTTTTACGTATATTGGGGACGACTGACCAGCACTGTTCCGCTATTCAGGTGACTGACTAACATTGCAGTTCTTTGTGTATAATATATAATAATGTATAACGATTTTCAGCCTTAGTAAATTCGTTGTGCATTACCTAAGTTATCTTCACAACTTTGACCACGTCCCAGAGGTCCTTGTTCTAATTTTCGCTTGATTGACCACGGTATATGTATGTACATAATTACTGTATTAACTGTGTAAAAATTGGCTTTGGTAAATTCAGAGACTTTTTTTATGTTGGCTCTCCGTCTATAGGTGCTTTAACTTTTGACTTTGAAAATCAAGAAAAATTACGGAAAGAGTAAAAACTACTCCCACCTCTACATAAATTTTAGTATAGATATTCACGAACTCCACCGACGCGACGGCGACGACAGATGTTTTTTCTTAAATAATCCTTCTAGTATTTACTACATTTTTGTCGCTTGTAAAAAAACACCACCGCTTCAGTGCAATGTTTACAAAAAATATTGTTTTTCTAAATTTCTGATTCATTTGGCGAAATATCGGAGAGAAAGAAATATCATTCAAGAGAATTTGAATGACGTTGAAGTTCCTAATGTAGAAAAATAGTTAGAATTATGATTAACAAAATTCGGAAGCAAATAAACAAAATTATAATTCAAATTCTGCTCTGTCATCTAATCGATCAGCAGCATATCAATTGTCTCATTTAAATAAATCAAATTAGAAAATTTAAATTATTCGTAACAATCAATTCGGCTCTTTATGATGACGCTTAAACAAATTGCCCGCCCGGCTGATACGTAATAAATAAAACTAAAATTGTATTTATTTGTTTATGGGGTCCAAGGACGACTGCCTCGCTATCAGTGTAATGTGGCATAATTGCCAGTGGTTAAACTAATAGGCAAATATAAATAAATTAATTGTTTTGAACTTGAAACTTTGGATTTACAGCTGCTAGAAATAATATGTAATTTTGAACAAGCCATTTTATTCAAAGTTTTGATTTCTAGAATTTTTTTACAGTCAGCCATACAAAAATATGTTAATAAAAAGTTGGTAGGCAGTTCTTTTAGTTTCAAAGTAAAGGAATTTTTCCAATTTTGGTCCGCGGTTATTTCACCACGTGGGGTCGCGTCCGATGGGAGTTTGGAGTTCTCCACACGGATTTTCTCAAAAACGGACTTCGGAAACACGGAATATCTCAAAAACTGCGACTTTGGCTGATTTTGATGTTATTACAAATTTTGTTGCAAATATTATTCCTAATCTTAAATTGAAAACCGCATTTCGCTAGCTACTGTAACTTTGGAGTTACGATTTTTTTTAATTTTTAACCCCCTCCCATACCCCCTTACCAACCCCCCACCCCACCAAAAACTAATGTTCAGATTCTCGGGTACCACAGTATTTTTGTGCCAAATTTGGTTAAAATCGGTTTAGCGGTTTTTGTGTTATCGTGCTACAGACGGACATACAGACAGACACACCATGAAAATATTTTGTATTTAGGTCATAATTTATGACCCAAACAACTCATTTTGAGTGAAATTAAAAAAACTTTTTTTTGCCGATCTTAATAACTTAAATAACTTAATCTTAAAACGCGAGTGTTATATTTTTGTTATTTTTAGCCCTCTTTTCATAATTTTTTTATCAAGCTGTATATACCTCATTATATCAACTTTAAGTCGTAAATTCAGTTTTTTATAAACTTTAGTGTTTGGCATATTACACAGGGTTAATCGAGGGGTTGTTTTTTTACCCTAATTATAACACACCCTGTGCAATAATTTCGTGTGTAAATTTTCCTAAAATATAATTTTACGGTTAGAACTATGTCCTGAGCATTTCGTTTTTTGGACCATGTCAATACATGCCGTGGTTAATTTTTAAGAGCGAAATGAACTGGCTACCAATAATTTGCATTTTTTTCAATTATAATTTCTTTTTGAAGTTATTTTTCAATATGACAAGGCCGCTTTGGTGATTATTTTGAACTATGAACTTCCCATGATGTCCGACGTTTGGGAAATGCTTGGCAGGAGGGTCGCAAAGCGGTTCCAGTTTCATTAAATGAACTTCGCTTAGTTCTTAAAAAAGAATGGGAAAGCATAACGCAATATGATATATGCAGCCTCAATGACAGTATAAACGGACGTCCACAGGCAGTTATAGCAGCCAGGAGAGGCAATACAAAGTATTAGGGTATTTTTTACAATTTCTTTTTCTGTTTGTATACTTGAGTATTACAGATGCAGACTTACAATGCTTTGCAGTTCTAGTATATCGTTGACTATTATAACCGTATCATCGGCATATCTGATATTGTTTATTGGGATTCCATTGAACTTGATTCCACCCTGGATTCGATCCAGTGCTTCTCTAAATATAGTCTCCGAGTATAGGTTAAACAGAAGCGGAGACATGACGCAACCCTGCCGAACACCCCGTCTGATTTGTATATCTTCCGATGTTGACTGCTTCATCTTAACTACCATCGTTTGATGCCAATAAAGTTCTGATATGAAACGTAGGTCTTGTTCCTCAACTCCGGTTGTTCTTAGAATTTCGATCATCTTCTGATGATTAACACAGTCGAACGCCTTACGATAGTCGATGAAGCATGCAAATACATTCACATTCATATCTCTACACCTCTGTGTCATTACATTTAGGGAGAAGAGTGCTTCACGCGTTCCGTTTCTGAAGCGAAACTGGGTGTTGTCCATCTGATTTTCGCACTTCTTGTAGATTCGCGTGTGAATGATTCTAAGAAAGGTTTTGAGGACATGGGACATAAGACTTATCATCCGATAGTCATCACATTGTGAGGCGTTGGGTTTCTTTGGCAGGGTTACGAATTTTGATTTAAGCCAATCTGACGGTATTTTGCCGAGGCGAATGAGGTGCGCCACGCTGATTAATATTATTTTGTACTTGATAAATTAATAAAAATAATAAACGACAAAACACAATAAATAGCATATGTTTATTTTACAATAAGTTATTATCATTATAAAATTTGAATACATAAATAAAATACATTATTCAAATTCTTACTACAGATCCTCCTTTTTGATTAAATCTATTATATCGCTAACAAAACCTGTCATGGTCTCTTTATAAATATCATCCTCCCATCCTAAATCTACAAAAGCTCTCTTATTAACACCAAAGTAATATTCCATTTTCTCTTTATCTTGAAATATGCTTTCTCTTGTCTTTGGATTAATTTTAATCATAAATGCGTAACTTAGAGCTGCTGATAAGGCTGCAGACCGGTAATACTTTATACTCTCATCAAAAGAATCCCGTGGAAAAATCTTTTCAACGTCATACCCAAAATCTTGAATATATTTTGCGATATCTTGATAAAACTCATCGATAAGCTGGGGCAAGTATTGCAGTCTTGTATTTCTTGGCATGCATAAAAACGTGAAAAATAATAAATCGTAAACCGGAGGCATATAACGCATAAGTTGAAAATCAACGAGAACTGCTCTAGGCGTGTTTCTTTCATTGTTATGATTCAAAAGTGCATTTCCTATATACATATCTCCATGAGTTAGGGTACATCGAAACGATTCTGGATGATTGGATATCTTTTTATAAAGAGACATAAATATTTTGTCGGTTCCAGCGAAAATTTCTTCTTGAGTTAATCCAGATGTTTCAGTTATATGAGGGCATAACTCTATTATATAATGCAAAGCACTTTTACTTTGTTGAATGGATTTCTTCACCGATTCGTTATCGATGTACACCATGATCATTTCTACAAACATTCCTGGATAAAGCTCATCCATTCGAACAGGCTTTCCTTCTTTGATAGATAGTTTTTCTTCCAAAATTAATGTAGCTGCAATAAACTTAGCATATTCCGACATCACAGCCTTTACATCAGGATAATCTAAATTGGCGTTGGGCTTATATGCAACGAATTCATCTTTCAGTAAGTCAGTGAGCACTAATAACCAGTTACTTTTACTCAAATAACATTTTGGTGAAAAATCCGCTAACTTTTCTAACCCGTATTCTTGATACAAAGGTAATAAAGTACCATAGAAAAAGTCCTCCTTCTGTGCCAAACCACTTTTTACCAGGTTATTCAACTGTTCAGCTGGTGGTATAATCACTTTTGCAAAAAAATGGAAATGTTCCTCTTCTCCGAAACGGTTAATCGAAACATTTAAATGATAATATTCTCCTAGATGTCCGTTTCTCTCATCCAAACTCTTCATAGAGTAGCTTATTAGTTCGTAGTCTTTTGATTTGGTGTTGTTTGCAATTATCTCATAGACATCTTCTTGGTTTAATAATGGATATTTAAGAAATCTTAAAATATTTACTCGGACATCTTCTGGTAATTTGAATTCGATTAATAGGCGAAACTTTACTATTGGAAGTAAAAATCTCAAAGTAGTCTCTTTGTACTGTCTCGTTATTTTAGACAAAGCATCCGTACCCAAGATTTTAAGAGAGTTAGATAGGGAATTAAAATATACCTCCATTAAATCCTTAAAATGTTCCCTGCGAAATACTTCATCGGTTAAAACAAAAATGTACATTAAGGCATCATACACAAGAGGTACATATTCCGGAATAGAAGAATCGAAATTTGCGTTCTGCACCTTAAGCATAGATTGGTTTAATGGACATCCTAAACTTCCAACAAGTAATTCAGGTTCTAAGAACGGAGACACGTCTCCTTCCAAATACTTTATAGCACTTTCAACTCTTTCTTTATCAATGTCTTCAAATAAATTTAACGACAAAACATTCTCCAAGAGTTCTTTAAGCTCACTATCAGCTTTTTCGACTGGTTCTTTTTGTCTGGATATTAAACGAGCTTGATAATTCCCAATACATTCCAGAATTACTTCCAGATTGTCTTTGAGAGTTGGTTTTGATATATTTGAAACCTTCCTTTCAAACACTACATACTTTTCGTCGTTTGTGTATTGGAAATGAAATAAGGATGGTAAGGTAGAATTATCTGCTGAATCTGGAATCCATTTATCTTGTACTTTACCAGATATTGCTAATTTTAATCCAATATATTGTTTCTTCACATCTTTACACTTTATATTTATACTCCAAAAGTTTCTATTTTCTTCACACTGTTCTATGGTAGCATTTAGTTGCGTTTCACTTGGTACAGATATAGCACTACAAATGGAATTTTGCAATTTAAGATTGTCCATTATAATTATTTTTTAATGGACTGGATATTATTACTACTAAACATCTGTTTACACTCTATTACAAAATAGCCAGGTTTTAGTGGTTTTATATTATTAAGCATCATTTAGTGGATATAATCTTATCGAAAATGATAAAAAGTATGTGTATCACTGTGACAGAGAGTATTTTAAAATAACGACAATGTTTATCTGATATAAATCGGAATTATCGTGTTGTGCATCTATTTATTTATATGCATTATTAAATAATTTTGAAGTCATTATAAGAAAATTATTGCAAATTGATGTTATAGAAATATTATTATTTATATTTGTAATCTGTATCCTCAGTTATATTCTCAGAGAAATGAAGTTTTGGGTTCAAGAATGGGTTCAAGAATTTTAGCACAATCACGCTGACTTAGAATAGATATCCCAATCTACTTGGCAATATTAAAAGATAATGATATTTTCGTATCAGTTAAAAATCTCGAATGTCACAGAATTAGATAAAAGTAAAAATAAAGTAAAGCTAAAATAAATACTTAATAATAATTCTGCTATTATTTTCTGATAATGATGATTAATTAATATTATTAAATAATAATTTTTTTTTCAAAATTCGCCGAAGATCAAGTTTGCATGCCTTGGAAATTCAATTGACACTTTATATGTCAGCAAGTTATTTTTTGTTTATTCTATTAAGTGTCAAATCTGGATGCACAAAAATGGTATAGTAGAGTGTAGAGTTCAATACAGATCAATACAGAACCTAAAATTTTATTGTCAAGAATGCCAGCCCAATTTACAAAAATTACAATCTTCTTAAGGTCTGGCAGTAAATTAGAATACAGCCATTAAAAAGTAAAGAGGAATACGGGCTAAAGAAATGACGCCTAAGGCTTGGCCTCGCCAAAATTATCATCAATTGTCATTTTTTTTTTGATCGTATGGTATTTACAGGGTTGTCCACCACATACAACACGGAGTATTGTAGCTAAACGGTTAGATTTTTATAAAATGTAAGTTTTGGGTTCGTTGAAGAACTATTAGAACTATCATTTAAAAATGATTTTACAAGATACAGAGTGTCCCAAATAAGTAAAAAATATTATAGTTGTATTTCTTTAAATGGAACACCCTGTATATTATTTTATTTTAGATTCTACGATTGAAATAAAGGTAAATTTGATTAAGGTTTATCACACTTAAACCTTACCGTTTTTGAAATGTTTTGAATTTTATCAAATTGCAGTATTGCAAGGCGTTAAACGCTATATACGGGAGCTACTATTATTATTATTTATTGATCAGATATTGTATTGCAATAATAAAAATTATACTACCTTATACAGAGCGTACAAAAATTTATATTAATTAACTACTAGTTTTAAACGGCAATAATTTGTTTAATTTAAAAGGAACACCCTGTATATTTTACCTGAATCAGATGTACAATTTAATTTCTATCAAATTGTATTGTGTCAATCTTTACCTATCCTTCAAGTTGAGAACCTGTCCAACAGCAGCAATGGAGGTCATTCTAGATCTAACACCACTGCACATTGTCATTGGTAGATATGCCAATGCGACAATGATTAGAATGGTCACTAACGGAATTAGTACTGGGAGAATTGTCAGATCAGGGGCTTGGAACACCCTCATAAAGGAAATACCACTCCTGCAACTCCCAGTGGACGATATGCCAGAACGTACAACTTTGAGAAACATCTCAATGTAGTATTGATCAATAAAAAGGATTGGAAGAGCGAAACGCTTGCCCAGCAGTTAAAAGACCATAACTTGGTATACTGATGCTTCCAAAACCAATACGGGAACAGGGATCGGAGTGTTTGGGCCGAGAGCTAAATACTCCGAACCAATGGGCACTTACCCTAGTATCCTACAGGCTATAATCTACGCTATCGAAGATGCGTACAACTTATCTTAGATAGGAACTATCGGAAACAAGAAATAGCCATCTGGTCTGATAGTCAAGCAGCGTTAAAAGCGATCAACTCAGTATCAATCAATTCGAAATTGGTCAAAGAATGCATAGAGAAGCTGAATAAATTAGGCAAAGAAAACAAAGTCCTCCTACTCTGGGTGCCTGCTCACCAAGGGATAGAAGGCAATAAAAAAGCAAATAATCTAGCTAGGAAAGGAGCGAACATTCCACTAACTAGACCAGAACCGTTCTGCTTTCCAAGTGGTAACCAACTCAAGGCAGAACTCAAGAACTTAGAAGATTCCATCCGCAACCTGGAATGGAAATCTTGCAACGGTCTAAGACACTCGAATAAGTTTCTGAGGGCTTATGATCAAGAAAAATCACAGATCTTCCTGGGTTTAAGTAAGAACAATCTTCGGATTGTCACGGCGTTTTTAACAGGACACTGTCTCCTCAATGAACAGCTCAGTAGATTGAAACTAAGAAGAAACGGCGAATGCAGATTCTGTGGGGAAGATGGGGAAACACCAGTACACCTCATCACTGAGTGCGCCGAGACGACAACCATTCGTGCCATGAATTTTGGTACGACTGATATTGGAGATGGAGAACTACCCTCTATAAAACCGTCCCAGATACTGGCTTTTGTCAAAGCCCTGGGACTGTATGATGAGTTATGACTCAAGAAAGGGGGACACAATGGATCTGTAAGGTCGCAGTGATTAACAACCCTCCCACTCATTCTAAATTCTAAAAAATTCTATCCTTCAAGTTTTCGAAAATGCATTTTCTTATAATTTAAACCTCATTTATATGCCCATGGAATATTGACATTTTAGATTTTTTTAAAGCAACATGTATACAAAAAGTACAGGTGGTTAAAATAATAATATTGCGAGCCCATTTGTTTACAAAAAGAAAACTATTTAAATCTTTATAAAAGAGTATACCAATTAAATATACCACCATTATTTCCACCCAAAAATTAGTTAAATTACTTAATTGTTTCAATTAATAAATTATTCTAAATAAATGCGGATTTGACTCAATATAATAATAAGTTATGAAAATTAACGTCTCTGTTGTTATAAATAAGCATTCGTCAAAAAATGGAATAAAATTTATAAGGTGTTACTTTTTACAAGACTGTCTAATACACATACAAAATTCAGTTTTTCAGTGTGTTTGGAGCAATCATTATTAATAAACGTAAAGAGTCAATTAATGTAGTTTGAATACTGGGGTCATATTAATTGGTCCTTTTTAACAAACAATATTTAAACAGTTTTTTTTAAATTTTTTAATGAAATAGACGAACTATATCGACAATATTAGTACCTGGTACTCTTTGAAATTTTGTTACATCTTTAAAAATAATCTAAAATGTCAATATTCCATGGGTATAGTGATAAATGAAGTCTAAAAAAAGAAAATGCATTTTCTACAAATATTTGAAGAGATAGGTAAAGAATCGAATAATACAATTTAATAGACAATTAGACAATTAAATAGTGCATCTGATTCTTGTAAAATATACAGGGTATTCCATTTAAATTAAACAAGTTATTGCCGTTTAAATCTAGTATTTATTTAATATAAATTTTTAGACACAATATCTGATCAATAAATAAACTTCAGTAAATATTTAGTATTCAAATCTTTGATACCCTTGGAGAAATAAAGCCTTACAAGTTTTATTGCAATTTGATAAAATTCAAAACATTTCAAAAAGGTTAAGGTTTAAGTGTGATAAACCTTAATTAAATGTACCTCTATTTCAATCGGAGGCGAGTATTCAAGTGTGATAAACCCTAATCAAATGTATCTCTATTTATCAATCGTAGAATCTAAAAATAGAATAATATAGAGGGTATTCCATTTTAAAAAAAATACAGTTACTTATTTGGGACACTCTGTATCTTGTAAAATCATTTTTAAATCGTAGCTCTAATAGTCCTTCAACGAACCCAGAACGTACAATTTGTAAAAATCTAATCGTTTAGCTACAATACTCCGTGTCGTATGTGGTGAACAACCCTGTATAATCTACTGGCTATTTTAATAAAACAATATTCAAATATCACTATATATTATTAAAGTATCAGGAACAAAAATTTACAAACTATTATTTACATCTTAAACATAAAATCACAGTTTGGTAAATAAAGGACATATTAAGAAAAATAGAAACAAAGCAGCAAGTTTCTACGGCTCCAGATTGTTTTCTACAATATAATCTGTCATATCTTTAAGGCTATTTATTACACATTCCCTGTAATACTCATTTGACCATACCAGATCAACATAATCCTTGTAGTTGTTTTCGATATAGTGATTAAATTTCTCCTGGTTTAGAAGCATTTCTTCTCTTATCTCTGTGTCGGCTTTCAACATGTAAGTATAGATAAAAGCAAGCGATAGACAGGCGGGACGTACATGTTTTATGCTGTCATAAAAATGTTCTCTTGGATATACTTTTTCTGGGTCATGCCCAAAATCATTTAAATACCTGGCGACGTCGTCATAGTATCCTTCAATCAGCTGATTGATATGCTTCAGTTTTGTCTCTCTAGAAGAGTTCGCGTAAAGGAAAATTAACATTTCGAATGCTGGCGGTAGATAACGTAAGATCTGGAAATCAACTAATATAGCGTTGGAGACAGAACCGTCCTGTTCCTTTTTAAATAGCATATTCCCCAAATGCATGTCGCCATGGACAATTGAGTTTCTGAAGGTATCAGAGGTGAGAATTTTTGGGAAAAGTGACATAAATAATTTATCAAATTTCTCGCATTTTTCTTCGTAGGATACTCCAAGGTGTTCCGTTATTTCTGGCAATATTTTTATAAAATAATTTAAACCATTCCTGGTATTATCGCATAGCTTCTGCATGATATGTCCGTCTTCGTATACAAAAATCGATTCTTCAAATTTTCCGAAAATCTCATTCATCCTAACTGGTCGACCTTTAATTCTTGACAAATTTTCTTCTACAACTAAACTAGCGGCAGCAAGTTTAGCCAACTTAGCCACGACGCACTTTAAACCATCAACATCCAGGTTTTTGTTAAGTTCGAAGGTAACAAACCGGTCCTTAACCAAATTATCTAATACTAACATCCAATTAAGTCTGCTTATATAACATTTCGGAGCAAAGTCCAGCAATTTTTCTAGCCCGTGTTCTTCATACAACGGTATCAACGTAGTATAGAAGAAGTCTTCTTTTTCCGAAGGCCCGTTTTTAGCTATTTCCTTCATAAAATCTGTGAGCGGAATTATGACCTTAGCAAAAAGGTGCAACTCAGTTACTCTACCCTGGTAATTGATTTGAATATCAAGATTAAAATACTGTCCCAGATGTCCGCTTTTAGAATTCAAGTTTATCATCTTATAATCTAGAAGGTCATAATCAGAAGAGTTTAATTTATTTTGTACGATCTCGTAGATATCTTCTTGATTGATTAAGGGATATTTTAGAAAATTCAATGCATTTGAAATGAGTTCTTCAGTTGCTAGTGAGTCAATAATTATCTGGAATTTGATGATTGGAAGGAAAACTCTTACTGTAGTTTCTTTGTATTCTCTAGTAATATTAAAAGTTTCTGTATTTTTCTGTTCTAAATAGTAAACAAGTGAGTCAAAATATGTTTTAACTAACTTAGTGAAATGTTTTTGGCGAAAATTTTCATCGCTAAATGTAAAGATGGACATTAAAGCATCATAGACTGGAGGCACGTATTTTTCTTTCGAATTATATAAAATAATACTTTTCTTAATCTTTAGATTGACCCATATATTTTTTCCTAAAGGACACACTACACTTCTGACAAATAATTTACTTTCAAAGAATTTATTTATGTCTGCTTGAAAGCGGATTTTAGTGTTTTCTATTGCTTCTTTGTCGTAATCTTTAAAACGAGCTGTTACCTTATTAAATAGGGTTTCCACATCAAAACTGGCATTCGGTTGTTCTTCCTTTTTAGTAGTCAAATATGAAGCTTGAAATTCCGCCAAAGATTTCAGGATTATTTCGAGATGTCCAAGATTATTTTTCTCAATTACAATGCAATTTTCTAACTTCCCTGTATCAAACGCTGCGTACTTCTGTTTGTTGGTGTGCTGGAAGCCGAATAATGGAGCTATAATTAAATCGTTGGCGATGGTCTGACCATGACCTTTATCTATCCTGTCCATGGCCGGAACAACTAAATATTCTTTTTGTTTGGTATCGTTTTTAACGTTTAATGTTAAAAGACCATCGTCATTTTTAGACTTATTTAACGTACAATTAAATAGCGCGTCGTTAGGTAGCGACAGTGCGTCCCGCACAGCCTTATTCAAATCGACGCAAGCCATTCTACTACCGAACTGAGACTAGCAGAAAATTTATTCGATGCATTTGCTTAACAATTTAAGATTTGTGATAATTATTACTCTTATTTATTTTATTTACGTAACAGTACGACATACTAATTTAGCTTGCGTACTACGACCACAACTATGCAATTAAGTAAATAAGTATTATAAAAAATCTTAAGCATGAGCACTGAATATAAAATGTACACGGTGAGCCAAGGATAAAATTAATTATCTCGTTACTATTTAAGATAGTGATAAGTTTTAATAAAACATATTTTAATAAACAAAATTGTGTCTGAGTCGGTGCTTCAAAAGAAGTGGCGGATACAGGGTCGGGCTGGGTCAGAGGAGCCCGGGTAGCATTGTTACTTTATGGAATTCCCTCTAGCCTGAGGTAATAGTCAATTGGAAACTATGGGTTGATAATATAAATTAATAATTTGCAATTTATATTAGGAAATAAATATAGTTCCAATTAGAGGTGGGCAAAGAACGAACGAGACGTTCATTTGAACGAGTATTCAAAATTATTTTTTACATTACAAATGATTATTTATATAATATTAAATGTTAACGAACGAGTCGTAAGAATTGAATCGGATCACAATGCGACTCTACGACTCGTTTGTTCAAAGAGTAGTGAAGACTGTTTCATTGCTTAAGGCGGGTTCCCATTAGTCGATTTTATTGATCAATATCAATGAATCTATACCATTGAACATAGAAATAAATGGAAAATTCGTTCACATGATTTAAGAATATTGAACATTCAATCTAGTGTTCGTGCGTGCTGACGTTCGTATGATGTGTGAACATTTAATTTTACTTTTGATTTTGTTTTTAACATCGGTTAAAGTTAAAGTTTCTATGTCCATTCCAACACGAATATTTTCATAACTTTTTCCCGTAGCGTTATATTTATATAATTTTCACATTTGAAGTTCCATAAACATTCCTCTGCCTGATATAACTCCAGAAATTTTGCAACATGGAAATCCCTCCATTTAAACGACATTTTGATTTACTTATTTCAACAAAAACACACACCGAAAAACACTTCGATGCGACTGAACGCTTGTTCCAGCTTGTTCTCACGGGCAAGCACTATTCAGTTTTCATTTCACTGAATCAATACGATTGGTCCACCAAAAGTAGAAATGGCTTCCAGTTTTCTAGAAATGCGAAAACATTGAACAATATGGTTGAAATAATGTTCACATTAATCTGTTTTATTTCAATGATATAGATTCAATGATATTCAATATCATAATAATCAATAAAATCGACTAATGAGAACCCGCCTTTTCAATACCGTCTGTTCAATTGAATCGTGGCCAGCAGGGATCCATAAAATTTGAACAAACGAGAAATAAAAAAGAGTCATAGTAATTGAATCGCATCACAACTCCTTCTTTTCTACCAGAAAGAAGAACCGTGAGAATTGAATCATTGCTTACAATACTGTTCGTTTAAAAAATAAATATTAGAATTATAAACCACCCAAACGTTTGTAATATAGGTAATAACAATGATGTAAATTTGGATCAATAATTATTATTTTAGCAATATGTAATTAATAGTTTATGTTAAAATTTTAATTACTGAGCATTTTTAGACACAAAATCGAAACAAAATCTCCGAAACAAAACCTAACCTAACAATTTCATCACATTTTTGATACATATGTTTCGTAACATAAATCGCTTTTTGTTTCGAAACATTTTACCAAAATATGGTTTTACTAAACAAGCTATAACAATAAAGATCTTAGTGTCACAAATTTTTCGAAACTATTAAGAAACACATGTGGCTCAGATTTACAGATTTCGTTCCTATTTTGTGCCTGAAATGTTTCCGTAATTTATTTGATACTCTGATATGTCTCATTATATGAGAAGATAACCTTACTTTATTGTTTGGATTTTGTTCTGCAGTTTTTGCATTTAAGCATTCTTCAAGTTTATAGTACTATAATTAATAGAAAAAAGACATAGACATAGAGTACAAATACAGATATTTTTCTTATGCGATTTTATAATTATTTATTATACACATTACAGAGATGATTTGTTTTAGAAATAAATGTAAAAACAGCCACTACCCATACCCAACAGGAGGCCGAAGAAAAATGTTACTAGCAAACGTTTTTTTCTCTTTCTTTCCACAATGGAATACATGTTTTTATGTTTTAATTGTGTTATAATATGCAAATAAAAATGGTTAATTATTTTGACCAGAAGTTTTGATTGGTGTTGTTGACAGGTGACTAGTTCGAAATTTCTACACAGATAGCGCTAAATTGAAACGTTTTGGAAACAAGGTTCCGATTTATTGTCGATTCATTTTCGAAACTCGAGTTGCTCTCTTTTTAGACACAAATATGATATAATCTAGATGATTTGTGTCCGACTCCATGTCAATTTTATAAAATAATGACTTAAAATTCCACCATGTTGGCTAGTGATAGCATTTTTAAAAATCGGTAAAAATGTATATGTTAAAAGTATATGTTTTTATCGGCTGTGGAGCTTTTAAAATCATAACACGCTCTACTTACATTGATTTACATATTTTTATTTTCAGAACCATGATATGGAAATAAAAATAAAAATCCATATTTGAAACAAAAATATTTTGTAGCAACAAATAATGATATATAGAAGGGGCATTAAAAATATAAAAGTACATTATAAAATTAAACGATGAATTTGCTTTTGCCAGACATTTTTTGTGCGAGAAACCCTAAAAACAAAGATTTTAAGATAAACAAATTATGGTGGACGTCGACATTGTTGGTGGTTGTTTTCATTTTGAAATCCACACATAGACATGACTATTTTAGTTTGGTATTTTGTTTCTTCGCATTTAGAAACAGTGGCTGCTGAAAACGGGAACATCTTGGACACAAATTGCAGAAAATGTTTCACAACATTTCCTCTAAAAGTTTCGATTCCGCATTGAAACATTCCAGAAAACGGCTAGTGCCACCTCATAGGAAACACATATATTATATAAAATATATAGGTTTCGAAAAATGTTTCCTATTTGTGGCATACCGTTTCCATTTTGTGTCAAGAAAGAGAGACACAATTATTAGAAACTTTACCTAAAATGTGTCCAAAAATGGTGATAATAAAAAATAAGTGTGAACGATGAAGTGGACAACCTCACCGTTGGTTAGGTTACTGCACCCAATTTTTTCACGGACGAATGCCTGCCTGCAGTATAAAAGATCAGTAGTTTTAGGAATTAGTCCAGTTTACATTTGATAACGGTCAGTAATCCTTCTGACCGAAATGTTATGTTAATCAAAATAAATAAAGACAGTGGAAGTCCAAAATTCTTTCAGACATTTTCAGAATCCTTCTCCATCCCTAAAGCTACCTTTCAGAGTGCCACTGTGTATGTACATTATTAGCATTTTCATTATTGTACTATTAGATAAAGATCCCAGAATACTTAAAAATCCATCAAAATATTGATTGCATTGTACCACTTGCGAAACGATATATTCACAAAGTAATAACGTTGTGTATTATTACGCAAGATATATAAACTAAGAATTATCGTTAATTGTTGTGAACGGCTGGGGAATAAATTGTCCAACGCATTTATCTGTTTTAGTTTAGTCTCCGTGTTATCGTAGGATGACTTGCGTCGATCTGAAAACCGCTGTGCGGAGCGCGCTTTCAATATCCGACGACCAGATATTTAATTTTACGTTAAAGAAATCAAAATTTGGTGACGACATCTTATTATTAGATACTGAAAATAGTACAATTCAAAACAAATATGTTGCAGTTCCCACCATCATCGGCATAGAGAATAAGCTTAAAGGTCAGAAAATTGAAAACGATAAAATTCTTCTCCCGTTATTCGTCTTCCAGTACACCAACAACCAAAAATACGCCGTATTTGATACAGGGGATTTACACAATTATAGTGCGGTAGAGAAGAACAATATCGAACATTTCGAGATTATTTTCGAAACTTTAGCCGAATACCAAGCTTCTTACTTAACTTCAAACAAAGAGGAACCGTTAAATATAAATTTTGACGTTACAGCCCTATTTGACAAGGTAACCAACTTACAGCAGTTAAAAAATTTCGATACAGATACAGATACATTAAAAAATACGAAAATACGTTTGCAAGCTTACATAAATAAGTTCTATGAGGATAAACTACTTGTCAGGAGCGTAGGGTGTCCTACAGGCAACAATTTATTTGTAAATTTAGAGAATAAGAGCAGTGTCATATTGTTGAATTCCGAGGAAAGGCTTGTTCCCCCCGTCTACGATGCATTGATGTATATTTTCACATTCAGCGATGAAAGATTTCGCCAAAAACATTTTGCTAAATTAATTAGAAAATACTTCGACGCTTTTGCATACTATTTACATCAGTTAAACTCAGAAGCTTATAGTATTACCAGAGAATATATTGATATAACCGTAAGAGTATTGCTTCCAATCGTCAAATTTCAGATAATCATCGAATCATCTGCATCTGAAGAACTAATTTCCAATGCCTTACGATTTCTGAAATATCCGTTAATAAATCAAGAAGATGTCTATGAGGTTATTGAAAACAAATTAAAATCTACCGAATACGATTTTATAGATTATGAAATGACAAATATGAACGTAAAAAGTGGTCATCTCGGACAGTATTTTAACATAGATATTCAAATCATCAACCAAGGTAAACCAACACATTTGACATTTTTTGCCAAGGTCATAATTCCACCCACCGAATTTTTGAAAGAAATAGTTGAAGGCGGACCGTCTGAAAAAGAGGACTTCTTTTATATCACCTTGATGTCGTTGTTTCGAGAACACGGGCTGGAAGAATTACTCGATTTTGCTCCGAAGTGTTACTTGAGTAGAGTTAAATGGATGATAGTGCTCGATCATTTGGGTAACAATGGATTTGTTACCTTGAAACTAAACCAAACACTTGATATTGATGGTTTAAAACACGTAGTGGCACAATTGGCCAAACTTGCCGCTGTTACATTAATACTGGAAGAAAATTTATCACGTGAAGAAGGCAAACATGTTAGAATAAATGAAATATATCCAAAATTCGAAGAAACACTTTGTATCTACGGAGAGGAAAGCCCTATCAAAAAAATGGTCGATAAAAATAGAGATTCCCTGCATTATCTCATAGAACTTTTACCAGAAGCTACCGCCCAGCTTAATCTACCCCTAGAAGAAAAGATCAAAAAATTTGATGAAGTATTTATGTCAGTCTTTCCAAGGATACTCACTTCTGACGTGTTCAGAAACGCAATTGCTCACGGTGACATGCATTTAGGGAATATGCTATTTAATCAGCAAAAGGACGGTTCTATCTCTGAATCTAAGCTAGTAGACTTTCAAATTCTTCGTTATATACCTCCAGCCTTTGATATGCTAGTTTTTATTCACATGAATTCTTCCAGAGAAATTAGACTTAAACACTATGACGACCTTGTTGAAGGATTTTATCGGGATATTGCTAAATACCTGGTTAAATTTGGACATGATCCAGAAAATGCTTTTCCAAAAGACGCTTTTTATGAAAGTATAAAATATGTGCGGCCCGCTTGTTTGTCAATGGCTTTTGTGTATAGTTACATGATGAAAGTCGATCCCGAAATAAGAGAAGATCTGTTTCTCGACCAGGAGAAGTTCACATACTATTATGAAAATAACAACAGAGAACTTATAGATTTAGTATGGACAGGTACATGTTTTCAAGAAGGCATGACAAGTATCCTTCAAGATATTACAGACTACATAATAGAAACAAATATGTAAATTATTTTTTTTTACGATGTATATATGTATTATATTATATTAATGTGTGTATACTATGTGATTTGATTGCAGTTTGGATATAATAAAAAGAACATTATCACAGTTTCGTTTTATTATTAAACCATTTTTTTTGTAATTTCTATCTTCTTATTGTCAACAACAAATATAGTTTATTAATAATAGGTTTCTTGAATTTATATACCGGGTGCGCCTTAAAAGTGGCCCAACCCCACAATTTTTTTAATGTTTCAGATAAAAAGACGATTATTGGTATGTTAGTATATGACATAAATTAGGATTGAATGACGTATTCAATTGTTTTTTATCACTTCCTATTTCACCGGATATCACTACAACTTTTGATTTTTAAATGGCAAAGTGTAATAATTAAAAATATAGTAATAAATAATAATAATTAAATAAATTTCCAAAAAATAAAAAAAAAATCCAAATTTCAATTTTTTGCGATAAAAACCTCATAGACGTGTTTCTGGGGTCGAAATATACTACCCATAAAAATATCTGCACTTATTTAAGACTTTCACTGTATATATACACAGGGTGAGTTTTAAATAAGTACAGGGTAGCATTTTTCAACTTCAGAAAAACCTAAAAATTTGAAATTAATAATTTTTTTTAAAAAATTTCTCGATTTTTTTAAATTTTTAGTTAAAAAACGTAATATCTTCAGAATATACGGTAATATAGGTAGTAAATTAAATTTACAAGAAAAAAAAACAAAAATCATCCAGTAGTTCACAAAATTTAAGCAAAAATTTTTAAAATGTTAAAAGTAAAATATCTCCGTTATTTTGGACTTACTTCAAAAACGGTAAAGGGAAAATATGTTTTTTCCAAAAGACGCTTTTTATGAAAGTATAAAATATGTGCGGCCCGCTTGTTTGTCAATGGCTTTTGTGTATAGTTACATGATGAAAGTCGATCCAGAGATAAGAGAATATCTGTTTCTGGACCAGGAGAAGTTCACATACTATTATGAAAATAACAACAGAGAACTTATAGATTTAGTTTGGACAGGTACATGTTTTCAAGAAGGCATAACAAGTATCCTTCAAGATATTGCAGACTATATAATAGAAACAAATATGTAAATGATTTTTTTACGATGTAATTATGAATTTCTATTACTTACTATGTGATCTGAATGCATTTTGGATATAATAAAAATAGAGCATTATTATAGTTTCATTTTATTATTAAACCATGTTTTGTAATTTCTGTCTTCTCATAGAATATTGTGAACAACCAATAAAGTTTATTAATAATAAGTAATGATTTTTTTACAATATAATATTTTACAAAGAAAACGCTGGAAAGAAACTAATGACTATTCAGGATATTACCGGGTGCTTGACCCCTATAACTTTTTTATTTTCTCAGATAAAAAACGAGATTTGGTATGTTAGTATATGATATAAATTAGGATTAATTGACGTATTCAGTTCTTTTCGGCCACTTCCTGTTTCACCGGAAATGACTACAAATTTTGATTTTTAAATGGCGCCCTCGGTATTTTTTTACTTTATTCGATAGAAAATGGCTCTCTGAATATAATGACATATCATACGTCAAAATATATCATACGTCAAGGTCAACTTTTGACATTTTCGCTTAAAACAAAATTGTATTTTAAATTTCAATCTAGAGTGCTATGGCTGTGTAAAAACACTAATTTTTTATCAAGGAGCCTTGGAAAAATATGTTTCATCGTCTAATGTTTTTAGTGTCTTGTTCTGGCCGGTTAAGATGCCCAAATCGTATTTTTAATCATATCTCAATTTTTTTTAAATCGAACGAGGGTGGGTCATTACATACTTGGAAAAAGTATTTTTATGAATTATTTGGTACCACATAGGTACTTAGCATTTTGAGTCAAATTGTCGTTATGGACCGCATGTTCTAATTTCAAATAAACAATATTCGAAAATGTCAAAAGTTGACATATGATATGTCATTCTATTCAGAGTGTCATTTTCTATCGAATAAGTAACAAAATTACGAGGGTGTCATTTAAAAATCAAAAGTTGTAGTTATATCCGGTGAAACAGGAAGCGACCGAAAACAATAATTGAATTCTAATATACCAAATCTCGTTCTGTAATCTAAAAAAATAAAAAAGTTATAGGGGTGAGCCATTTTTGAGGCGCACTTTTATTTGACTTCAGAAAAATTGGGTTATACCGGACCCATTTTTTTTGAAACTATGGAGTTTTGACTAAACATTTATTTTAAGAAATGAACAAAATAATAATTACATATTATCATCAACTCACAAGATTTATCTATTATATTTTATATCTCACTGACAAGATTTATTTCTTTGGTGAGCAGCTTAGTTTATTTATGAAATTAGAAAGTCTCTAACTAAGGAATACCTTTATTTATTTTTGTTTTCTTATTTTTCAGGAACTTTAGTTTTATTTTTTTTACTTACATTGTACTTTTTTGATAAATAAATAAATAAACTTTACTTTATGCAAGAATACACCCTCTCCGTATTTCTTTTAAAATGTATCAAGTTTTCCAGTATACAGATTCCTACTTTAGGCTAAGAACATAGTGGAGCGACGAGGATAGCGGCGAGCAAGCAGCGCGATATCGCGTCCAAAACAAAACTGTGAAGACAAGTACGTGCGAACATAGTAAAGCGATCTGCTCGAGCGGCGAGATCGATACAAATAATTTTGTTTTCGTCGCTTTGTCGCGCTGTAGAAAATAATAGATTCTCAAAAATTAATAGATTTAGTATTTTTAAGAGAGATTTTATGATATCAGAAAGACAGTAATCACCATAACCAGTACATTTTAGATAAGTTATGAGATGAAGTGGCAAAGAATTTTCGTAAAGGTTGTAAAACTTGCCATACTTTCTCGGGTTTTTCAAAACTCCATCTAACCAAATATTTGCGACATTACTGCCTAGAATTTTAGCCACTGTTAACATTTTAAATTATCAATAAGCAAATGAAAATAATAAATTTGCACAAGTATCTCCCTATTCCTCGCCGCTCTACTATGTTTTAGCACCTCGAGGCTTGCTCGACGCGGTATCGCGCTGCTTGTTCGCCGCTAAATGGAAAAACATTTTCGGAATCGTATCCGAACTCCGTAAGATATTTGGCAATATCGTTATAGTAATGGTTCAGCAGTTGATCCTTGTATTTTAGTCTAATTTCTCTTGTCGTGCTTGCATTAATAAACTGTAGCAGGTCGAAAACTGGAGGTAAATATCGTATAATTTGGAAATCTATTAATTTACCTTCAGATATAGAACCATCTAAATTACGTCGGAACAACAAATTCCCGATATGCATATCTCCATGAGTAACTGCATTTCTATAAACATCAGATTTACGGATTTTTTGCGTCATTGTTTTGAATAATTCGTCGATATTTTCGGATATTTTTTCTTGAGGAACATGAAAGTGTTTTATAATTTATGGTGACTTCTCCATTATATACTTCATTCCTTCTCTACAACTCTTTAAAATATCTTTAAATTGACACCCTTCATCTTCTGAAAATACGGTTTCTTTAAAGCTTGCTGGATACAGTTCATCTAATTGAAACCGTCTGCCTTTCTTGCGTGATATATTCTCTTCTACAATGAATGTGGCAGCTACAAATTTGGACAGTTGCGAAATTAGAGCTTTTAAACCATCTAGATTTAAAGTTTTATTAAGTGGTAAAGTTACGAATCCACGTTCATCCATATCATCTAGTACCAGAACCCAATTTACCCTGCTCAAATAACACCGAGGAGCAAAATCTAGCTATCTTTCTAATCCATGTTTTTTATACAGCGGCACTAATGTTGAATAAAAGACGTCTTCATTTTCTCCTCTTCCCTCTTCTATAATATCTTGAAGAAATTCAATTGTAGGAACTAGCACTTTAACAGATAATTTCATATCAATTTCTTCTGTGTTCCTGTTAATTTTTATATTTAAGCTAAAATATTGTCCAGAAACTCCAGATTTTCTATTTAAACTTGTCAAAATGTAATCAACAAAATCATAATTTTTTGAGTTTATTTTATTTTCAATAACTTCCTACACGTCTTCTTGGTTGATAAATTTGTTCTTTAAAAACTTAAGAATATTAGATAACAAATCTTCTGGTGGCTTGTGTAGCTATTTGACATTTAACAATAGGTAATAATATTCGTACTGTTGTTTCTTTGTAAATTCGAGTAATATTAGATGAAGTATTTTTCTTTTTTATTTCAAGAAACTTTACCAGAAAGTTAAAATAAATGTAGACTAAATCAGCAAAATGCCGCTGTCGAAATTTTTCATCACTGAATATAAAAATATACAATAATGCGTCATATACAGGTGGGACCAAATGTTCGCTTAATGTATCTAAAAAAATACTTTGCTTCTTTTCTAAATCAATGTATATATTTTTTCCCGAAGAGCATCCCACACTTCTGACTAAGAAGTTACTTGTTAAAAATTTGTTTAAATTTGTTTGCAAACAAATCTTAATTTTTTCTAATTCGGTTTCTTCGATGCTTTTGAAAAAGTCTAAAGAAGTTACCTTGCTGAACAGTTCTTCTATATCAATGGTGACTTTCTTTAATGGTTCCTTTTCTAATGTTAAGATCGAAGCTTGATACTCAGCCAGATTCTTTAGTATAATTTCTAAATGTTCTTGATTATTTTTCTCCACAGCACAGCATCGGTTCTGTTTTTCGAATCCAAATACAGTGTAGTTTTCATTGTTGGTATGTAGAAAACTAAATAGCGGGCTAACTACTAAGTTATTCTCTACTTTATGACTTGTGTATTGTTCTTGAGAATGTTGAAGGCCTGGTACTGCTATATACTTCTTGGGGCATTTTTTGTAATGTCTAAGACTAAAACGTCGTTGTCGCCACTACAGTGCTTCAATGTAAAATCAAGCTGCTGGTCGTAAGGTATTGAAAAAGTACTTCGTAGTGCGCTATCTAAATCTGCATAAGACATATTAAAAACCTATTCGGTAGTGAATCGTAGACAATCCTTTATATTATTTATACTTTTGTTTGAATCAAGATAATTTTGTGTTATTTATGCGGAATGATTTGCATTATTTCGCGCATTGTTTCACTGAAATGATAGTGGTTTGTCTTAATTTGTTTATAAATTTTGATCAACGGTCTAATTAAAGATAACAATTTTTTGTACTACTTATGATGCCTTTATGAAGTCTGCGGGAACTATAGCCGCCCTTACACCGAAGATACGGCCTACTATTTTTTTATTTCCGTTCTTCGGATGATATCTTTGCGTTTCTGGGCCCGATCAAGTCTTTGGCAGGCCGATAGCCTAATCAGGTAGTTCAGAGTATAGATATTTTGGTATTGGCCAAGGCGCATATCTGATCATTCATCATGTTAGAACTCACAATAATCAGGACTACCAAATATATAAGAACTATTCACAGTTCTTAAATATCTTGAATTCAAGATGAAATACAACAATTTCGGAGAAATATTTAGCCATTAACGCTAGCATTAATTTATTTTAAATTTAATAAACTTAAACTACTAATTATTGTACTCGGCTACGGAGTACAATAAAAGTCGTGAAACATTCAATAATTTATCTTAAGTATATTTAGTAAATAATTATTATATTAATGATTAACAATGAATAAAAAATCAACCCTTTTTTATATACAGTTTGTCCCAATAAGCAATAAATGTGTTATTTTTACAGACGAACGCCGAATCTATTAAATATGAGTGATTAAAACTTTCAGAAATTTTAAAAGATCGCGAGCCAGGCCAAAACTTGGGCTAAAACGTCGAAAGATCTAATCGGCAGGCGGACTTGGCCTTTCACCCAAAACTCTCGTATTTTGGGTACAAGGCAAAATCCGCGGGCCGGGCCTTCTGGTGTATGGGAAGGTTAGGGTAATGCTTTTATTAATTGTTATTTGCAAAAATACTTGTTATCGTGGAAAGTAATGTTGAATCAAATATTATCATTGATTAATCTTAAGTGGTCTGTGTAAAATAAATGATTGAAAAGTACTTCAAATTAACAATTAACAAATGTTCACAATTATATAGTATTAGCAGAGATAATAACATTTTTTATACCTTTTTTGTTGTTGACTTGATCCTTCGAATTCTTTAACTGAATTGGCTTGAATTGCGAAATATTGCATAAATTATAAAGAGGCAAAATTACGGTAGAGAAAATTGGTTTTGCAATACAATAATTAATAACTAGACCAATGTGCCAATTTGTTTTGATATTCATTTTTTTAGTTTAGGTGTTTTTGGAAAGTTTTAGTTGCTAAAAGGGGAAGAAGTAAAAGTTTAGTTAAATTAGTTAAATTTATTGTGATTACATTTCATTTTTCTTAATATTTTTGTTATGTTTAGTTTTCCATTTCTCAATTTGGTCTTCGCATTTTTGATTCAGATTCAGATTCTGTAAAAATAATTTACCGTCGTACTAAAATTAGGTTACACTATGGTCAATCATGGCGACTCTATGAAGGCTCTTTAGAGTCGCTAAATCAGAGCGAAGATGAAGGAGCAGATGAGTTTACTGAAAATCACATGGAACAGTCACCCTTGAGACCTTGCACTGGTCTCTATAAACTGAATTAGAATCAGGGTATTAGAATGAATGTTTCGTATTCATTTTAGTAGTATCCGTTTAAGTATTATTTAAAAATTTATTTTAAATTTTATCTTATGTATCTCATATATGTGATTTAAAAATCTCAAATAGCAATATTTACTACTCTTAATTAAAATAATAAAGCAATTTGTTTTTTTTAAATAAATACACACATTTATACTCAAAATACATATTTTGAAAGATCGCACATGAGATGGGGGGGAGGTGTCAAGACAAATCTCTTAAATGATTTTCATCTCACCATTTATACTGGTCTCATTTATTAAAGTGTGACATGGTGCAGTTAGTCATGCAATAAACTAACTTAATGATTTAATTATTATTTAGTATAAATAGATAATTGCATCATGCTACATTTTATTAATGTTTCTTAAATATTTTGAAAACAATATCCTGGTTTATAAATAGATAATTGAAAAAAATCAAAATCGTAGATATCAAAACGTCAAAAGGTTTAGATAGTACCTAATTAATTAATTACTTGAACTGTTACTTAAGATAATAATTATTGAGTCTATAAGTTGATAGTATTAAATGAACCAATTGCCTCTAGTCATCTCAAATGACTTTACAAAAAATGATTTAATTTCACATGTATTCCTATTTATTTGTTTGAATATAGTTGTACAAATGTTTGATTATTTGTTTTTCATTCATTTCTATCTAATAAAATTGAAACATGAGTACATATATACAAAAAAAATAATTAAACTTCGCATGTATTCCTATATTTATTTCATTGAATACTTTTATAGAAATGTTTGATTTATTCGTGCTGTTTCAAATGGCGCGGAGTGCCCGCGCTAATCGTTCCTTTTCCCGAACGGATCCTTCGTCCGGACTGTCCGTTGGTTGAACAAGTACCATCAGGTTATATGAATATATTCGCATGGTCGCGAATGATCCGCCCGAATTATTTTGTCCGCGCAGACGTGCTACATGATTCAATGCGTTCACATGCGCAGATTGACAGCGTAGTAGTGAGAGAGTTAAGCTTGATTTTCATGCATCCGTTATCCGACGATACGTTGATACGATATTAATTTTATTGGTTGAATTTAAAGACTTTGATTGGTTAGAAACGGTTAACCAATCGAAGCATTTAAATTCAACCAATAAAATTAATATCGTACCGTCGGACCACGGATGCATGAAATTCAAGCTTTAGACGTAATGGAACAATGCAAGTTGTTAATATACATTGTACATGCACATGCACGATCCTCATCTGCGCATGTGATACATATAATACATTGAATCATGTAGCACGTCTGCGCGAATGGTCCGTCGAAGCAAGTACTCGACGATCATCAAAAACATCAAACTCAAAATGTTGCTTAAAATAATTTTTACCACCACTACCATCAGCATCCCATTTAACATACAGATTAAGTTAGATAGGAGAATAATTGCCATTTGATGCAGAAGAAGATAATACGTCTTTTTGAGACCGGATCACTCTTCATGAGGTATGACTTAGTTTTGATTGAAGATTAATCGCTGAAACCTCCGAAATTATCATGTCATTTGGATAACAATTTGTCTTAGCTGCCAAAATATGCTTGTAACTCGGAAATACATATTTAAGACCTTTTAATTTTAACGCATTCCTAAGAAGTTGGTACTGAGCTTGTGTTAATTTTGAGCTTGATTGAGCTTCATCTGGAGAAAAATTGCCGTATTGAATATTGGTGTCATTCATTGATTTTTTGAACATAGTTCTTTTCGATAGAGTTTCAGTTAATGTTTCTACGATTACAACAGCATCCCTACTGCCACTATCCCTAAAGCTCATAGTAGTTGCAAAACCACATTCTTCTTTTGAATGCTCTTCGGTTAACCCTTTAACGAGTCTTTGTTTCGTTTTTATACTAGCCGATTGAAATGAAACTTTTGGGGGTTAAGATTGAACTCCCTGTGACTAATAAAATGCCTTCTAGCTACGATTTACTATATTTGCGAAACTTGTTTAAGGAAAAGCAACTTTTTTCCACTTTCGATACAAAACAATGAAAAATGATCGCAGTTGGGTCTCATCACCTTTCTTTTCATCGTCACTAAGATAGTTTTGATCCTTAAGAATTACAAAAAATGTCTATTCCTATGTGGCGGATTTATCTCTCCAAAAAATCCTATATGGGTATTTCGCCACTACACGAAAATCTACAAAATAAAATAGTTATTTTTTGTAAACACTTCTGGCGTTAATCTCAAACGGAAACTACTTGTCAGAAGTTAGGTTTACAGATTCACTAATTTGCCTAACGAACAAAAAAATGCTTAACGTTTCGGAAAGTTTATCTCTTTCCGTCGTCGGAAGCAAAAAATAAATACAAAGAATAAAGAAAAAAACTATTTAAAATATTAAAATTCAACTAATCGAGAACATTTAGTTTTTTTTTAAATAGATACGTCTACAAAAACCGTTGACGTTCTGTTAAAATGACATTATATTAAGTTAAACTTCAAAATTAACAATTACTACCTGATAACAATTACTTAATAGGGTAAAACCAAAAAGCCTCAAACTTTCTGTATGATTATTTTTAATTTTTACGTAGGTATGTTATATTTATTTGTGTTATGTTCTTTAAAATCAAAGAAAGAGTTTAAAAAAATATATATATTTTTATATTGGCAATATAAAAAAGTTAATTTTAACGTATCTTCGTTCAATTTTAACTCTTTTTTAAATTCATTTATGCTTAGACAGTTTATGTTAATTAACTTTACTCAAGTATATTAAAGTTACAGTCGTAAAGTTCCTGTAGTTTTCTTCTTAACTTGCTTAACACACATATCAAATTTTAATAATTATTTCTTTTTATCATGGTAACTATGATGTTATGGCATCATTTTAATAGTTATAGCATTATTTGATAGTTATATTAAAAATGACATGACTGACAATTCTTTACAACACTAAAATCTAACATTTGTTTAAATAAATTGAAATATTACAAAAACTATTCATTTTAGATATATAACATTATATAAAAAGGTTATATAGTTTTGTGCAGAATCAAAAAATAAAATAAAAAATAGGGTGTTGCATTTAAAAAAGCATATGTTTTACCTGCCACACATTTTTGAAGTACTCTCATATATATCTGTATACTCCGTAATAATTTTAAGATATGTATCTTAATCTTCCCTATAACTTTTATATTTAACATTTTTTTGTAAACCTCGAAACAAAAAAGATAATGGACTTTACTCTGTCGTTGATTTACCCTGTATATTGGTAGGTACAGTAATGTTTTAGTTTAGTGGTTTATCAAAATAGGTTTAAATAATGGTCAATTGTACTGATATAACTACGAGTATATTTAAAATATTTAATAAATTAACAGATACAAACAGGAATGGTTTAGAAAAAAAATGGTTTAAAATCACAGGCTCATTCGATTCGACTCTGCAATTACCAATTTATTGATTACTGATTTTGATCTGTAATATATTCTAATATATCTTGAACTATATCTTGCATATTCGTCCTATAATTATCGTCTTCCCATACGTAGTCTATAAGTGCTTTTATATTTTCTATGCAATAATATGTGAACTTTTCTTGATCAAGGAACACCTCTTCTCTTTTTTCAGGATCCATTTTCATTAAATAGCCGTAGAATAATTCCATTATTAGACCAGCTGATCGCAAATACTTAAGACTTTCACTAAACGATTCTCTTGGAAATACCTCTTCTGGATCATGTCCAAATTCTGCTAAATATCTAGCCACGTTTTCGTAATATTCTTCTATAAGCTGATCTTTGTATTTTAACCTAGTGTTTCTGGTTGAGTTTGCGTTAATAAAATGCAGAACTTCAAACGCCGGAGGTATGTAGCGCATTCCTTGAAAGTCAACCAGGATACTTTCAGTTATCAAACCTTCTTTATTGTGCTGGAACATCATATTCCCTAGATGCATATCGCCATGGATAATTGCATTTCTAAATTTTGGAGATTTTAGAATTTTCGTATACATAATCTGGAACATTTCATCCACTGTTCTTCTAATTTCTTCTTGAGATAAGTTGAAGGTATCGGTTACTTCCGGTATTAGTTCAATTAAATATAACAGAGCTACCTTGGTATTGCTTATGAGTTTTGCGAATTTATTATCTTTGTCGTCTATAAACATGCGCTCTATGAATTGTTCTGGATATAAATCATCTATTCGTACTGGTTTCCCTTCAGCTCTTGATAAGTTTTCTTCTACGATTAATGTAGCTGCTACAAACTTTGCCAGATTTGATAGTATAGCTCGTAAACCATCATTATTTAAATTCTTGTTTAATTGTATTGTCTCAAAACCCTGGTCATTTGTGTTATCCAAAACTAACATCCATTTTGGTCTACTCAAGTAACAGCGTGGAGCAAAACTCAACAATCTCTCCAATCCATGTTCTCTATACAACGGTATCAATGTAGTATAGAAAAAATCTTCATTTTCCCCGACTTCTTCGACTGCTTCCGACAAAAACTCGGTTAATGGAACTAAAACTTTAGCGAACAAGGTCAAATCGGTGATGTCCCCATCAATAGCGAATTTAATTTTCAAATCGAAATATTGTCCAAGATGGCCCGTTTTCTTGTTTAAATTTATCATTTCGTAATCTATGAGTTCATATGCCTTAGAATTTAACCTATTTTCCAGTATTTCGTAAATATCTTCTTGATTTATAAATGAATACTTCAAAAATCTTAGAATATTGGAAGCTAGCTCTTCAGCTAAATCCGAAGTTGTAGCTATTTGAAATTTTACAATAGGTAACAATATTCTTACCGTTGTGGCTCTGTAGGCTTGAGTAATTTTAGATGAAGAAATGTTTGTTAGTTGTTCAAGAGAGCTTACCAGAGAATCAAAATATATTCCAAGTAGTTTAAAAAAAATTAGTTGTCTAAAATTTTCGTCGGTAAATGCCAAAATATATAACAAAGCGTCATATACTGGAGGTACAAGGCACTCTTTGGATTTATTTAAAAAAACTGCCTGTCTTTTTCTTAAATCCAGGAACACATTCTTTCCTGAAGGACATCCAACACTTCTTACCACTAAATCACTATCGAGGAACTTGTTTAGGCAAGCCTGAAGTCTGGTTTTTATTCCATCCAGTTCGCTTCTATCAATGTCTTTGAACTTCTCTAACAATAAAGTGATTCTGGCAAACAATTCTTCTAAATCAACAGTAACTTTCTTCAGAGGCTTACTTTGAGTACTCAATGCATGAGCTTGGTACTCAGCTAAACTCTTCAAAATAATATTTAAGTGTTCGTAATTATTCTTCTCTACCGCAACGTGTGATTTCAGTTTTTCCATATCAAAAACAGTGTAGTTTTTATTATCAGTGTGACGGAAAGTAAAAATTGGATGTATAACTAGGTTATTTTCTACCTTGTGGTTGAAATTTTCTTCTAGAATGTCTGCCCCAGGTACAGCAAGATATTGATTTTGAGTTTTGTCGTTATTGGTAATATCTAGTACTAAAGTTTCGACATCATTAATGCATTTTTTCAGGGTAAAGTTAAATTTAGTGTCGTGAGGTACCGAAAATGCATCACAAACTGCACTGTTTAAGTCTACACAAGCCATGATATTATTATACTAAACTATAGGACAGTGTTCCGTTTTATTTTATTTTATCCGATTGGAGATAATCAGCACAATCATGATTACATTGTTTTGTATAACTATTCAGCGTATACGCCTGGACCATAATCTTAAACGCTATCAGAACTAGAGATGAGCTGCTAATTTAAATATTACGCATCTATTTTGGGTAATTTGGACTTATTTTATGTTACAGTTTTGCATTTCGTGTTATGAAATATCTATTTTTCACGTTTTGAAACAGTGAGAGGTGAAAAAGTAACAATATATGTCTATTTCATAGAAATATTAAATTAGCCCATACCTATATGCTATATATATATAGTGAGAATCTAGACCTATGATCTAGACTAACAGATGAATATCGCGAATTCATGATGACTAGCTATATTTAGCTGGTTGTTTAAGTTATATTTTGAATGCTGTAAATTTTTTCGCACACTAGATTTGCTAAATTATTCTTAAAAATGACATAATGTCATTATCTACACTGAGTGGTTTTTGAAACATAAACATTTTTAAACTAATTTTTTTCTTTACATTTTACTTGTAATTTAGAAACTAGTAAATTCTTAATTATACCGGATGCGTCTCAAAACTGGCTCACCTCTATAACTTTTTTATTTTTTCAGATAAAAAAACGAGATTTGGTATGTTAGTATATGACATAAATTAGGACTGATTGATGTAACCTTTGGCGACTTCCTGTTTCAGAGTGGGTCAAATTCGACGCTTTTAAATGGAAACACCCTTCTATATAGGAGATTTCTATATCTATCTATCTACGAAAACTAATATTGGTGTCTGGAGCTCAATTTCTATCAAAAACATGATGGTGAAAACCGCACATGCATATTTGTTACCGTTTATGAGTTACGGGGTGTTTTTCAAACATGTCCATTTTTAAATCTCTCTCTCTCTCTCTCTCTCTCTCTCTCTCTCTCTCTCTCTCTCTCTCTCTCTCTCTCTCTCTCTCTCTCTCTCTCTCTCTCTCTCTCTCTCTCTCTCTCTCTCTCTCTCTCTCTCTCTCTCTCTCTATCTCTCTAAATGTAATGGTCAGGTGATGTGTGTAATTTGTCTCCATATTTCCCTGTCTTGTGCTTCATGTACCACAAGCAAGAAGAATACAACAAAAATGACATATTATATAATCTGAAATTTTATCCAGTGAGTCTCTGATCTCATACCTGTCAAGCATGAGAGTAACTCAAGGGTTCACCTCGCTAAGCCCAGCGAGGTGAACCCTTGAGTTACTTAGGTGCGAGAGGTGTGAAAATCCCACAAACTTTAAAAGTAGGAGTAAAGGTAGAGGAAACTGGAAATCTGATATTGTATCATTTATTCAATACTGGAGAATAATTCTATGTAATTGAATTGAACAAATCGATTGACAATTTTACCTTTACTCTTTAACATTTCTAGAGATTATAGAAATATAAGTAAAAATTTATTTGTGTGTAACACTTTTTTTCATAATGTATTCCGCATTTGTTCAAAGAGTCTTGATAGTCAGAAAATCAATTGGATAAATATAGTTATCAGTAAATCATAGAAATATATATTTCCAGTTTGTCTTTTCTAGTATGTACGTATGATTCCTAGAAAATAATTATCCTTCAATTGAACAATCATTATTTTCTAATTGGGGGTGACAAGAATAGTTCCTTCTATATAACTTAAAATTATGTATTGTATTTTGTACAAAGGAAACAATTCATTAGCATAAAAAACAAAACAACTAAATTATTTTTGTCCATAACAATTTATTATTTACAATAATCATACTGATACAAACTATAATTATTTATTTTGGTCAGCAAAATATTCCATTAAGTCGTAAGCAACATCCTGCATGGATGGCTTGAAAAATTCGTCACTAGTCCACAAATAGTCTACAAGCTCCCTTGGGTTATCTATGAAATAATATTTCAAATTTTCTGGGTCTAAAAACAACCTTTCTCTAGTTTCAGCTTCAATTTTGACTAAGTAACAGTAAAATAGTTCTGATGCTAATCCAGCTGAGCGCATGTATTTAACATTCTCGTCAAAGGACTGTCTTGGAAAGACATTTTCGGGATCGTATCCGAACTCCGTAAGATATTTTGCAATATCGTTGTAGTAATCGTTCAGCAATTGATCCTTGTATTTTAGCCTAATTTCTCTTGTCGTGCTTCCATTAATAAACTGTAGCAGATCAAAAACTGGAGGTAAATATCGCAAAACTTGGAAATCTATTAAAACACCTTCAGATATAGAATCATCTGAATTACATCGGAACATCAAATTCCCTAAATGCATATCTCCGTGAGTAACTGCGTTTCTATAAACATCAGATTTAGAGATTTTTTTCGTCATCGTTCTGAATAATTCGTCGATATTTTCAGATATCTTTTCTTGAGGAACGTGAAACTGTTTTGTAATTTCTGGTGACTTTTCCATTATGTACTTCATGCCTTCTCTGCAACTCTTTAAAATATCTTTAAGTTTACAACCTTCATCTTCTGAAAAGACGTTTTCTTTGAAGCTTGCTGGATAGAGTTCGTCTAATTGAAACCGTCTGCCTTCCTTGCGTGATACATTCTCTTCTACAATGAATGTGGCAGCTACAAATTTGGATAGTTGCGAAATTATAGCTTTTAAACCATCCAGATTTAAAGTTTTATTAAGTGGTAATGTTACGAAGCCACGTTCATCCATATCATCTAGTACTAGAATCCAATTAACCCTGCTTAAATAACATCGAGGAGCAAAATCTAGCAATCGTTCTAATCCATGTTTCTTATATAGGGGCAGTAATGTTAAATAAAATACATCTTCAATTTCTCCTATTCCCTCTTCTATTATATCTTTAAGAAATTCAATTGTAGGAGCGAGTACTTTCGCAAACAGTTTCATATTAATTACTTCTGCGTTACTGTTAATTTTTATATCCAAGCTAAAATACTGTCCAGAATGTCCAGATTTTCTATTTAAACTTGTCAAACTGTAATCAACAAAATCATAATTTTTTGAGTTTATTTTATTTTCAATAACTTCGTACACGTCTTCTTGGTTGATAAATTGGCACCTTAAAAACTTAAGAATATTAGATAACAAATCTACAGGTGGCTTGGGTGTTGTAGCTATTTGACATTTAACAATAGGTAATAATATTCGTACTGTTGTCTCTTTGTAAATTCGAGTAATATTAGATGAGCTGTTTTTCTTTTTTATTTCAAGAAACTTTACCAGAAACTTAAAATATGTGTCTACTAAATCAGCAAAATGCCGTTGTCGAAATTTTTCATCACTGAATATAAAAATATACAATAATGCGTCATATACAGGTGGGACCAAATGTTCGCTTAATTTATCTAAGAAAATACTCTGCTTCTTTTCTAAGTCAATGTATATATTTTTTCCCGAAGAGCAACCTACACTTCTGACTAAGAAGTTGCTTGTTAAAAATTTGTTTAAATTTGTTTGCAAACGAATCTTAATTTTTTCTAATTCGGTTTCTTCAATGCTTTTAAAAAAGTCTAAAAAAGTTACCTTGCCGAACAGTTCTTCTATATCAATGGTGACTTTCTCTAATGGTTCCCTTTCTAATGTTAAGATCGAAGCTTGATACTCAGCCAGACTCTTTAATATAATTTCTAAATGTTCTTGATTATTTTTCTCCACAGCACAGCATCGGTACAGTTTTTCGAATCCAAATACAGTGTAATTTTCATTATTGCTATGTTGAAAACTAAATACCGGGGGAACTACTAAGTTATTCTCTCTTCTATAACTTGTACTATGTTCTCGAGAATGTTGAACGCCTGGTACTGCAATATACTTCTTCGATGTGGCATTTTTTATAATGTCTAAGACTAGAATGTCGTGGTCGCCACTACAGTGCTTCAATGTAAAATCAAGCTGCTGGTCGTAAGGTACTGAAAAGGTACTACGAACCGCACTATCTAAATCTGCATAAGACATATTAAAAACCTATTCGATACTGAATCGAGCAACAATCGTCTATATGATTTTATACTTTATTCAAATCAAGATAATTTTTTATTACTCACGTATGATGTAATTTTTCGTAACATTTCATCTCCATTAAAAGTCGCAATCATCACAGACAAATAAATCGGAATTATAGTGGTTTTGCTTAACTTGTTTATAAATTTTGATCAAAGGGTTAATTAAAGATAACAACTCGCGGCGCATTTATGAAGTGTCTACTAGAACAATAAATAAATATTTATCATAGAGAGCGTGGATATTATATATTTTTAGTACTTAATGTTTTTATCAATTGTTATTTGCAATAAATGTTCTTTATCGTGTGAAGTAATGTTGCATCAAATGTTATCAATGATTAATCTAAAGTGGTCTGTGTAAAAATGGTGTAAAATATATGATGGAGAAGTGTTTCAAATTAAAAATTAATGGTATTACCAGAGATAACACTTTTTTATAATAGTATTTTATTGTTGACTGGAGTATATTCGAATTCTTTAATTGAATTGAACTGAATTGGCTTGTATTGCTAAATATTGCATAAATTTTAAAAGAGTCAAAATTGTGGTTGATAAAATTCGTATACAGTACCTACGATAAATAATGGCGACAAAGTATATAATAATATAATAATAAAGTAATGTAGACAAAGATGCAATTTTGTTTTAATATGTACCGGGTGGCCAACTAAGAAGGGACGTCGGCTGTATCTCAGAAACTACTTATCGTATAACTTTGGGAAAAACATTCTGATAAGTAAATCGACCAAGAGAAATCGCTGGAAATTATTCGTTCGAAAAATGTTCGCTAGGGGGCGTTTCTCTGATATCCAATCAGAAAACAGGGGTTTTCTCAAAAATATGCACGTGAACAGGTGTTTTAAATATTACTATTGTAATCATCGAGAAATTTTTAATTTTTTTGATATAGAGTATTTTGCTCTATCTCATAAATTTAGAATTATGTGTGAAAAACGGCCGAATTTCGTATGGCCGAAAACTAGGGTTTTATTTCATGTAACGTCATTTAGTTATTAATCCAAGTTCGTCTTTGATTTCACTTGTTTTCGTGTTTTATCTGTTGTTTGTGTTATTTATTATTATATTATAAGGTTTATATCGTTTGGGTCACTTTTCATATAACACAGGTGCGAATCCTAATATGCATTACTGGTCCAAATCTACCCTTGATGCAAGTAGTTCAGCACCAAAACCGTTGGTCGGTAAATGTTTGCAGGAATTCTAGGATGGCGAATGATTGGCTCTTTTTAATTTATCTGAATGAAATGAACTATCCAAGAGAGAAATTGCCAATTTTGTTAGGATCCATCCTGATGAAATTGCATTTTATCAGTATGAATGTAGTTGGTGTAGTTGATGCAGTTGGTGCAGTTGGTGCAGTTGGTGCAGTTGTGCCGCTTATTTTGCTATGAATGTGTGGGGCTTCTTGGATATCACTTATTTTAGTAAATAGAGACGCTGGAGCGGCATATTTCCATGGCCAGCTAGGTCATCGGATTCAATATGCCTTGGTTTTAATTTATGGGGTCTAATCAAGAACGAATATGGATAAATAACAATTAAATGGTATTAAAATGAAATTAAAATGATATTTTGACGTAACCAATTTACCTTTTTATTTCCTAGCCTACTACTATAATTTTTAGACCTTATAATACTAGGCGACAGCCTAATATGATTTATTTTCTTAATATCTCCCGTCAGAGAGAAGATAGAAAGTTGCAGTTTGCGTTAATATTTTGGAAATTTTGTGCTCTATTTTACTGTGTAAAGAAAAATATAGCCTCCTATTTAATTTTTTTACGCAAAAGCGCAATATCCGTTATGATGTCAAACAGCGCCCTCTAGCTACCACGAAAACAAAAATATGGAAACAAAATTTTTCCTGGAGATCATTAAGGAAGAAAAGCTTTTTTAAACGAGCTCTAGTTTGTTTAATTCGGCTAACCTAAACCGGAGTTATCCTTATTTTAATAAAAGCAAGTTTAAACTTCTCCCACCACGAGATAGAGCAAAATACTCTATATCAAAAAAATTACAAATTTCTCGATGATTATAATAGTAATATTTAAAATACCTGTTCACCTGCATATTTTTGAGAAAACTCCTGTTTTCTGATTGGATATCAGAGAAACGCCCCCTAGCGGACATTTTTCGAACTTGAAAATAATTTCCAGGGATTTCTCTTGGTCGATTTACTTATTAGATTTTTTTTCCCCAAGTTATACGAGATGTAGTTTCTGAGATACAGCCGGCGTCCATTCTTAGTTGGCCACCCGGTATTGTACATATTTTAGTTAGTTTAGGTGTCGTTACTGTCTTTAGAAGGTTTTTGTAAATAGGAGGGATTAGCGGTATAAGTTAAGTTATAAATTTATTACGTTTACATTTCTCCTTTCGTAATATTTCTGATATTAATACCGGGTGCATCTCAAAAGTAGCTCACCCATATACCTTTTTATTTTTTCAGATAAAAAAACGAGGCTTGGTATATTAGTATATGACATAAATTAGGATTGATTAACGTATTCGATTGGTTTTGGTCACTTCCTGTTTCATCGGAAATGACTACAACTTTAGATTTTTAAATGACACCCTCGGTATTGTTTTACTTTATTCGATAGAAAATGACACTCTGAATAGAATGACATATCATATGTCAACTTTTGACATTTTCGCATATGGTTTATTTGAAATTGCAACATGTTCACAATTTGTCTCGAAATACCAAGTGCTTGAAACAAAATTATTCGTAAAAAATGCTTTTTCCAAATATTCTAATGAACCACCCTTGTTTAATTTGAAAAAATTGAGGTATGATTAAAAATACGATTTGGATATTAAAAATACTATATTTTAAATTTTAACCGGCCAGGACAAGGCACAAAAACATTAGACGATCAAATATATTTTTCCAAGGCTCCTTGATTAAAAATTAGTGTTTTTAATACAGATAATAAGATAAGATACATACTCCAGATTGAAGGTAAGATGCATACTCTAGATTGAAGTATAAAATACGATTTTTTTAAGCAAAAGTGTCAAAAGTTGAAAAGGTACAGAATGTCCCAAATAAATATAAAAAAACATCAAAGTTGTATTTTTTAAAACCAAAAAAATAAAGGTAAATTGGATTAATGCTTACTTTTTTTACCAATGCTTAAAATGCATTGTTTAGGAGCTCACATTTACTTTGAATCATCTTTATACATATAAGTATATATTATAAGTAGACTGTTTAATTTTGTAAAAAATGATGTTTTAAATAAATGATTTTTCAAAAAAAAAGTTATATTGAAACCAGGGTTTTACCACTTTTATATGATATAATGGATATAATGTCTTTATCCAAAGTTTTAGTAAATAGGAAATAGAATGGTAACACCGCAGAGTGCTTCAAATAATAATAATATAATGCAGAATTGTATGCTGAATCCAATTACTTCTAATCCAATCTTACTTCCAATCTACAGAAAAATGGGGGTGTATTTAAAAATAAAATAAAACTTTATCATAACTTATTTATATGACATCCTGTATACAACAAAATATTTTTAGGATATGCCCCTTTATAAACCATACAATAATTGTATAAAACTTTTTTTCATATCTTCGAAAACAACGACGATATTGGACCTCCTCGCACTAATGCCGTGTTACCGTAAGGTATTTACTGGTATATTTAACGATTACAATCATTCTTTATTCACCCTGTACACAGTTCAATTATCATGTAACAAACATGAAAAGAGCGAAAAAACTAAGGTTTTTATAATCATTTATTTTCATACAATTAGGACACATTCTTTTTATCTAGACCTAAATATTTAAATAAAATTTAAGCTTTTTCTATTGTTCAAAACATTCGTATAGATCCTGAATTAATCCTTCAGCGTGAATTTTAAAGTCTTCCCAACATAGTAATCGATCAACATATTCCTTCCTACCAACAGTTGTATAATAAATAAATTTTTCATGATGACCTAATTCTTCATTTATATCTTGTGGAACAATAAGAAGTTGTAAATAAAGTAATGCTAAAACTATTGAATATGGTTTCATATATTCTGCTGCGGCTTTAAATTGATCTAATGGATATATATTTTCGATTTTCAAGTTATATTCATTCAATATTCTTTGCATTTCTATGTAGTAATCATCTAATAAGTTGTAGAAGTATTTATCTCTGACTTTTTTCTCGCCGTGACAATATAGAGCAAGAAATATATCTTGAAAAGGGAGGCCGTATCTTAAACCTTGATAATCTACAAGCATACAAGCACTTTCTCTTAGCATTATGTTGCTTGCGTATAAATCTCCATGACATATCACATTCCTATAGTTTTTTTGAAAACTAAATTTTTTGCCCATAACCAACATGATCTCGTCTAATTTTTGTTTTAAATTTTCCTTGGAAATAGTTTTCGAAAACTGTGGAAAATAGTCGATGAGCGCATGAATTCCGGGTCCAGCGTTTTTTGGATGAACAGGAGTAGTGGGGACACCTTTCTTCTCAGTTAGAATCCAATCCTCGAAGTCATTGTTATAGACATCATTAAGATATACTGGTTTTTTGCTATCTTGAGATAGAAAAACTTCTAAAAGGATTGTTAAAGTATGAAATTTGGCACATTGAACAAAAATGCATTTAAATTCCTTGTAATTTAACTTGGTATCTCCTTGTAAATTTTTGAATCCGAGCTCGATGAGATCTTCAAGTACTAACACATCATTAAATCGGCTGAAATAACAATTAGGCGTAAAATCCAACAAAGATTTGAACCCACACTTTTCAAATTGTGTTAAAATAGTTCTGTAGAAAAAGTCTTCTTTTTTAGACGGTCCTGAATTTGCCAGGGCGGCTAAATATTCGTTGGTCCTATACGATGCCTTTACAAACATTTTTAAGTCTTCTATTTTACCAGAATACTTTACTTTTGATACGAGAGAAAAATATTCTCCTAAATGGCCATTGCATTCATCTAATGTAATAAGTCTGTAATCTAACAAGTCAAACTCACGAGTACCAATTTTTTTTGAAACTGCCTCGATACAATCTTCTTTATTTAGCAACGGATTTTTAAAGTAGCGTTCCAAATCACTCACGTACACACTGAGTTCTGAGTTCTGTTTAGTCTGGATTAAAAAACTAATCGCCTCAAGTTTTACAATTGGAATAAGGATTTTGAGATGGTATTCCAAATCATTGATGTCCACAATGGTCAATAATTTCTCGCTGACTATTTTAAACGTATCATAATAATAATTTAATATATCTTGAAGATGTTTTTGCCTAAAATTGCTATCAGTTAAGGCAAATATTATTGTTAATACGTCATACATTATTGGTTTTGCAGTAGCATTATCCCAACTTCTATTTAGAAAACTTTGTGCAAAAGTAGGCACTAACACACTGTTTTCCATTAAATTATTCACTGATTTCTCTAAATCTCGTACCTGTGATTGGAGGACATCCATTTTAGTATCCAGAAATGCTTTTGAATAAAGAGATGTATCAAGTTTATAAACACCAAATTCATTCTTGTAATTATCCTGTGAAAATGTTGTATCTTGACAATGAATCAGAGCGTGTAAAGTTAATTTTAAGAAATCTATATTGTTCTTTATTAGTGGTAAACTTAAAAAAAGTTCTCGATCTACTTCCGATAGTTCACTATTTTTTATATAGTGTTCGAGTTTCTTACGAAGCATTTTAATGAGAAATAGTGCAATTTGGACTGTTTAAGAATCGTAAATAAAACAAAGAAGCGTACTCGTTCGAAATAATCAGCTTTAAACAAAAGATAATACAGATAATTTTGTTGGTTAATGACACGACACTGTTGCCAAGTGTTGATGTATAGCTTTATAATTTATATTATTTTTATATCTTTGTAGTAATAATATTATTATATATTTTAAGAAATTTAAAAAACATCAGTTGATAATTAATTTTAACTATTATAATTAAGCCTACTATATTAATTTTAACTACACTGAAAAAAATATTGTTCATAATATTAATGAACATTGAATATTAACTGTTGTTTCATTGGGACAATGATTTTTTCATTATATTAATGATTTGTTAAACATAGATCGATGACTGATTTATTAATAGTATGAATCTAATTTCACCATTATAATGAAAATCTGGTTATTAAATTAATGTAAGATTTTCATTAATATAAAGAACGCGTTCATTGTCCCAATAAATGCGTTCTTTATTTTAATGCTGAAACTTTAATGAACACATATTCATTATATTAATGTACTAAATCATTGATTAATGAGTTGTACATTGTGACAATGGACAATGTTATTAATACAAGGAACACACTACATTATATTAATGTATACGGTTATTAATATCAGGAATAAAATATTAGGACTTAAATGGTGGCCATCTTGCTCGGTTACTTTGGCACTTTAATACCTAACGTCTGTGTGGTTGTGTTATTCAGTGAGGCTTTAGTTTCATTAGAGCGGTAAATGTTCTCTTCAATATTTTGAATATTTTAATAAAAGTCCTATCGTATTGTAGTTAATTTGTTGTGTTGTCAAATCAAATTCCGCTGTGTGAGATCTCTGGTGCGGGTATTCATTAAAACAGCGGTTTCCAAATATGTGTCAGAAGCAAAGACATCTAAATATAGGTTTGAATACCGGGGGAACTACTAAGTTATTCTCTCTTCTATAACTTGTACTATGTTCTCGAGAATGTTGAACGCCTGGTACTGCAATATACTTCTTCGATGTGGCATTTTTTATAATGTCTAAGACTAGAATGTCGTGGTCGCCACTACAGTGCTTCAATGTAAAATCAAGCTGCTGGTCGTAAGGTACTGAAAAGGTACTAAGGACCGCACTATCTAAATCTGCATAAGACATATTAAAAACCTATTCGATACTGAATCGAGCAACAATCGTCTATATGATTTTATACTTTATTCAAATCAAGATAATTTTTTATTACTCACGTATGATGTAATTTTTCGTAACATTTCATCTCCATTAAAAGTCGCAATCATCACAGACAAATAAATCGGAATTATAGTGGTTTTGCTGCTATAGTGGTTGTTGTTGTCTTTTCTTTAGCTTATGTTCTTCTCTGTTTTGAGTACTACTACTTTGAATTTTGCCCATCTCCATATTACAAAAGAACAGCCTTTTGTCTAGTAAATTAGTATCTTCCCTTTTCTTCTGTTTCTTTGTAACCATCAGTTTTGTTGACTGAAAAAATATCTAAATATATTGAATTCTCTTCAAAGTAATAAAAAATTCAAAAACACAATGAAAGGTTAGTACTTACAATACCAGTACTCCTATTAGTTTTAGACAATCTATCACCATCATGTTTTTTAATCCCACAATGCTCTTCTCATTTTTACATTAATTGAATATATTATTATCTTCCGTTTTTGCTTTTTGTATACGTGGACCTCCACCAGTTAGTCAAAATATATTTCAATAATTGATTTTCTTTTTACATAGTATTTATACATACGTTGTAAGCTTTCCATACAAATTAGAAAGCCCAAAAATCCCGTTTTTCTTGTGACTATGGTTGACCATTCTTTTAAAAGTAAGTCCAATAAATACAATTTAATTATTTCAAAATTATTAAAAAGTATGTTGTTCTTATATTTTTGATAATTTTTTTATATGAATATTTTGTAAATCCATTCTGAGAGTTAAAAATATCAAAAATATTGTTGAAAACTAAATGGAATTTAGAGGCCTCCTAAGAAAACTCTGGGCCAGTTTATGTATCCCTTATAAAATTCTATGTTTTCGGCGAATAAAATGACAATGTTAAAGCAAAGGATAGTAGCAGAAGATTGGATTTTTGTGTGGCAGGTCCTTTTAACATTCTTTCAAAAATACTTTGTACTGGTTCAGCTAAGGAAACCTAAAAAAACATATATTATCTCTATTAATGTTATATCTCTATAATATTATTATTAGTCTTTTTTAGACACAACCAAATTCACTAAAGGGTTTTAAAATTTAGACCTGGCCTTGTCATGGAAATTAGAACCTTCCATTAATCGTATTTATGCCACTGTCATATGGATTAGTGTATCATTCACAAAATTAGACCAGAACTAAATTTAAAACTTGTTAATGAATCTTGGGGACAGATTTTGACATAATGGCTGTAGGACTAAATTATTAAATGGCCGATAACTTTACATTATTATAGTTCCCCTCCGCCCGCCACTCAAATATATACATAAAATAGTGTGTCCAAGATAATAATTACAAGCACTGGGATCTCAGAAACAGTAAGAGATACAGCTTCAATTATTAGAAATTGCTTTTAGCGATTTTTACTTGATTTTTATATTTTTTTGGATCCTCACATATAACCTTTGACTTATAACCATTATGTTTTTAAAATGTCACCCTGCATACCTATATTCATACCTGAATGGTCAATTCAGTTGATTCACTTATCAAAGATTTTTCTTTTAAGTAATCAATTAACTGATGCATTGATATTATTTTATTTTTCAATCTTCTAAGACCTATTTGTAAAGTATGTATTTTTCATTTTCTTTGTTTCCAAATTTTTACAAGACTTAAATTTCTACATAATATCATTATAATGCCTCATTAACATACTTCTTTCTGAAATTAAAATAACTTATGCACAATTTTACTTAAGATACAGGGTGGCGCCTCTTAAATGCTACCAAGGAGAAAGAGTTTGTATTGAAATTAAATTTTGGGAGTATATGTAGGTTAATTTAGAGCATTTAAACATATAAATGTGATAAAATATGTGTTTTTTTAAAATATGGAGTTCTACAGGGTGTCGCCAAAAAAGTTACACAACAAAGTTTTGTTTTTTGGAATGGGACACCTTATATATTATTTGATTTTCGGATTCTATGAGAAAAATAAAGGTGAATTTCATTATTGGACTAAAATGTAATTTTATTCCCTTTTATTTGAAATGAACACAGCAAGTTCCCTTTTATTTGAACACCCAGAATACTATTCCGATCTTTTAATTGCAGTGTGCATTCATCAATTAATAGAATGCTTAAGGTCAAATTTTAATTTGGTTAAATATACAATGAGTAAATTTCCATCTAGGTAGCTGTTATTGAAATTTAAAGTTTATTCATTATTTTCACCAAATGTGAAATATGACAAGCCTTACATTTTAGACATATGCTTCTTTAACAAAACTCACTTTTATTTCTTTCCTAGAATCCGAAAATCAATTAATATATAGGTGTTCCATTACAAAAAAAAACTTTGATGCATAACTTTGGGGACACCGCGCAGAACTCTTGATATTTCTATAAAATGCTTTCCATTATCCTACATATGCTCCCAAAATTACATTAACGATAAAAACCACCGTTCTCTTTGGAGCCTCCGCGTCGTAGGAGAGGCACCACCTTGTATATAATGTAGAGGTAATTTTTACCTTTTTCTGATACTTTGACGACTTTCTTGAGATAATAAATATCCAACTATTGAGAGATCAGAAGATGAGGATTGTCTTACTATGCTGTAAACAAACAAAAAAACATTAATAATTAATTTTTCAATAAAACCTATTTTCGTTTTTAATTTTTTCCTAAATACTAATAATTTCCTTCTATAGTATTAAACTTATCATTAAGCGAGAATGTTTCCTAGTGCAAAACAAAAGCTCACTCATAGAAAATATATGTAAACAAAAACCAACACTATGGCAAAAATTATATAGTTTATGATCTTATAATGTGGAAGATAATTCCAAATAACATATCCTTGACAAAACATATAAAATAAAAGATAGCTATTTTAATTATAGAGGGTTTCTGGATATTCGACCGATAAAGCTTGACAATGAGAAGCAACAAGTCTCGTATTTTTATAAAAATTAAGATAGGGAAGTAAACCCATAAAGTGCTTAATTAATTAATAATAAAAGATACAAAGTGATATTAGTAATCTTATATTACGCTATATTGTTCTATTAGATATTATAACAGCTTCCTTGAAATCTATTACTGCTAATGACATAAAAGTGTCCCCTTTTCTGCAAGAAAGATAGAGATGTCAATTTTTAAATAATTAAGATGGCAAACAAAAGCAGAAAAAATGTTATTTTGAAAAAGCTCAATGTGTCAAAGGATCCCGTCTACTATAGTTACGTCAAAAGTATGAATAAGAATGTATTTAGATTTTTTACCGCAAAAATTGTGTCTACGAAATTTCGCGTCTCTATTTTTTTAAAGAAATACCTGGATATGTCAAAATTAAACTTACTATTGTGACACCCTGTATGTTAAAAAGTAAATACTTCGCAAGAGGGTGTACACCTGTATTCAATAAGGCACAGTACACTACTTGACAATAATAGTTATAATGAGAGTATTTCATATAAAATATATTACATACTAGTTGAAGCCTGGCGCATCCGCCACAACATCAGGAAAAAAAAATACTTTTTATTTTTTTTTAATTAAATGAAAAACAAAAAATCCGGTGATGACAGTTTTTAGAAGAGCCAATTAGCTATCTTTTAGTAAAAAAAGCAACTTTCTAGAGCAAGTCGTTACTTCAGTAGAGACGACACAGATAAACATTAGCATTTTATATTATTATTATATTATTATATATATTACTTTCTTATGAATACAACTATATTCCCATTCTGTTAAAAATACAAGAGCTTTTAAGCCTTGTCAGTCAAACATCCAGAATACACTTACAAAGAGCACATACTGGTTAATTCCAACTTCTTTTTCCAATGCCGTTTCTGTTGTTTTGAGGGTAGGGCTTCTTGAGAAGGGCTAGTTTATCTTGTATGATTTTAGGCAAAATCCTGTGAATTTTAATTAATTATCAATATTAAAATACATGTATAAAATGTATCAATGTTCTTACAAATTTGGGGGGCCAGCCAAACTGCCAATCGCGGGACTAGGTAGGGACCTTCTCTAGTCCCTCAGCTGGTCTGGAGGTTCATTTTCCTAAAACATTTTTTGGGTGGCGGTACAAACTAGAAGAAAACCTAGAGTAAATACTAATATTAGTACAATACTTATTTATTAACTGTTAAAATGTATTTGACTGCTTTTTACCTGTATGATAAAGCCCCAACAAAAATGGTACTATCTATTTGAGGCTCAGAATTTGGTCTTATTTGCCTTCGATCAGTTAATTCGGCGATCATAATATTGCTCTTATCAAAATCATCAGAACAAATTAGGACACACGTTAATTCAAGAGTGAAATCGATCATTGTCTAAGCTCAGTATTTATAGGAACGCTACAAAAGTACTATTGGTTAAATATGCAACACATACATATTAAGTATTATAAATCTATTTAATAATATATGTAAAATAATAAAAATATGTGGTAAAAAAGGAAAAATTAACCTAAAGGAAAAATTTTCCAAGGTTTATTTTCCTCTATTTAAAACACCAGATATGTACTCGTCTGTGAATTGTGTGTGTGTGGGTGTATAGGTAAGTGTGGGTAAAAGTGTAAAGGGTTCCAAAACTAAAAAAAAAATATCATAAATGAAAGAGTAAAGAATTATCATAAGTAAGGCTTATCATTATCATTCAAAACAGTGAATATTTTTTAAGTACTGAAGCATCATTATAATTTTATTTATTTTATTAACTTTTTTAATTTGAATTTTGAATACCTATATCTAAACCTTACCTATTATGTAATTACTTATAGAATTTTTTATAATAAATAAATAATAGATCAATCATGTGTTACGGTTAATATCTAAAACCTGCTAATGTTAACTAGAGTTCAATAATATTAATATTTAGATTGCAAAAATAGTTTTCTTTCAACATTGGGAGAGAAATATGGAAATTATCTAGCCAAAGTCTGAAGTAATTATAAAAATTAAATGTCTTTAATTGAACATTAGCTAACTTTGTCATACTAATTTAGCATACATATAGGTACATAGTTAATATAGAATATAACTGAATAATTCTGATGTTCAAATCGTGTTCAAATTTCAGGTATTAACTACCTATAACAGCAACAGCTGTTTTATTCAGCAGATATTAGCCATAACATACACAATTTTTAAGATATTTATAGCGGTTTCGAATGTTAGTTGGTACTTAGATATAATATAAAAAAGGTTTTTAAATGTTAAGTTGAGAACAGCCAGTATTACCTCTGAGCATTTTTTACCACCAACTGTAACAGCGAAATGGACAAATACTTAAAATAATTGACTTAAAACGTAGATCGGTTTTGCCAAGGTTTTGCCTGAGGTCTAACTGAGGATAAGTCTAATTTCACAATCAAAAACGACAGCAAATAAGAAAATATACGTATTTTTGTAATAATCTACTTATAACTAAAAGTACTTAGATACGCTACTGTAAAGGCATTGCTAAAGGTAAAAAAATGTAATAACACTTACCGTCCAAATATCAATCAGGAGTTAGAATAGTCCACCTTTAACAAACTATGCACTGGTGAACCATTGTAGATAGTTAAAAAACTACTTTAAATAGTTTTCTTTGCAATAAACACTAATAATTATTCGAAAGTTGTCCGAAATCCACAAACACTTCCAACGGTCGCAGAAAACTCGCAACAATGCTCCGTTGGACAAAAGTTGAATGAATACGTCAAATGTCAGCGTAATTTCTACAGATTCCGACAATTCGTAGTAAAAATTAATCCGTAGCGATGCCGGATTGTCTTAGTAATTTCCCTAATATATTTTAATCGTAATTTTAATATAATTTAATTAGAAAACTAATAATAATTTCAAAGGTATAATCCTAGTATAATTAATGTATTATAATTAAACTTATATATCTACACAAATATTTAGTCTAATGACCTTGTAATGACAATAGCATTTAGAACTCAAACCGTAATCAACCGAAATCTACCACCGGTCACTTAAAATTGGCATCATCGATTTTTGTGCAACACGGTTCGTGATCGCGGTAAAATGTAAATTGTTTCGTCTCCTTTTATTTAGATGTCTTTGGTCAGAAGTTACAAAACAAAAAGAAGAAAAACATAGTAACAAGTCGAGGCATGAAACTGATTATGGTAAATTCCAATGTTCTTTTAATATTTGGCATTTTAATTATTTTGATATACTTTTAGAACCTAAACAAAATGCTGAGACCCGCCTTCAAGCCCTCAAATTCGACAATTTAACATCGGACCCACTTGATGCAACTTGGAAGGCCTGTTGAAAATTCGTCTAGACGTTATCAAGTCTAACAATACAGCTAATATAATGAAGAAATGGTCTTTTTATAGAAATCCCTCAGGATATCGACTGGTAAATTAATTTTCTTATTATAATTTACCCTAAAATTAATAATAACATTACTATTCTCTTCGTCGATTCGATATTTTTTTAATTTTTAACTTGTATTTAAAAGAATTCATAAATTATTATTAGTTCATTGCACTTGTTTTTTATTGTCCTATAATGGAAAAATTTACTGTGCGCGTCAGTAAGTCGGCACTATTGGTAATTTTGTTACCTTTGTAGCTAAGGGCTTGTTCAAATGGAAATCTATTTATAGTAGAATTATTTTAGGTAGTTGGCTGGGAAATGACTATCAATGACATTTCATATCAATGACAGGGATCTTCATCATCGATTATACGGCACAACAAGAGGTACTAATAGTGTCGACTTTTAAATGTATAACTAAACAGGTTATGAAATTGTTTTACTGTATTAAGATACGGTTCATTAATATAAGGATTTGGGTATATTATATTAATGAAATCTGTTCTTTGTACCAATGAATGTGTTCTTCAAATTAATGAACACTGTTCTTGATTTAATGAACTTAAAGTTCACAGAGTTAATGAATTACTTTTCATTGTGCCAATGAAATCGTTCATCGGCTCAAAATTAATGATTTTATTCATTATATTAATGAACTTTTTCCATTATATTTATGTCGACTTTTGGTTCAGTGTATTATTGATTTTAGAAGTTAACAACTACTTCGAGTATTAACGTATGTACTGCAAGCTTGATATACAGGCTGGTCCGAATTTTATTCAGAAAACTTCGGCAGCATATTCTGCAGATAAAAATAAGCAATAAATATATCTTATAAATGTATCTCCTAAAATGATTCGTTTCGGAGATACAGGGTGTAGGGGTTTCATTTTTATTTCGATTTTTTCCAAATAATATCTGAAATAACGTCAATATTTGGATGAAAATTGGTGTCTGCCAGTTTTTTGACATGACAAATTTGATTACGGTGTCAATCCTACTTGTAGGGGACACCACCTACGTATTTTATAATTGGAGCAATAACTTTTCGTCCGTACCTGTACAAAACTGCTGAGTGAGGAAATATGCATTTCGGCCGGTTTTTACATAAAAAGGTATCTTGGTAAAACTTGCTACGAGTTATTTAAAATCGAAATAATCAATACATTATAACAATTTTTAACGGTTATTCGTAGTGATTTTTATCAAGAGGCCATTTTTGTGCAGAAATGTATATTTTTTCACACAGAATTTTTATACAGGTACAAACAAAAAGTTCTCTTCAAACCAGTTAAAACTTATGTAGCTGACGCCCCCTACAAGTTGAAGTCAAAAAAGTACAATGATATCAAAATCAAATTTCCCATGTCAAAAAACATTCAAACACTAATTTTTATCCAACTATTGACATTAGTTCACAAGCTATTTGAAAAAGGGTGAAATAAAAATGAAACTTCTGCACCCTGTATCTCAAAAATGAAGCATTTTAGGACATAAATTTATGTGAACCTTTTTTACTTATTTTTATCTGCAGAATATGCTCTGCCGAAGTTTCCCGAATACAATTTGGACTACCCTGTATATGTTATTACAAATACCTACCACATTCATTACACCGAAATTTCAGTCTAAATAAAATATTTTTTGATATAATAATAAAACATTATTTTTTTAATAGGGCTAGGACCCCCTATGACAATTAACTAAACTTTGTGACTTAAGTTTCAAAAAATGTGTTAGAAATTAATACAGAAAATACAAGGATAGTATTAATATATTAACGAATATTGCTATAAAAAGGTAAAAATAAAAAGGGACTTTGGATTTTTGTTTTTGTTATTTCAAATAAATTTAGTATAAAGTTTTTTTAAGAGATCCATTTTAATTAAAAAGTTTTTACAAAGTTCTTATAGTATCTTTAACAGGAGTTAGTAATATAATCCGCGATATCATGAGCAAGGTCTTTCATACATCCCTTATAATACTCGTCACTCCAAAGCAAATCTATCATGGCTTTTCTATTATCCTTAACGTAGTAATCAAACTTCTCTGGATCGAACAACATTTCCTCTCTACTTTTTGTGCTCATTTTTGCCATATGAGATAATATACACGTAGCTGATAAGACAGCTGATTTAATATATTCTATACTTTCATTAAACTCATCTCTTGAAAAAACTTCTTCCGGGTCGTATTGAAAATCTCTTAAATATTTGCTAATGTCCTGATAATAATCGTCGACAAGCTGATCGATGTATTTTAATCTAGTGTCTCTTGACGAACAAGTGTAAATAAAAAACAATAGCTCAAAAACTGGAGGTACGTAACGTAAAACTTGGAAATCTACTAAGATAGCTTTGGAAACGATATCGTTTTCATCGGAAGAGAACATCATATTTCCTAGATGCACGTCCCCGTGAGTTATGACATTTCTAAACTTATCAGAGGTTAAAATCTTCTTATAAACCGACTCGTACAGTTCATCGGTTCTACGAATAATTTCTTCATGACCCAAACCAGTTTTTTCAGTAATTTCTGGGGACCGTTCTAAAAGGTAATGTATAGCAACTCTATTACCATTGAAAAATTTTCCTATTGGCGTTTCTGTAGTATTTAGGTATATAGTTTCCCTGAATTTTCCTGGAAACAGTTTATCCATACGAACTTTTTCTCCATTCTTCCTGGTTAAAGTTTCTTCTAAAATTAATGTAGAGGCTGCATACTTAGCTAGCAATGACACTATCGCCTTTAGACGAGAATAGTCTAAGTTTTGGTTAAGTTCTAAACAACGAAACCCTTCCTTTGCCAGATCTTCTAATACTAACATCCAGTTTTCTCTGCTCAGAAAGCACTGTGGAGCGAAATCTGATAAACCTTCCAAACCGTGTTCATTATACAAGGGTAGAAGAGTATTGTAGAAGAAATGTTCTTTCTCGGTTGGACCATTTTCGACAATTGCTCTTAAAAACTCATTATGGGGAATTATAAGTTTTACAAAAAGCTGTAATGACTGAGTTTCCCCGTTAAGATTAACTGTAATACTTAAATTAAAATACTGTCCTAGATGACCGCCATTGCTGTTTAACTGTTTCATGTCGTAGTCAACCAGTTCGAAATCAGTAGAGTGAAATTTGTTTTTTATAATTTCGTAGATGTCTTCTTGATTTATGAGAGGGTTCTTCAGAAATCTCCAGATATTTAAAACCAGATCTTCAGGTTCATGAGAATTAATTGTTTTATTTGAATTAATGATTTGAAATTTTAATACTGGGAGTAAAACTCGTACTGACGTTTCCCTGTAATAATTAGTTAATTTTGATGAGTATTCTGGGATGTTGTCTTCTATAGATTTCTCTAGTTGGCTAAAATAAGATTCTAGTAGCTCCGAAAAATGTTTTTGACGAAATTTTTCGCTACTCAAAACAAACATGTATAATAAAGCATCGAATACTGGTGGAATCCTGTGTACATTCCAAGATTTTAACTGTACATGTTCTCTGTTATTTATAGGAAAACCAAGACTGTTTACTAGTAATCCAGATTTAAATACTTTGCCGGCATCCAGTTCTAAACATTGCGTTGCTTTATCCAGAGTGTCTTGCTTGATATCCTTAAATTCATATGTCGAACTAGTGGTGTCAAGCAGCTGTCGCAACTTGTAACTACCCGTTTCATCTACTAAAGTCTCTTCAGAAAGTATATTTCGTGACTGATATTCTGCCAAAGCCTTTAATATATCTTTCAAATAACTTATTAGGCTTTCTGGTTCCGTACTCGATCGTTGGAAGGCTATATATTTTTCTGTGTCACTACGTTGAAAAGTAAATACCTGGGGCAATGTAGAATTCTCTTTAACATCTTTAAACCGTTGGATTTTATCTGAACAGATCGCTTCAACCGTCACATATTGTTTTCGCACTGAATTGAACTGAAGGTCGAGAATCGATAAAAATGTTACATTTTTGCACGGTTTTAAAGTAACGTTAAAAGGTACATCACTCGGTAAATCAAACACGCTTTGAACAGCACTTGTTATGTCGAGAGCGGCCATGTTAAAACTAATGAATGTTGTTGTATGGTGTGGGTTTTATATTTAGATTTTACCTGCTGATATAAGTTCCTAAAATCCTATCTCAACGGTTTATTATTGTTTGGTTGGCAGTTAGCTGTGGCCATTAGGTGAACCGATGTTTAACGATAATATTGTGTAAAATGTAGTCATATAATCGATAATAAATTTCGATCAATAAGTAATATTTGGTTTATGCAATCGGTATCTAAAGTATTTATTAATTAGTTTAAATACCTGACGTGTGATAAATAAAAATAAGATTTAGTAAAATATTTCACAATAATGCAAAATGTTTCTTTTATATAGGCTCTACGCTGAAAAAAAATGTAGGTAATTTTACAAAAAAAATTATTGATACATTAGAGTATTAATGTATCAATATTTTTCAATAAGAAACTTGTAAAAATAAGATTTTTTTACATGTAATTTTTAAACAGTTTATTAATATTAATGATTATTACTAAACGATAATATTTTCACAATGATTTTGTGAGTTTAAAAATTAAATTTAAATCAGAAATACAATCTTGTAGTAAAATCGCATCTCTCTAGACATATTCACAAAGCTTGTGTGATTTAATTAAATTCGCACGTCGCGTGACTTCTTGTGGAACTGATGCATATTAGCATAGTATAAGGTAACGAGTAGCTTTACTCCTTTTGAAATCCTTTGTTCTTTTTCTGCCATTTTATATGACCTTGTTTTCGCGTCCCGTGACCACTGACGTTGCTGTATAGTCGTGGTCTATAACTAGGCAAAGTATAGTCGTGACACTCGCCATAGTTTCACAGAGATGTATTTAGGAAAATATGAGTTAAAATAAAATAAAATAAAAAAAAAACTGATCATCGAGTAAAAATTTGCTTAAAAACAGAATATTTTCACATTTTGTGTAAGTAACAATTCTTCTGTATCTGAAGGGAAGAATGCGGAAAAAATATATAATGACATATTTTTATATTATTATCTATTTCAAAGATCTTCTACAACTTTTTTAATTTAAAACAAGTTCAATTTTAACATGGTTATGACACGTTATAGCGTTTCCGGAACCGGAGCTATTTTTCGGAACCGGTATTTCCAGTTTTTTTTTCTGTACTTTCGGTACTAGCAAATTTTTGTTTAATGATGGTGCAGTTCGTTAAACAGCAAGCAAGAGATGGTTGTCAAAAGCAAAATCGATAAAAAAAATTGAGGTTTAAATCTAAATAATATCAAATTATTAAGTAGTAATCAGTCATGAAAAAATTAACCTGAACACAAGCATGATCACAAATGACTCTCAAACATTTTTTTTAATTATTACTACAACCAATAGCAGCACACAGTAAGGCACTCATTTTTTGTCAATCCCTCTCTGTGCTGGGACGCAACGCTCGAACCTCGCTGATCCACGGACGCAACTCAACTGAAACGCTCTGCAATCTGCCGATATTCGACAGATTGTAAAAACTGGCAGAAAATATTTGGGAGAGTGCAATTACTCTTTTCCTTCTACTATAGTATTAAGTCATCGGTTGAAAAATGTAGTTAGAGGAAAGACGAAGAACATTTTAATCTCAGCACTTTTTTTGAACAGGTGGGAGTTTCAGTGCATGAGTGATTAGTGTTTTTATAATTTAAGGATAAGATATTTAACTAATTATGTTTATATGTAGTTTCTGTAAATATAAAGCCAGCTCTCTTAGAAAACATATTCTCCATTTATTATAATTATTTGCATTTTAATTTTAGCGATTTATTTATGTAAACATAATTGTTCCATGATCCCTCTATATCAACATATCTCTAAGTACCGTATGATCGAATAAAAACGGCGTCAGCGATGGTTATGAATTGAAGATCTCTGTCATTTTATATGAAAAATTATATGGGAATTGTCATCGATCGTCATTTCGTGGTCATCGCTGACGCCGTTTTTATTCGATCATACGGTATTATTTATTCTTTCAGACTATTTCTGAGGAGAAATTTAATAGAGAACCAAAGTAGGGGACTCTATACATCCATAGTCTCTAAGTTGGTAAGTTGACTGTTTATTAGATACTAAAAATAGATATTTCTTGCATATTTTTTTTATTTATTATCTAATGACAGTTTTGTTCCTATTTTGGTTAGGCGCAGAATGCCAGTTAGATTCTCCTAGACAATAGATGCAGAGTATCTTATATAAGTTCTATTTTGTGACTTTTTTATTAACCTTTATAATAAATATATTATAAACACACGATTTATTAAACTTATTAAAATTTATTAACGATTTATGAATTTACAAAAGTAATAGAAATGTTCACAAAAAAATTAAAACGTGCCTACTTCTCATTTAGTCATTCATTATGACATTAAAACTCAGTATGCTAAATTTCATAACATTCCATAAGAGGCTTATGCCTCAAAAATCCGTGCGAAATTATCGTTATCATTTGAATCCGCTAAACGCGGCCTGACGTCACTGCTTCGATCGGTATTTCCGCGCGAGTAAACGGTGCTGTCTGCACGCTGTGGAATTTCTAACAGAACAAGCTAGAATACGACATATCGCGTTGTGCTCGGATGTAGTTTGCATATTAAATTTGGTTTATTGTGATTAATATTTGGAGTTTATTACTAGTTTAAAAACAAAGATACTTAGTGAGATGGAGGACGGGTTTACTTGAAAGCGATAACAAACAACACTTGGTTTTTGACAATACAAAATTATTGAGTTTTTGAGCTGTCAGAGGCCCGTATTTAGGAGGAGGTGGCCAAATTTTAAATTTTAATTATCATATTAAACTGAAAATTTGCATGCGTATATAGAAGCTAAGACAATGTAAAATTATCGTATTGTTGATCTGATATAGGGCCGTATTAAGGAGAAGGAGCCAAATCTTAAAATTTAATTGTATTGATCTGAAAATTCGCACACGAATACAGGGTGTCCAGTTTAAAATGAGGTACTTACATGGGGAATAATGGGGATCTTGAAGACCGTTAAAGTTAGAAGATCGGTTAAATAGAAGAAAAGTTGCGTTTTTGTGTGTCCAAAAATAATCTAGGTCTATTTTATTTCATATTCATATACCGTTACGTAAATACAGGGAGAAAAAGAAAAATGTGCATTTTCTAAACACCACCATATTTTCTGTATTATTAGAGCTAAGGTCATCAAAATTTTTACATAGGGGTAAGGCAATATGGAAATTTTAAAAATCATGTTCAAAAAAGTCTAGGCTTACTACGTTGCGCATGGCCGAAGTGCACTTTTGCTTTTCCTATGGACGCCATATTGAAATACACGGTTGAAAACATTTTTAATAAGGATTTTTAAAACGCCAAAGTTAAATATGGCGCTCACAAGAAAAATAAAAGTTGACCCCGGCCGTGCGCAACATAGAAGGCCTAGGTTTTTCTTGATATCATTTTTAAAATTGCCATGTTGCCTTGCCCATATATTGAAATTTTGATTACCTTAGCTCCAATAATACAGCAAATATGGTGGTTTTTCGAAAATGTTAATTTTTTTTCTTTTTCACCCTGTATCTACATAACGGTATGGATTTAAAATAAAATAGACATAGATTATTTTTGGGCACACAAATACGCAACTTTGCTTCCATTTAACCGACTTTGTATCTTCATCGGTTTCCAAGATCCCCATGTACCTCATTTTAAATTGGACACCCTATAGGACCCATATTAAGCGAAAAATTTACAAGTGAAAAAATTGATAAAAAAACTTTTTAAAAACAAGCTTAAAATTAAATGCACTTAAAAGTAGAAAATAAGAATTATACGCAAAGTAACGATTTAAGCTTCTGTGGATTATTTTTTGAAGTATTAATACACCCAGGGACAAAACACCACTTATTTGAACTCATTTTACTTCTTCAAAATACCAAAACAATGAAAATAAACAATACACCTTCGCGAACGTCTGTAAAAACAATGCGGCAAGTGCACGATCGTACGGACGCCATCGATCGGTCAAAGCAGTGACGTCAAAAACAGGTAGCCTCGAGCCGGGTACGTTTTCTAGCCTTGCTGCATTTCTCAATTTTGTTTTGCGTTTATGTGAGAAAATTATAGTTTTTAAGAAAAATTTTGAGTGCCACGTTTTTTACTCATATGTAGCTATCCAAATTCATTGAAATTAGAAATTAGTGAACATGTCTATTGAAGTTACTCCTCTCCCCTACCTATACCTGTTGGTATGGTCGGCTAAAAATAAAAAAGTTATAGAGGTGAAACACACATACTTTTCACACATCTTGTATAACTATATTTAAAATTCTTTAACAGATTGTTAGATACTAATATCATACTCAATAACACAGTACAAAGTTCAAGGACTAAATCATAAAAATAGAACTAATTCCGTGGCATCCCATTCATTATTTTAAAATTAGTATTGCCTAATAAATTTACATTTTTAAAATTATTGGTAAATATACGAGGACTGATTACATAATAATAAAACTAAATATGTATAAGTATCTGCTTTGAAATTAAAATAAAATAAATACATATCAATAGCAGCGCTAATTATTATAAAAATATATTTATTGATATGAAAACTAGGAACTAGTGGAGTTGCAGTCCGAAGGGTTTGAAATCGAATTAATACACTTTGTTAATTGTCAAACTTTCGGAATTTATTTAGTCCTTTCTCGGGACACTGAAATGGAAATACATAAATAACGTGTTTCCATTTCAGTGTCCTGAGGAAGGAATAAATAAGTTCCGAAAGCTTGACAATTAACAAAGTGTATTAATTCGATTTCAAACCCTTCCGACTGCAACTCCACTAGTTCCTAGATTTTCTTTCTCACTAGTCAGTCGATACTACTGTCTGTTTATTGATATGTATAGAGTGATTCAAATAATATTTAAGTATAAGCAAACAATAAAATAACTCAATTATTTTTTGAATTTATTTGAAAAACGATAAAGAGAAAATACATTTCTTTTATAGAAATCTACCAGCCCGGAAAATATTTGTACTTATTAAAAACTCCTTCCCCTAGGAGATGCAAGACCTTGTCTTTGGTGGGGAAGCTCCTGGTCAGGTGCTGGGGGGAATCCCCTAGCGCTTGGCTTGGTCTAACAAGCATTTCACTCATCGTCTTGTCCCTGGCTATAGTGTCATGGCCAGAGAATTGCACCAAGACATATAACGATGCCGGACGAGGCTACCCCTATCCGTCATACCAGGCACCCTCTACTGACTGTGGTCATATCTCGCGGGTAGAGGGTGTGGGGGGGGGGCTTGGCTCAACCGCCTGGACCAAGAGGAGACAACCTCACCAAAAACCTAAATCCTACGATGGCGGGACCAGGTCAAAGGGATGCGTGGTTAGATAGAGGACTAGCCATTATTGGCCTCAACCTTGGGGCATCAGGGGGCACCCCAGTGTATTTACCACTTACTTCTACATGCGAGGCTCTGTAGAAGTGGACCGACTATCCCTAGCGACTCATGGGAACACTATGAGATCTAGCATTAAAGACACCACCGGTGAAGCTGTGGGGAAGCCCTCTAGCAACACTGGGAGCATTACAAATGAAAGTTCCAAGGGACCAAATCGAAAGGAAACTTAGAAGAGGGGCGTCTGATACTTGCTTGAGATCATCCTCCACAAGTGGCACACAAGCTACCACCTTCTCCAGCAATGGTCGAGAGCCTACCTCTAGACCCAATAGGCGACACAAGCTACCGTTTCGTCTACCCGGCCTGGGTCAACCAGGCGGGCTAGACGATCCTCTGGGAGTAGGTCGTAGCAGAGCAGAAGCACGGAGATACCTCCGACTGCTCGACGAAGGACTTGCTCCAGAGGAAGCAAAAACGAAAACACTCCTCCGAAAAGGGGAGTGTAAAGAAACCAAGAAACAACCTGACTCATCTCCATCAAAGGGCAAGAGAGGGAGCGAGAACCTCTCACCATGGAAAGCCGTCCAACACCAAGAGGTAAGCAGGGACGTATCAGCTATGCCGGTATTGTTGGACAAGTGAAAATGGCGGTGCTGCCAAAGGATTTCCCATAGGTTGCTCTCACCACCGACTAGCAAACGTCTCTAGAAGAGGCTGTACTGGACGAAGTAGTGGCGATCGGATTGCAACACAACGATCTGCAAAATGTGAGTCAGCTGCGTTTTGCGGGGATACACTTTCGGGTAGGCATGATCCTCAAATCGTAACTATGTGGAAATCGCACCTAAGCGTAAAAATTGGCAGGGGCCGGAACTGGTTGCAGTGAAGGGAGAAAACAGGAATCCCTAAAGGGGCGGCCATCACGGTCTTTCTGCCGAGGAGCAAGGGGAAAGACACCACCTACCTGCTGAGCCTTATCCAGGGTCAGAACTTCAATGTAAGGTCATCGAGTTGGCGAGTCATCAACTCGAGGGAGGAGGCTCATGGTCAGGTCCTCACAATAGGAATTGACCTCAAATCCAAGACAGTAATAGAGAAAGAGGGACATATCTCTATTATAGATACGGGACAACACAGGTTGTCTAAGGAGAGACTAAGTTAAAGAGATGGAGAAAATGGAGACAGATCCTCCAGCCTCCATATCACGGATTCCTCAGCTGGAGGCAAGCTCCTCGACTGTGAAGGGCGGCACGGAGGGCCAAACTCCAACCGTGGAAGGGTGTGTACCCTCGGAGGAAGAACTGTTGTCAGAGGGTCTGTGCGATGACAAAAGGAAGGGGGCACAATAGATCTTTAAGGTCGCAGTGATTAACCCCCACTCTTACTCATTCTACATTCTACATTTAAAACTCACCCTGTATATACACTCAATTTGTTCATATTAGTTTAGTTTTAAGCATCTGCTGAATTATTTTCATATTCATTAAGTCCATAATAGCGTTATATTTGTTCATTAAAAATGCATGAAAAAATTATTATTTTTTAGACTTGTTGCTAAAAGTCTGATCATTATTTAACACACTTTTCTTTTCTATAACTTTATTAGGAAACATAGTTTTACAATTTTATAAAATTAAAGGTTATTAAAACTAATATATACTGTTAGTGATATTCAGCAATAAAATCCATAATATCTCGAACCATATCTTTCATGCACTTGTTATAATACTCATCATTCCACACCAAATCAATTAAAGCTCTTTTGTTTTTATTAACATAATAATCAAACTTCTCTGGATTAAAAAATACATCTTCTCTAATCTTAGGCTGTAATTTGGCCATGTGAACTATCATACAAGTAGCTGATAGGACAGCTGATTTAATATATTTGATACTTTCAATAAACTCATCTCTTGGAAAAACTTCTTCGGGATCGTAATGGAAATCTCTTAAATATTTGCTAATGTCCTGATAATATTCCTCGACAAGCTGATCGATATATTTCAGTCTCGTGTCTCTCGATGAACAAGAATAAATAAAAAACAATAATTCAAACACTGGAGGTATGTAACGTAAAATTTGGAAATCGACTAAGATAGCTTTGAATACAGCATCGTTTTCGTCAAAATGGAATAACATGTTTCCTAAATGCATATCTCCATGGTTCATTACGTTTCTAAACTTTTCAGATGTTAGAATCTTTTTAAATAACGATTCGTACATTTCATCCGTCCTGCGATAAATTTCGTCTTGTGTCAAATTACATTTTGCTGTGATCTCTGGACAGAGATCTAAAATATAATGTATAGCGTCTTTAGTACCATTGAAAATTTTTCCTATTTGGGTTTCTTTATCATCTATGTATATGGTTTCCTTAAATTTTTCCGGATAAAGTTCATCCATTCGAACCCTTTTTCCATTACTTCTCGACAAATTTTCTTCTAAAATTAACGTTGATGCAGCGATCTTAGCCAACAACGATACTACCGCTTTCAATTTGTTAAAATCCAAGTTTTGATTTACTTCCATCCCGCGGAATCCAGCCTTTGCCAGGTCTTCTAATACTATCAACCATTTTGCTCTGCTCAAAAAGCATTGGGGTGCGAAGTCTAGTATATCCTTTAAACCATGTTCTTCATATAAGGGTAAAAGAGTGTAATAGAAGAAATGCTCTTTCTCAGCTGGACCACTTTCAACGGTATCTCTCAAAAATTCGGTGTGAGGAATAATGACTTTGACAAATAGGTGCAGAGTATTACTTTCGCCTTTACGGGTAATTTTGATAGTTAAATTGAAATACTGTCCTAAGTGGCCATTTTTAGTGTCCAACTTTTTCATATAATAGTGGTCCAGTTTATATTCCTTGGAATGGAATTTGTTCTCGACAATATCATAAATATCTTCTTGGTTAATAAGTGGATTTTTTAGAAACCGCGATGTGTTTAAAATAAGGTCTTCAGGTGCTTGTGAATTAATCACGATTTGAAATTTTACTATGGGAAGTAAGACTCTGAGTGATGTTTCTCTGTAATAAGTTGTTAGCTTTGATGAATGTTCTGGAAAGTAATTTTCTATCGATGTCGTCAGTTGCTGAAAATAAACTTGAAGAAGCTCAGAAAAATGCCTTTGTCGAAATTCTTCTGTAGTACAAATAAAAATGTACAGCAAGGCATCGTATACAGGAGGAACAGCTGTATCACTCCAAAATTTTAAATGAGCATTTTCTTTGTTTCTTACAGGAAAACCAACACTGTTTACTAGGAAACCGGCTGTAAATATTTTCCCGCCATCTACCTCCAAAGATGTTACTACAGTATCTAAATTGTCTTTATCGGAATCTGTAAATATATTCGTTGAAACTGATGTGTTAAGTAGGGGTCGTAACTCATAACTTTCAGTCTCTCGTGGTGCTTCTTCGGAAGCTAGATTTCGTGATTGGTAATAAATAGCTAAAGCCTTCAAAATATATTTCATATAAATTTGTTAAGCTTTGTAGTTCTGTGCTGGTCCTTTCAAATGCTATATATTTTTCTGTGTTTTTACCTTGAAAAGTCACTACTGGAGGCAGTGTGGAAATATCTCTAATATTACCATATTTACAATATCCTTTGATCTTATTTGTATTGATTTTTATTGATATAATATTTTGTAGGAGTATATTTCAACCCAGAAACATGTATGATGTTTTTTTCGCGAAAGAAAATATTTTGAAAATTTGGATTTTTTTGAAACAAAATTTGGAATTTTTTTAGTTTTTTCGACATTCTTTAGTAAAGAATGTCAAATATGACATTCTTTAGTGAAGAAAACCCAGAAAAGATCCAGAGGTTCTTAAAATTTAAGAAAAGATACCTATATATTTTTTAATTTTCAAAGTAAAATAACTCAGTTATTTTGAACTTGAAAAACATTAAAATGAAGACAATATGTTTCTTTTATTGAGATCTTACCAACCCTGAAAATATTTGCATTTATTTAACACTCACCTTGTATATACGCTCAATTTGTTCATATTAGTTTATCTGCTGATGATGCTAACATGGTTAGAGAAACGCGCCTTCAGTGTTAAAATTAAAGTGGTGTGGTATATATTGTAGTTAATTTAGTAATTATGTGTTCCATTTTTAAATTATTTTCATATTGATTAAGTCCATAATAGTGTTATATTTGTTCATTAAAAATGCACGAAAAAAAATATTCTTTTTTAGACTTATTGATAAAAGTCTAAGCATTATTTGACACACTTTTCTTTTCTATAACTTTATTAAGAACATATTTTTACAATTTTATAAAATGAAAGGTTACAAAAATTAATTTATACTCTAGTGATCTTCAGCAATAAAATCCATAATATCTCGAACCATATCTTTCATGCACTTGTTATAATACTCATCATTCCACACCAAATCAATTAAAGCTCTTCTGTTTTTATTAACATAATAATCAAACTTCTCTGGATTAAAAAATACATCTTCCCTAATCTTAGGCTGTAATTTCGCCATGTGAACTATCATACAAGTAGCTGATAGGACAGCTGATTTAATATATTTGATACTTTCATTAAACTCATCTCTTGGAAAAACTTCTTCGGGATCGTAATGGAAATCTTTTAAATATTTGCTAATGTCCTGATAATATTCCTCGACAAGCTGATCGATATATTTCAATCTCGTGTCTCTCGATGAACAAGAATAAATAAAAAACAATAATTCAAACACTGGAGGTATGTAACGTAAAATTTGGAAATCGACTAAGATAGCTTTGAATACAGCATCGTTTTCGTCAAAATGGAATAACATGTTTCCTAAATGCATATCTCCATGGTTCATTACGTTTCTAAACTTTTCAGATGTTAGAATCTTTTTAAATAACGATTCGTACATTTCATCCGTCCTGTGATAAATTTCATCTTGTGTCAAATTACTTTTTGCTGTGATCTCTGGACAGAGATCTAAAATATAATGTATAGCGTCTTTAGTACCATTGAAAATTTTTCCTATTTGGGTTTCTTTATCATCTATGTATATGGTTTCCGTAAATTTTTCCGGATAAAGTTCATCCATTCGAACCCTTTTTCCATTACTTCTCGACAAATTTTCTTCTAAAATTAACGTTGATACAGCGAACTTAGCCAACAACGATACTACCGCTTTCAATTTGTGAAAATCCAGGTTTTGATTTACTTCCATCCCGCGGAATCCAACCTTTGCCAGGTCTTCTAATACTATCAACCATTTTGCTCTGCTCAAAAAGCATTGGGGTGCGAAGTCTAGTATATCCTTTAAACCATGTTCTTCATATAAGGGTAAAAGCGTGTAATAGAAGAAATGCTCTTTCTCAGCTGGACCACTTTCAACGATATCTCTCAAAAATTCGGTGTGAGGAATAATGACTTTGACAAATAGGTGCAGAGTATTACTTTCGCCTTTACGGGTAACTTTGATAGTTAAATTGAAATACTGTCCTAAATGGCCGTTTTTAGTGTCCAACTTTTTCATATCATAGTCGTCCAGTCTATATTCCTTGGAATGGAACTTGTTCTCGACAATGTCATAAATGTCTTCTTGGTTAATAAGTGGATTCTTTAGAAACCGCGATGTGTTTGAAATAAGGTCTTCAGATGCTTGTGAATTAATCACGATTTGAAATTTTACTATGGGGAGTAAGACTCTGACTGATGTTTCTCTGTAATAAGTTGTTAGCTTTGATGAATATTCTGGAAAGTAATTTTCTATCGATGTCGTCAGTTGCTGGAAATAAACATCAAGGAGCTCAGAAAAATGCTTTCGTCGAAATTCTTCGGTAGTACAAATAAAAATGTACAGCAAGGCATCGTATACAGGAGGAACAGCTTTATCGTTCCAAGATTTTAAATTAGCATTTTCTTTGTTTCTTACAGGAAATCCAACACTGTTTACTAGTAAACCAGCTGTAAATATTTTCCCGCCATCTACCTCCAAACATTTTACTGCGGTATCTAAATTGTCTTTATAGGAATCTGTAAATATATTCGTTGAAATTGCTGTGTCAAGTAGATGTCGTAACTCATAACTTTCAGTCTCCCGTGGTGTTTCTTCGGAAGCTAGATTTCGTGATTGGTAAATAGCTAAAGCCTTCAAAATATCTTTCATGTAAATTGTTAAGCTTTGTATTTCTGTGCTGGTCCTTTCAAATGCTATATATTTTTCTGTGTTTTTACCTTGAAAAGTGAATACCGGAGGTAGTGTGGAAATTTCTCTAATATCACCATATCCTTTGATTTTATTTGAACTGATTGCTTTTACTACCACGTATTGTTTCGCTCCCGTACCGAACTCGATATCAAGAATAGAAAAACCTTGTTCGTTTTTGCACTGTTGTAACGTAACATTAAAGCGCGAGTCGTTGGGTATTTCAAACACACTTCGAAGCGTACTTGTTATGTCGGGAGAAGTCATTTTAAACTGATGAATCTTGTTGTAGTCTACTGAATATATACATTTAGTATCTGTATCTAAATAAAGAATAGGTACCAAAATTTTTATCGTAACGGATAATCTTATGCTTATATTGATTTACCTGTTATTTATCAATGATTAATAGATATTTATGTAGTATTGTATAAAATGCGTGTATTATATTAATTGATAAAATCTAATTAATATGTGACTCATAATATCCTTATGTCGATAAACAAAAGTATGTGTCATAGTTTTAGGAAAAAAATAATATAGCCGATAAATCAAATTATAATATTGTGTTAAAGTATAGAGCTTATGTAAAAAAATGTTAAAGACACGTTTTTCGGAAAGCAAGAATTTGCTCAATTAGGAACGATTACTTGGGAGTGTTTGAGAAAATGTCTGAAATATTTCTTTTTCCCATTTTTGTTTCTCTGTTTTACGACTCAGGTAAGATTTCGTATGGCATATCATTGTACTCTGGAGACCGAGTTCTTTCAAAACTTGAAATACAAATTGCAGGTCTGTATTTAAAAAAATAAGTTGGGCTTTGTATCCCACAAACTATCAGCTAATTTGAAAATCTAAAAATACTATCAGATAGCCCTAATAAAGTGACTATGGGAATGTGCAATTAGTTTTTTGATTTTCTAAAAAGTAATGACAGGAAAAAATATAATCTTCAAAAAATCATATTTTCAAAAAAACTCCGCAATCCTTGAAATTTTTTTACGGCATCTTGGTGAACATCTCAAAGAGCAACTTTGCCTCAATTTAAAACCATGTTTGTATCTATTACGTTTACCGAGATATCAATGCTCGTACCTCGAATTTGTAGCACCCTGTATATATATCCGTCATGCGTCGTCGCTTGTTGTTCTTAAACAGTCTTATGTTTTTTTTTCCAAAAATGACAGATCATATTCCAATATGATTGAAGTGACGAGTATCTCGACTTAAGATTTTTGTAACTTGTCAAGCTTTTATCAAATTAAAGGTTATAATTTGTGCCAAATTATGCGAAACAAACGGTGTTCTGGAAAATAATAAATATTTCCCAAGTAGCATTTTTGGACATTTTACGTAGTGTTTCTAATAATTATTGTGTCTGTTTCTTGACACAAAAGGGAAGCCACAAATAGGAAACATTTTCGAAACCTATATATTTTATATGGCTTGACATGTATTTCCAATGTGGTGGCACTAGCCGTTTCCTCAAATGTTTCGATGCGGAATCAAAATTTTTAGAGGAACGGTTTCGAAACATTTTCTGCAATTTGTGTCCAAGTTTTCAGAAGCCACTGTTTCTAATTTGATTTCTTTTCATATTTTGAAATAATCATTCGTAACTAAAATAAAATTATATTAATTTCCTGCTTTGCATTCCAATTGTATCAACTTATTTCTTTGTAAAATAAAATAAACTCTTTGAAATAAAAATGACAGACACATCTATCGCTGTAAAGGGTTTTGGTATTGGAGAGACTATATTAAATTGAAAAATTTTAATGAGACCTATGTATATATCTCTCCATTAATGTTCTTTTCAGACAAAATAAAACAACAGTCTATCTTCAATGCATTCAAATATTTAACTATAAATTCCGGACACGTATTTTGCTAACCATGTAAGCATTATCAGAAATCCAGGGCAAAATATATAGACTTTGTGTATACATATATATATATATATATATATATATATATATATATATATATATATATATATATATATATATATATATATATATATATATATATATATATATATATATATATATATATATATATTAGTCGGTTTAGAACGTTTATCTACGTTGTCCGATACCCAATTTCCAGCCTGTTCTATTCGTACAATCCTCTGTTGACAGGTTTCTTTCATCTTATCTTTGACTCTGACCTCTGACTCATCGCTTTGTGTACGCTTTTTTGCCATTCCAGGTTTGGTCTTCCCTGTTTTCTTCTGCCCTTTGGTTGCCAATTGATTATTTTCTTGGGCCATCTAGTGTCCTTCATTCGTTCTACATGTCCGTACCAGATCAGCTGCTTTTTCTCTATATCCTGTGTTATCGTACCTTCTATACCCATTTGTTGTTTTATGGTATTATTTCTTATTCGTTGTTGTCTTGAAATTCCCATTGATCTTCGAATGACATCCATTTCTACGGCCTCTATCCTCTTCTTGTATCTCTCAGTTATTCTCCATGTTTCTGCTCCATACAGGAGGTTGCTCTTTATCATGGTTTCATATATATTGAATTTTCTTCGCTTTGTTATTGATTTGCTCCATAAGATGCCATTTTGACATCCGATTATTTTTTTCGCGTTGATAATCCTTTTCTCTACTTCTCTGCCGTCAGTTCCAGTGTTCCAGTGTGTTCCAGTATAGACTTTGTCCAGAGTACAAAATTAGGTCTTTTAGTGTGTTGTGGTGAACTAGTTTTATTTCGTTGTTGTAACGTCAAAAGTTCCAACCTCAAATGTATTCTATTCAGTAGTTTTTAAAAAGAAACAGTTTTTGTTGAAAATACAATATCGAGAAAAATAAATAACGAATGAAGATATGAAGACAAAAATCAACTTCCAAATAACTCAGAAGTGATATTCAATTATTCAATTCCTTTTTTTACTAAGAAAACATTAAATTTTGATGAACCCCCTCATAACTATGTATATTTTGAACCTTAAACTTTGAAATCTATTGGATAAAAAGCCATGAAATGGAAGTCTCTGCGGCTTGTGCGCATATATTGTCATTCTGTAAATTAATGAAAATTGATAATATAACAATTTACTCAAAAATAAAAAACAAACAAGAGGATACTCACAATTTGTATCATAAGAGAGATTATATTAAATTAAAACTTCTAATTAAAATTTAGGTCGAATAATTAAATCTGCATATTTCTTTTACATAATAATATGTTTATAAGTTCGTCATTTTATAGACATTTAATAATTGAGTAACGTCAGTAGTTCTAATAATATTTTCAAATGACATGATTACCTTAACCTTGGACGTTGCCAAGGATAATTTATCTATTACGATCTGTCTATTAAACCAGCTATATCAATTGATATTTAACATAACCAAATATAGTAGCACACTTGATATGTATATAAATAATTCACAATTGCGCCACATATTAACTAGTGATTTGGTTAAGATGCATCTCTAGGAATATCGTCATTAACACATTAGATAAAATTTGACAACAACGATTGTCAAATGGCAAAAGAAATATTTCAAACATTTTCTCAAACACTCCCAAGTAATCGTTCCTAATTGAGCAAATTCTTGCTTTCCGAAAAACGTGTCTTTAACATTTTTTACATAAGCTCTATACTTTAACACAATATTATAATTTGATTTATCGCCTAATTTATCGTCTGATTTATAAGCTTATAATTTGACTTTAGCTAAATTATTTGACTTTGTAGTATACCTTTCTAAATTAAAAATTAATGTTTCCATCTGTCAGTTATACGAGGGAACAATAATTTTTGAATACCTGGTAAAAGTTTGAAAAACCATGTGGAATGAGTTAAAAAACCACGAGGAATTTGAAAATAATTTTATTATATCGGTGCATGTTTTCTCGATAGTTAATTTTTTTAATATATAATTGCAGCAAATCTATAGTTTCGTACATGCGTTTTTGTCTTTATTGCCTCGAGGTGTTTAAGTAAAGAAATGGCATGACATCGTGCGCTGGAAGAACATAAAGACCACTTCGAAAATCCACCAGCTAACAATAAACAACCGCATCATTTTTCTTTAACATATCATTTAAAGCTCAAATATCACCGTGGCACAATACATTACAATGCTTTTTGGATGGTTCAACTTGTCGATAAATTTTATATATAGATATGTTTATAGAAAATCTAGGAACTAGTGGGGTTGCAGTCGGAAGGGTTTGGACTAGCAACTCAACTCAGTTGCTTTGCGCCTACATGCCTTAGATTGAGATGCAATTGAAATGTGCTCGAATATCTCGCAAGTATTTACAACGTTTTATTTAATAATCAGGCGGCTTAATTGCCCCAAGATATAGTCTGTGAAACGAATATCTTTGAATTTGACAGTTCCAGCGGGCTTTTCTAGTGTTAATTTTATTAGGTTAGCAACTTGCGGCCATGCTGACGCAATGCCGTCTCTAATAGAACAGCCTCGAAGAGAGATTTATAACGTCACGCTAGTTAAATACTACGGATTAATAAATATCTTGTAGAATACATGGAAAACATAATAATTCCTCGTATTTTTGGTTTGTATTTTAAAAATGATATAGTTTACATGAAATATACATAATATACAGTTAATAAATACAATATATATATACCTATTTATAGTAATAAATAACTTTCGCAAATAAACCAAATAAACTATGAACCATACAAATGCAGCAAATGTTTTACAATATACAAATAATGAATAGGTACATAAGATAATGGGTAAAATGTAAAATATATTTTAAATTTTGGTGTTTGAAAATCGATCTAATTTAACAAACAACATTCAATATCTACTACTTACTATGGCTGAAATCGTATTCCATAGTCAATGTAGATAGTTTTAGTGTCAAGAATAATAACTTAAAAAATACGTGGTCATCTTTTGAGAAGTTTATGTTAGTTTATTAATTGCAGTAAACATTATGTGGTGTGAATATTTTATATGTAATTTTTTGGATTATATTCGACACTATTTTTTTCATATAACACAACTCTGCTGAAGGCTATAATGTTAGCCGAAACGTTTTTTTTAACCAAAAAGAAATAATGAAAAAACAAATGAAAACTTAATCAGCGTTTTTCCCGAACCTAAATCCCAAGAAAATAAAAAAATTTAGAATAATTTTACATATAAAATGACAGCGATCTTTATTTCATAGCCATCGCTGCAGCCTTTTTTCTATGATATTGTATTATTTGCAAATATAATTTTTCGAACATTGATACTGGCAAAATATACATATACATTTTGTGAATGCAAATAATAATACATCACTATTAGTAGATATTGAATGTTTTTTGTTAAATTAGATCGATTTTCAAACCCCAAAATTTAAAATATATTTCACATTTCACCCATTATCTTATGTACCTATTCATTATTTGTATATTGTAAAACATTTGCTGCATTTGTATGGTTCATAATTTATTTGCCAAAGTTATTTATTACTATAAATAGGTATATATATATTGTATTTATTAACTGTATATTACGTATATTTCATGAAAACTATATCATTTTTAAAATACAAACCAAAAATACGAGGAATTATTATGTTTTCCATGTATTCTACAACATATTTATTAATCCGTAGTATCTAACTAGCGTGACGTCATAAATCTCGCCGAGGCTGTTCTATCAGAGACGGCATTCGTCTGATATTTAGAAATGTCAAAAGCTGATGACATTTTACTTTTGACAATTGTGTTGATTTTTGTAAGAAGAGGAAGAACTGTCACTTGTTTTATTATTTTCCTTTTCTATTTCACGAAAGTAAAAAGAGTTACCTATCTGATTCGTTCAGGCACTCAATTTAAAGAATTTCAGTAACTTTTTGACAGAGGAATTTTATATTTACCATGTTGGTAAAAAATAACGGTCAAAATTCAAAGTTATTCATTTTATAGACTATAGCACTTAGTGTGGTTGACTGGTCAGTGATGTTTTTCCTGTGGAGATCCAATGTATCTCTCAAGCCTATTTTTTAATGTAGTTCTTAATGATGTTTTTTTTTTACCACGTTGATGTCCTGAGGATGGAATAAATAAATTCCGAAAGCTTGACTATTAACAAAATGTATTAATTCTAGTCCAAACCCTTCCGATTGCAACCCCACTAGTTCCTAGATTTTCTTTCTCGCTAGTCAGTCGATACTACTGTCTAATATTTTATATACACTCACCGGCAAAAAAAACCGGCCACTAAAACTAGTCCCAATTTCAGAGTTGGATTTCTCGCGAACCACCCATTAGATTTTGATGATTTTTTTTTTAAATTGTAAATTAATTCCTTCTTAACGGATGCTACGTCAGAAATTTTTATTCCGAATTTATTTTGAGCATATACAGGGCACAACAATAATACGAAGTTTTTTGCTCGAACTTTGTGACACCCTGTAGGGTGCAGCAGTTGTAGTAGCTATTGCTACTGCAACAGCTTTGTATGTATCAAATCACATTGTAGCCTCATCTTTTGTGAGCATTTTGTTTTTTTTTAATCACGACATTATGTCTGTATGTACTGGAGATACGCTGCTTTAAAACGAACGTCTCGGAAAAATGCTTTGCAGGCAAAACCGCTATCAAACCAATTCACATGTAAACGCGCAAACTGAAGACGTGCTCAACGATGTCTTGAAAGTAGCTGGGGTCCTGTGGCAGGCCTCCTTGCAGACAAGCTGTTTTCTTTTAGTCTTCGTTGGATTGTTCCCTCACTGACTTGAGTTTTACGCACGCTTTGTAGCAGATGTTGATTCTGAAACGCTGTAATTCTACGATTTCGTAAAGTATTCAAGACAATAAAGCGGTCGTCAATTGCATTTGTCTTCCGTTTTCTTCCGGAGCCCACTCGCCTGTTGAAATCTCCCGTTTCCATATACCGATTCCAGGCATCCTGGACTGTTGTTCGAGCCTTCGGCCATCCTCAATTAAAGCGACAATACGAGCAACATCCGTCACAGATAATGACATTTTTTAATTTGACAATCGTTGTTGTCATATTGCAAATACTCATAAATCCGTTTTCACCTATATCGCCTTGAACATAAAACTTTCTGCCTGCGAAACATTTTTCCGAGACGTTCATTTTAAAGCAGTGTATCTCCAATAAAAAGTGAGGTAATGTCGTGATTAAAATACAAAATGCTCACAACAAATGAGGCTACAATGTGATTTGATTTAGCAATAACTACTAGAGCTGCTGCACCCTACAAGGTGTTACAAAGTTCGGGCAAAAAATTCCGTCTTATTGTTGTCCCTGTATATGCTCAAACTAAATTCGGAATAAAAATTTCTGACGTAGCATCCGTTAAGAAGGAATTAATTTACAATTTAAAAAAAATCATCAAAATCTAATAAATGGTTCACGAGAAATCCAACTTTGAAATTGGGACTAGTTTTTAGTGGCCGGTTTTTTTGCCGGTGAGTTTATATTTAGAAATATTTTTTTCATGCCTTTCAAGAAGTTCTGACTACTCATTAAAGTTTCCGGCATTTGAAACAACCTTATTCAATAAAGAATCTTTGTTTGGAAAGTCGTCACTGTCACAATATAATCCTTTAATCTGTTTTCATTGCCATTTATTATTCTAAATATTTCTCCAAACCGATTGGACTTTTGTTCTTCGTCGATAAGGGAACTAGTGTGAAGTTGCGCTAGAGATTGCAGAACAACTAAAACAGTACTAAAATCGAAACACTTAGATTTATCTGGCATTTTATACCCTTCTTCTAGTAAATTATCCAGTAATAGATAATCATTCGATTTTAATAAATATTCAAGTTTATTTATGTAAAATTAGTGAATAAATAATGAATAATCGGATGAAAATGTGACATTAATTGAAGATATTGTCAAGCATATACAGTTGAAAATTTAATATAATTTTTCGAAAATGCAACTAGATTTAGAGAGAGATATTTGGTAAGAAATAATTTAAATATAAACACAACCTCTAGTTGGCCTTATAATATTCGGTTAATACGTTGTACCATTTGTAGAATTTTATTATATAGTTTCATTATTTTCAATTTGGAAAGCTATATCGCCTTACTTATGAGCGAATTTCATGTTGTTCAAATTTATATTTATTCGAAAAAACATACTTAAATTTTTATTAGTTTATTTCAATGTGATTTTGGTAAGTATGGTAGGTTATTTGAGTAAATATTTTATTTTTATTGAGACTATATTATCATAAAGAACATAAGTTATGGAAAATCTAGAGACCTGTACGATACATATCTCTTAGATTTTTTGTCCGTCGCCCAGCATTAGGCAGAAATCCTTCAGGTGAATGTGTTAAGACCTTTCATTTCTTCTGTATTTTACATATACCTTGCTTATTTTCTTATTAGATAAATCAAGCAGTTTTATTTTTATTTAGCTATTCACTATTTAAACTTTTCTTGGAATACCGATAAACGAGTCAAGACTATCCTATAAAGTTAAGATATTCTATTAACCTCAATGGTCTGTAAACTTTGCTAATACATTTAGATTTGTAGATTTATCAGTGTTTTCATAAAACCAGATAAAGTATTATCTAAATAATAATTAATCAAATTATGCGGCTTGTAAAAAGTAGACAGCTTTCAGAAATTTTATAAAGTTTATTATAAATCATAATATTATATTATTACATCTTGAAAAGTTGATTGTATAAAAATATTAGAGAATTTAATTCAAAATACTTTACAGTCGATTAAAACGATAGCCTGTTTGTTAGAATTATTTCAATTTCCAGGAAACAATTATTACTCTGTTTTTATATCATAATAATGGCACATAAGATTATTTAGCCAATATTTAAGGCTTATATTAAAATGATGTTACACAATGTAAAAATATATTTATTTTTATTTTGAATTACAAAAAGTACAAATATTTGCTGTGAGATTTTACTGAGTAAATACAGTTTTACGAACACATTGTTATGCTACTTGTTCACATTGTTCCCGAAGGTCTTCAATAGATTCCTTTGCTCGTTCAACGTACCACTTGTACTTCTGATTTTCATAAAATAAGATACTTCTATCACCTCTGAACACCTTATTATACAGCTCATTATCACACAGAAAATTTTCGACAATATCTCGATCTGCCAAGATTAATGGTATAATATTTGCAGCTAAAAGTACTCCAAACAACTTTTGTTCTTCACAGGAATCCAAAAAAGCATCAAATGTAATGATTTTATTTATTGCAAAGCCGGCGTTTTTCAGATATTTTTCTAAATAATTGTAGTAAATGCCGATAGCTTCGTACATGCGTTCTTGTCTTAATTGCCTTGAAGTGTTTAAGTACAGGAATGACATGACATCGTGCGCTGGAGGAACGTAACGACCACTTTGAAAATCTACCAGCTTACAAGAAACAACCGTACCATCTTCATTTTCCTTTAGCATGCAATTAGAAGCCCATAGATCACCGTGACACAATACATTACGGTGCTTTTTAGATGATTCAACTAGTCGGTAAATTCTCGGAAATAATTCTTCCACGCGTTTCATAAAGTTCTTACCATTCTTTAAAGTTTCCGGCATTTGAAACAACCTTATTTCACTTTGAATGCATTTGAAAGTTGCATCTACCGAATCTTTGTTTGGAAAGTCGTCACTGTCACAATATAACGTGTCCTTTAATCTCTCTTCATTTCCATGTAGTATTCTAAATATTTCTCCAGACCGATTGGACTTTTGTTCTTCGTAGATAAGGGAACTAGCATGAAGTTGCGCTAGAGATTCCAGAACAACCAAAACAGTACTAAAATCGAAACACTTAGATTTATCAGGCATTTTATACCCTTCTTCTAGTAAATTGTCTAGTAAAAGATAATTATTCGGTTGGTAAACATAGCACCGGGGAGTGCATTTAGTAATAATATCAATTTTATCGTTCCTAAAATCTGAAAATAAATCATATACAAATTCTTCTCTAGTAAACGAGCCAGCACCCTCAGCGAACCCTTTTAAGCACTCTTGTTTGGGGAACAATTTTGTAAAAAAGCTCACATTGATTTCATTATTCGAATCTCGATTGAGAACGTTGACCCTAACAAAACCATGATCTCCTAAAAGTCCTACTTTTTCTTCTACATAGCTAGTATCATAAGATAAAATCTCAAGGTTACTAGTGCCAAGTTTCGTAACTAAAGCTGTTAAAATATCATCTCTAGATATTTCAAGCGACATTCTAAAATTGAATTGTATTTTTATAGAAAAAATAGTTGTTAATTTGCATGCAAACCTACCTTAAGAATATTTTATAACCTTATATGGATAATTTTCGGTCAGTGCACACTCTAACGCTTTTTCTAAAAATTATGTATATTTCAAACATATAATTTTGCCATATTATTTCTTATCTATTTTCAATGATTCTGCTTATCTCTTATCAAATGTAAATATTTATTGTTCTTAATTACATAATTAAGAATGGTATTCACTCTGAACATCGTTTTTTAAACTTGTAAGATCATTCAAAAATTCTACCTAAATAAATAATCTATATGACCGCAATAGTGCGTCGGGCATCTGTAGCTCCTAGAATAAAAAACTTGAGAATTTTGTTTAAGTGTAAACCTAAAGTATGTACCAGGATGTATTTCAGGAAAATAGTTTAACTTCTATAGGGTGTTAAAAATTCTATAGGCTTCTTAAAAAAAATATTAAAAATACAAGAACTGTTCTGAAATAAAAATTATAATAGGTATTTGCTTTAGATGGTCTGTACTTACTTTGCTATAAATATGAAAATCGGAAATCATACAGGATGTTCAAGATTCTAGGCCAAACTTTCTAAAATATAAAATAATACTTCTTCGTTTTTTTTAATGGAACACCCTGTATATTATTTTTTTTTTTGAACAGACTGAGAATTAAAAAAATGAACATTTTTGTATTTAGAGTATGCGGTATTTGCGGTTTTATATTTTATATGGCATTTTCCACAGTAAATTTTTATCAAAGCCACCCAATGATTTTTCTCTCGTATTTTACCATTGAAAGCGCCATATTAAATAATACTGCGTGTATCTGCGAAACCGTTAAAAATTTTGAAATACTCTAAATACAATCTCTCCACCTAATAAAAAATAATATACAGGGTGTTCCATTTAAAAAAAAACAAAGAAAACGTATTTTATATTTTAGAAAGTTTGGCGTAGAATATTGAACATCCTGTATGATTTACGATTACCATATTTATAGCAAAGTAAGAACAGACCATCTAAAGTAAATACCTAATCTAGTTTTGATTTCAGAACAGTTCCTGTATTTTTAATATTTTTTTTAAGAAGGGCTCAAAAATATATACAGGGGGGTCCGAACTGTATTCCGGAAACTTATCAGCAGCATATTCTGTAGATAAAAATAAGTAAAAAAGTTCGTATAAATGTATGTCCTAAAATTCTTAGTTTCGGAGATACAGGGTGTAGAAGTTTCATTTTTATTTCGATTTGTTCCAAATAATTTCTGAAGTAACGTCAATATTTGGATGAAAATTGGTGTCTGGGAGTTTTTTGACATGAGAAATTTGATTTTGATGTCAATATCAATCCTACTAGTAGAGGGCGCCACCTACATATTTTTTAACTGGTTTGAAGACTAATAACTTTTTGTCCGTACCTGTTTAAAACTACTGAGTAAAAAAATATACATTTACGACACTTTTTACGTGAAACAGGTCTCTTGGTAAAAATCGCTACGAGTAACGGTTTTCGAGATATTTGGAATCGAAATTATCAATACCGGTCATGATTGACATAAATTAAACAGGTTGATTAAATAGTTATTAGACTGAAATGATAAATTTGAAATATTTTTGTGCCAAAAATTCAACAGAAACTGTTTTATCATCATTTTTTGCAGAAAAATTTATGATTAATTTAAAAAAATAAAAATTTCACAAATGTATTATCTCAGTGAAATATAACTATCTATTCAACGTGATTATTTTTCGTCAATAATGACATGTATTGACTATTTCATTTCTAAATATCTTAAGAACGGTTGCTCGTAGTGATTTTTACAAAGAGATATTTTTGACGTAAAAAGTCACAGAGATGTATATTTTTTCTCTCGGTAGTTTTATACAGGTACGAACAAAAAGTTATTACGCTTCAAAACAGTTAAAACACATGCAGGTGGCGCCATCTACTAGTAGGAGTGATATTGACATCAAAATCAAATTTATCATGTCAAAAAACTCCCAGATACCAATTTTCATCCAAATATTGATGTTACTACAGAAATTATTTAGAAAAAATCGAAATAAAAATGAAGCTTCTACTCCCTGTATCTCCGAAACTAAGCATTTAAGGACATAAATTTATACGAACTTTTTTACCTATTTTTATCTGCAGAATCTGCTGCCGAAGTTTCCGGAATACAGTTCGGACCACCCTGTATATTGAATTTATTTTTTAATATCTCTGAAACTATCGAAATATATTTATTCATATCTTAGGGTTATGTAAAGTGATCTGAAAGGAAGCCAAAAATGCAATAATATACAGGGTGTTCCATTTAAAAAAAAATCATCCAGGTCCACTCACACTTTTTTGAGCCACCCTATAGAAGTTAAAATATTTTCCTGAAATACATTCTGGTACATACTTTAGGTTTGCACCTTAAACAAAATTCTCACATTTTTTATTTAGCGGAGCTACAGATGCCCGACGCACTATTGCCGGATCCTGTATGTAGTTTAACAACAATAAAAATGACAATAAAAAAATTGTTAAGTCACTATGGGTGCATATGAAGTGAAACTTCCCACTAACAGCTCTTAAATTGAAAGACTTGAAGGACATATTTGGAAAAATGTAGTTTGAAATGTTGAAAAAGTAATAAATTAAAAGAATATTTTTACGCCTAGAAAATAGTTTTTTACGTGTAACAAATAGCTTTTAACGTGTCACAAATAGTTTTTTACTAGCAAAAAATATTTTTTTTTTGTGAAACAAATATTTTTTTACGTGTAACAAATAGTTCTTTACGTGTAACAAATAGTTTCATATTACGCGTAAAATAAAAAAATTAAATAGTTTTTACGTGTAACAAATACTTTCTTACGTGTAACAAATAGTTTTTAGGCGTAAAAAATAGTTTTATATGCGTAAAATAGTTTTATATGCGTAAAATATTTTTTACGCGTAAAAAGTAGTTTTTACGTGTAACAAATAGTTTTATACGCGTAAAATAAATAATAAAATAGTTTTTTTACGTGTAACAAATAGTTTTTTACTCGTAATAATTTGATTCACTTTCACAAAATTTGTATTAAAACATTTGAAATGTTGAAAAAGCAAAGAATATTTTTTTAAGCGTAGAAAATAGTATTTTACGTGTAACAAATAGCTTTTTACGTGTAACAAATAGCTCTATAAGCGCAAAAAACTATTTTTTGCACACAAAGTAGTTTTTTTGTAGTTGTAAAAAATAGTTTTATATGCGTAAAAATACTTTTTACACGTAAAAAGTAGTTTTACGTGTGACAAATAGTTTTATACGCATAAAATTAATAATAAAATAGTTTTTTTACCTGTAACAAATATTTTTTTTACTTGTAACAAATAGTATTTTACACGTAATAATTTCACGGAAGATTCACTTTCACAAAATTTGTATTAAAATATCAATATTTTTGATAAACATGTGGATTGCTCACCAATACAAGCTACGGCTGTCCTTGCCACTTTTCGTTACAACTAGCTCGTGTGTCACGGCCTTGTCTTGTTATTATGTTATTAAAACAAGTAAAGAAATCTTATCTCCCTATATAGTAAAGTTACATCATTATCAAAAGGAAATTCAGCATGTTGCATTTTTATAATGTATTTTCTTACCTTATAGGTACTACACAAAAATCATACGAAAATATACTTATTAAATCAGCTTTTAAATATAGTTTTTTTTCTTTAATTCGTAGTTAGTCGGACAGCTGGGGCTAGATATAGACTAAATAATGGTCTAGCTCTCCAAATAGACTATTAAAATAAATACAGGTTTTATAAGCTATTTAATGCCTACGAGGTGAACTTCATAACTTGAAATATATTCAGTTAAAGAGAGAAAGAGAGATAAACCGTGAAAAGTTTTTTTTTTATTTTTTCGGAAAATAGGTCGATTATTATTTGAAATTGCAGTATTTTTCACTCAAGAAAATTTTATACACTCCCAAATTTGGGATATTGTATTTATTTACCATCAAATTTTTTATCCAACCTTATTTTTGTTTATTATTAAACTTAACATCTACATACATAAGCTTGACGAATTTTAAATTTTTATTCCTATAAAAATGGAGGCCAATTATTGATGGCTTAAAAGAATGAATAATAAGAGAGGAATATAATTTATTTTCCGGCAAAGTAACCGACAATAGCTTTTATTGACTGAATCTATTACTGGTTAGAGAATCACCCTGTATATATCTATCTAAATATTGGAAATGCCAATTTAGAGTAAATAAAACTAGTCTATTTGCATGGATTTATGATCTAGCAACATAACGTTGAAAGCTGAACTCATTTGAATTTTTTTTATTTAATTTATTGTTTTAAAATGAGAATTAAGCACTATCTATAATTACATATTTTAAAATAAAATTTTGATATTTATTATCTTATAAATAAAAAAATGATCATGCTACAATTTATGTATATTTTTATACATATTTTTTATTACCCTTTATTACGCTGATTTATTAAGGCTGAAAATTTAATTATCTAGGAATAACAAGCTTTATGTGATTATTTAATTTATTACCACTCTATAAATTATCAAATAAAATCCCTATATTTTGCATTGTACATACTTATTACTTGACTTGAAATTATTGACAAAATGGTGAATGAGATTTGCTGGCTTTTTAATTTATTTATTCTTCAAAATAATAATATACCATTAAAATCAAAGGTTAAAATTACATACCCGCCAAATAGTACTAAAAAATAGTAAATAAACGAAGGTCTCTATGAGATCTATAAACAACTTTGATTTTAGAACACATTCTTTTTTAGGCTCTATATTAAATTTAACACACGTTACTGTTTCAGAACGAGATCTATCGATTAAAAATATTTTCAATATGGCGGCATTTCCGAAAATACCGTAAGTTGACAGCAACTTTCTTATTTTAAATGGCCATTATTCTTATTTAAACCCCCATTTTTTATTATATACTTAAATTCTCTGTATAATTTTATGAATTTTGATATCAAACACCATACCTAACATTAACCGTTTTTGAGAAAAAAAATATTTAAAATTTTTGGAGGAAAAAAATGTGTATGGTCTAAACGACAATTTTAGTGATTACCACAGCCACTGTGACATAAAGAGAAGAGATGGCTATCTATTTCAAAAATTAAATTGTTCGAATGTCATATATTATTGGCAGTAGCTGTGATGAAATTGAGAGATTAAAAAATTATCATAAGTCATTTTACTTTTAGCTTATGCCATCGACATATTGCAAGGTGATTAAAACATAAATTTATTTTAAATTTCATATATGTATTTAAATTGTTTAAATTCAATCGTAGATAGCTCGTTATCTTGCTACTATGACCTACCCGAAATTCAAGATGTATTCATTTTTCTGCTTTTAATGATACTGAATAGGTCCTAAATAACAGTGATTTAAAATATACCGGGTGTTTTTCAAAAGTGGCAAGAGGAAACAACCTCACCAAAAATCTAAATCCTATACGATGGCGGGACCAGGTCAAAGGGATGTATGGCTAGATAGAGGACTAGCCATTACTGGCCTCAACCTTGGGGCATCAAGGGGCACCCCATTGTATTTACCCCTTACTTCTGCATGCGGGGCTCTGTAAAAGTGGACCGACTATTCCTAGCGACTTATGGAAACACTATGAGATATAGTATTAAAAACACCACCGGTGAAGCTGTGGGGAAGCCCCCTAGCGACAATGGGAACATTACAAATGAAAGTTCCAAGGGACCAAATCCAAAGGAAACTACAGGAGGGGCGGCTGACACTTGCTTGGTATCATCCTCCACAAGTGGCACACAAACTTCTCCAGCAAGGGTCGGGAGCCTACCTAATAGATTCAATAAGAGACATAAGCTACCGTTTCGTCTACCCGGCCTGGGTCAACCAAGCGGGCTAGACGATCCTGAGAGTAGGTCTTAGCGGAGCAGAAGCACGGAGATACCTCCGACTGCTCAACGAAGGACTTGCGCCAGAGGAAGCAAAAGCGAAAACACTCCTCCGAAAAGAGGAGAGTAAAGATACCAAGAAACAACCTGAATCATCTTCATCAAAGGGCAAGAGAGGGAATGAGAACCTTTCACCTCTTCTCCGACAAGGAGAGAAAAAAGCCAGAATGGAAAGCCGTCCAACACCGGGAGGCAAGCAGGGACGTATCACTAGCTTTGCCGCTAAAGGATTTCCCAGAGGTTGCTCTAACCACCGACCAGCAAACATCTCTAGAAGAGGCTATACTGGACGAAGTAGTGGCGATCGGATCGCAACACAACGATCTACAAAATGTGGGTCAGCTGTGTTTTGCGGGGATACACTTTCGGATGGGCATGATCCTCATAGATTGTGTATCTCAAGAATCGGCGAATTGGTTGGTGGAAATCTCTCCTCAGCTTAAAAATTGGCAAGGGCCGGAACTGGTTGCAGTAAAGGGAGAAAACATCCCTAAAGGGGCGGCAATAACGGTCTTTCTGCCGAGGAGCAAGAAGAAAGACACCACCTAAGTGCTAACCTGCTGAGCCTTATCCAAGGTCAGAACTTCAATGTAAGGACATCGAGTTGGCGAGTCATCAACTCGAGGGAGGAGGGTCATTGTCAGGTCCTCACAATAGGAATTGACCTCAAATCCAAGGAGGCAATAGAGAAAGAGGGACATATCCTCTATTATAGACACGGGACAACACCGGTATCAAGTCTAAGGAGAGACCAAGTTAAAGAGGTAGAGAAAACGGAGACAGATCCTCCAGCCTCCACCTCACGGGTTCCTCAGCCGGAGGCAAGCTCCTCGACTGTGAAGAGCGGCACGGAGGGCCAAACTCCAACCGTGGAAGGGTGTGTACCCTCGGAGGAAGAACTGTTGTCAGAGGATGATGGGAAATACCCTGTCCCCTCTACAACAGGGGTCTGATGTGTTATAGATTGTGTGATGACTCAAGGAAGGGGGGCACACAATATATCTTTAAGGTCGCAGTGATTAACCCCCCTCTTACTACATTCTACATTCAAAAGTGGTTCACATCTATAACATTTTTCCAGACAAAAAAAACAAGATTCAGTATATTAGTATACTACTTAAATCAGGATTGATTGAGGTATTCAATTATTTGCTGTCAGTTCCTGTTTCACTGGGAATGTTGTGTTTGCACTTTATTTGTTTGTCTCAATAAAATAAAAAAGTTATAGGGGTGAGACACTTGTGAAAAACACCCGGTAGGTAATAAGGAAATCGGCAATCAGTAATACAAGAAAATTTATATTAACATTTCAAAAATAGGTACTTAAATTGAATTTTGACGGTCTTGACTTGACGATAACTGTTATTTTAATTTGAGTAATTTTGCCAACAACTAAAACCACAGTCACAGATCATACTGCTTAAATCAAAAAGTCTTTAGAAAAATAACTTGACTTGAAAGAGAATTATTTAAGTCAAAAATTTAAGAAATCATTTGAACTTCATGTTAATAATGACTTAAGACTTAAGTTTTAAGTATTTTTTAAACTGATTTGTTGCACCTCTGAAATCAACTGATGCATGCAATATGAACTGCGACATATTAAAAAAATATAATAAAAATATATTATTACGATGCAGTGCCGTTTTAACATTTTTTTATTATCATAATATGTCTATAGTTTTTTAATTCTTCACACTTTATACATTTATATAATTTAATTTTTTTTTTATTTTCCATTGTATATTTCTGATAAATAAACCACTTTTATTAAAGTTTATTTTATAAATCCGAACAAAAAGGAAAGGAAAGGTAAAAACAATACATATAAAATCCTTTGGTTTCATATATTATTTGCCATACACCTATTATTATTGTATTTTTCCTTGTTCTTTAGTTTATCTAAATTATCATATATCTAGAACTATTTTTTTTAGAAAAATGATGAGATAAATATACAGGGTGGTCCGAACTGTATTCCGGAAACTTCGGCAGCATATTCTGCAGATAAAAATAAGTAAAAAAGTTCGTATAAATATATGTCCTAAAATGCTTAGTTTCGGAGATACAGGGTGTGGAAATTTTATTTTTATTTCGATTTTTTCCAAATAATTTCTGAAGTGACGTCAATATTTGGATGAAAATTGGTGTCTGGGAGTTTTTTGACATGAGAAATTTGATTTTGATGTCAATATAAACTTAGTAGTAGAGGGCGCCACCTACATATTTTTTTAACTGGTTTGAAGAGCAGTAACTTTTCGTCCGTACCTGTATAAAATTACAGAGTAAAAAAATTTACATTTACGATATTTTTTACGTGATAACGCTCTCTTGGTAAAAATCGCTACGAGTAATGGGTTTCGAGATATTTGGAATCGAAATTATAAATACCGGTCATGATTGACATAAATTAAACATGTTGACTAAATAGTTATTAGACTGAAATCATAAATTTGAAATGTTTTTGTGCCAAAAGTGCAACAGAAACTGTTTTATCATCATTTTTTTTGCAGATAAATTTATGATTAATTTAAAAAAATAAAAATTTCCCAAATTTATTATTTCCGTGAAATAACCAAAGATATTTTTTAAGTATCTTTGTAAATAACTATCTACCCAACGTGTTTATTTTTCGTCAATAATGACATGTATTGACTATTTCCATTCTAAATATCTTAAGAACTGTTGCCTGTAGCGATTTTCACAAAGAGATATTTTTTACGTAGAAAGTCACAGAGATGTATATTTTTTTATTCGGTAGTTTTATACAGGTACGGGCAAAAAGTTATTACGCTTCAAAACAGTTAAAACATATGTAGGTGGCGCCCTCTACTAGTAGGAGTCATATTGACATAAAAATCAAATTTCTCATGTCAAAAAACTCCCCGACACCAATTTCCAACCAAATATTGACGTTACTTCACAATATATTTAGAAAAAATCGAAATAAAAATGAAACTTTTACACCCTGTATCTCTGAAACTAAGCATTTTAGGATACAATATTAATTTATACAAACTTTTTTACTTATTTTTATCTGCAGAATATGCTGCCGAAGTTTCCTGAAAACAGTTCGGACCACCCTGTATACTTATTCTACGTGCAACTGATTTATGATATTTAACTATGTCAACTCCCTTATCAACTATAATAATTAGTCGACTGAATTTAAAAACAGTTTATTTAAAAGCAGTAAATTATTTCTCTAAGGATTAAATCACATGTCTGAGTTTATAGTATATAAGTTAATGTATTTTTCCAATTATAAAATATTCGCGTTTGGTTTACATTTATCAAAATCCCCGAAAAATATCATATTTCAAACTAGAGGCACTCGAACTTTAACATCCTGTAGCTACGAAACAAATCAGAATAGGACCTATGTTGATATGAAAAATAAATCTTTTTTAGGTGAAGAATCTCCCCACGAGGAAATGGCACATGTTTTTTGAAACACCCTGTACCTTACCCTGTATTTCTGCTAAAATCAATTATATTTTGTCTTTTATTCTACATTCTTAGCTCAATTACAAAATAAGTTATATTCGTATTTATTAAGAACAATATCCAAAATAACCTTTATCTCAAAAATAATAAATAATATTGCATGAATTCAAAAAATAAATATTAACTGCTGCTGCTACTAAGCTTCTGTCATTATGTCTATGTTTGTATATTATCATAACTTTTGTGTGAATCTCGGTTAATTATAAGTTTATCGAGCAAATGATATATTCTATTCGAAGCTATTACTGCTCAAGTTAATCTTATCGATTAAGATAACTACGCTTTGTTTAATGCGGGAACAAAGTGCATATTTTTGCCAGTCATTCATGGCTTCGATCAAATTTTACGCAATGTTGTACAATTAATATTTATTTTATGCTCGGTAAGTGTATAATAGATTTGCTGATTTATTTTAGCTCTATTATCAAGTTAGATAATTTAATACATTTATTTAATCCCAATTTAGCGTCGGTTAGGTATAAGTAGACAGTATATCTGTACAACTCTCACTCTGAAACATATAATCATATTGAATAGTCAGTTAAAAATAAATATGTTTCAGGAAACGGTTATTGCTAAGGTTATTTTTAATTGCAAAACACGTGACAAAGTTAGTGTTACGAATGATATCAATTCGTTTAACTTTTCTACATTTAAAAATAATTTATCGTTTCTTAAGTTAGTTCTATCGTCGTTGGTGGAATGTCAAGAGAAAGTGTTTGAAGAAAGACTCAACGTTCAAGATAATGATTACAAAATGGATGTGCCAAAGGAGCTGTTCGAGCATTTCACAGATAAGTCCGAAATTGAGAAACAAATATCGTATTTAGAAAAAGAATTCAATCAGTTGCCAAAGAAAAATATTTTCATTCCGACCTTTGCTCCAGCTTTTCTAAATAGAGCTTCAAAAGATGACAAGAAGAAACCAATTATGTATGATGTATTAACCATAATATTTACACTGACTGACTCCAAATTTAGACAGAAACATTTTAGAGAGTTACTGAATTATTATTATCAAACATTTAGTAAGTCTGCTACTCGACTGAAAACTGTTAGTGATAGAAATGAACTTGACTATCAGTTAAAAACTCTTTTACCTCTGGTGAAATTTGAAACTTTGATATATTTGCTAAAGTTTGAAAATACAACTGAACAAAAAGAACTGGTAAATGATTTGAATTACTATGTTAAATATCCTCAGTTGAATAGAGAAGATTGTATTCAAATAATATCGAAAGAGATAGGAACATGCGAATTTGAACTTATGGATTACGAAATAGTTCGTTTGGGTCAAACTCATGGCTATTTAGGAGCGTATTACTCCTTTAGACCCACAGTAAGACATAACGGAGAAATAGAGAAATTTAAACTGTTTGTTAAAGTTTTAGTAGCTAGCAACGAACAATTAACAGCAATTGCACAATCCGGTGCGGCAAAACTAGAAGATATTTTTTATAATACCTTAGTGCCAGAGTTTGCAGAAAACGGTTTGGGCCCTTTACTAGACTTTGCACCCAAACAATATTTCAGCAGACATAATGATGTTTTAGTACTAGAAGATTTGATTGAGCTGGGTTATAAAGCAATTCCTAATGATGCAACGCTAAGTTACGAACAATTAAAAGCCTGCTATATTGAATGTGCGAAATTTCATGCTGTATCATTTATTCTAGAAGACATACACTCCAAACGGGAAGGTAAAATAGTTCGTATAAGCGACCTCTATGGTGAATTTGAAGACTGGATTTTTTTGGATAGAGAAGGTATTCCTACCACTCCACTCTGCACAAAAAATAGTGGTCCTGGTACTTTAGCGCTCATAGATAGTTTTCCTCAGTTTTCAGATGTACTTACCAAGGATGATTTAAAGAAAAAAGTATCAGAAGTATTGGCGAATATTTCTAGTAAGTTGAGTGCCCACAAAACGTTTAGAAATGTTCTTTGTCACGGAGATTTATATGCTAGTAATCTATTATTAAAAGAAAACCCAAGCGATAATTCATGGAGATGTAAATTAGTTGACTTTCAAGCAATGCGTTACGGTCCTCTATTCCAGGATATATTGTTACTTCTCTATTCCAACGCGGAAAAAGAAACTAGAGATAAATATTTTTATATCTTGTTGGACGACTATTATAACGCGTTAACAGCCTTTTTGAAAGAATTTGATTTAGATATTAAAGAACATTATCCACGAAAGGAGTTCATGGAGGAAGCTGAATATATGAAAGGTATACTACTTATTGTCGGAAGTCTATACGTTCAATTACTTATTACACCAGAAAAATTGAGAAAAGAGGTACTGCAAGATAACGAGAAATACCATTATTATATAAAAGTCAATAGGGCAGAGTACATGGAACGATTATTAGCACTTTCCGAAGAATTTTCCAAATATACGGAAGGCATGGTTCGAGATATGTACGATTTTTTTAAAGACTAAATATTTTCTCTATCTTATAGAAATAAGTAAATTTATTAGTACATAGTTTTATTTGTATATACAAATAGATTTTTTACCTAAATAAAATAGTTTATAATTCACTATTGTACGTTTATTTTACTAATGTATGTTTATTGTATTTATGTCTTTTAAAATGTCTGCATTTTAATTTAACTAATTATTTAAAGTTAGTAAAGCGGTAGTTGAGGTGAAGCAGTCAACATCGGAAGATATACAAATCAGACGGGGTGTTCGGTAGGGTTGCGTCTTGTCTCCGCTCCTGTTTAACCTGTACTCGGAGACTATATTTAGAGAAGCACTGGATCGAATCCAGGGCGGAATCAAGTTCAATGGAATCCCAATAAACAATATCAGATATGCCGATGATACGGTTATAATAGCCAACAATATACAAGAACTGCAAAGCATTATAGATTCCGTAGTCCACTATAGTGAGATGTTTGGACTGCATCTCAATGTCTCCAAGACCAAACTATTGGTCTTTTCTAAGACTCCAATAAATGCACACCTGCGTGTCAAGGGACAAACAATCGAACAAGTGACCTCAATAAAGTATTTAGGAGCTAACATCAATAGTCAGTGCGACCCGAAAAGAGAAATATTTTCAAGAACTGAGCAAGCGAGAAAAATCTTCGTGAGAATGAAATCATTTTTTACAAGAAGAGACCTCAGTGCGGATCTCAGAACTCGAATGGCCAGATGCTACGTCTTCTCTGTGTTACTCTATGGATGTGAGAGCTGGACACTGGATTCACAGACCGAGAAGAGAATAGAAGCCTTCGAAATGTATATATATACAGACGGATGCTGCGAATCTCATGGGTACAAAGGATCACCAACAATGAAGTACTCCAGCGCATGTAGAAACAAAAAGAGATACTGAACACCATCAAGGAAAGAAAAATGCAATACCTGGGTCATGTGATGAGAGGTGGTAGATACGAAATACTGCGCCTCATACTTAATAGAGGGCAAAGTGCAAGGGAAAAGATCAGTAGGAAGACGCCAGAACTCATGGCTGAAAGAATTGAGGAGATGGTTTGAACGCTCGTCTGCGGAAATCTTCCGGGCTGCAGTTTCCAGAGCCACAATTGCCATTTGGATCGCCAACCTTCGGCAGGAGAGGGCGTAATAGGAAGAAGAAGAAGAATTATTTAAAATCAGAAATGTTTTAAAAAGTTACTGGATTATTCATATCAAACATTTAGTAAGTCTGCTACTAACTCGACTGAATACCGTTAGTGATATAAATAAACATGACTATCAGTTTAAAATTCTTTTGCCTCTAGTTAAACTTGAAATTTTGATATATTTGTTACAGTGTGGTAGTACAACTGAACAGAAAGAACTTGTAAATGATTTGAATTACTATGTTAAATATCCTTAATTCAATTGAGAAGATTGTATTCAAATAATATCGAAAGAGATAGGAACATGCGAATTTGAACTTATGGATTACGAACTAGTTCGTTGGAGTCAAACTCATGGCTATTTGGGAGACTATTGCTCTTTTAGACCCACAGTAAGGCACAACGGAAAAATAGAGAAATTTAAAGTGTTTGTTAAAGTTTTAGTAGCTAGTAACGAACAATTAACAACAATTGCACAATCCGGTGCGGCAAAATAGAAGACATTGTTTTTATGGTACCTTTGTGCCATTAAAAAATAAAAAAAAATGTATTTAGAGTATTATTTTCGCGGTTTTATATTTTATAAGGCATTTTCCACAGTAAATTTTTTATCAAAGCCACCCAATGATTTTTCTCTCGGATTTTACCATTGAAAGATTGTTCATTTTTTAATTCTCCTCTAATAAAAATATAATATACAGGGCGTTCCATTTAAAAAAAACAAGAAGAAATATTTTATATTTTAGAAAGTTTAGCGTAGAATTTTGAACACCCTTTATGATTTAAGATTTCGATATTTATAGCAAAATAAAAATAGAGCATCTAAATACCTAATACAGTTTTGATTTCACGACAGTTCTTGTATTTGTAATAATTTTTTGGTTTATTTTTTAATATCTCTGAAACTAATTGAAATATATTTAGTATCTTAGGATTATGTAAACTGATCTGAAAGGAAGCCAGAAATGCAATAATATACAGGGTATTCGATTTAACAAAAATCAGCCCGATCCACTCACACTTTTTGGAGAAGTTGTGTACAATATTTTCCTGAAAAACATCCTAGTACATGTCGATAAGTTATAAGATAACCAAGATAACGAACGGGGTCAAAAATGCAACATTTTCAACTAGCCATGTATTTCAGTAACCAAAGGGTCTAGGAGAACAAATCTATCTGTAGCATCTTTAGTTTTATAAAAAAAAAACGGCACAGAGATGTGAAAACGGCATCTTTGTATCTCTATTGTTAAACGAGAAACCCTGTAAAATAGACGAAAACTAGACATCCTGTACATATAATTAATAATTAGTGCACTTGCAGCTTCCGATTGAAACTGTAGGTGTCAACTTTTGATTTACTGCGAACTGCAAAAATGACAACTGATATTAGACGTGGAATATTCAAAGACAATGAAATTAATTTTCTTCCCCTCTTTAGAAAACAAATTAAACGGGGTGCAAAATCAAATTTATTACCTACCAATGTAACTGAATTGTAAGTACTCATGAGAGACAACGGGATAATTAATTTAATTTTTTAAATCCTTTAATTTGGTGATTGGTGATTGGTCTTATATGGAGGTAGTCGTGTGGCATTCACTTTTTTCCTAAGGTTGTACACCCCCAAGTATAGAACTACGTGCCTAAAAGTTTATGTAATAGACAGACAAGTTATAAATTAGTTCGTGGTAATAGTTTTGTTAAAGATTATTTTAATCTCATATATATTCAAACCTTCACCATTTTATCAAGAATTATGGAATTATTGATTCATCGGAATGGGCAGAACTGAGAAAAGGAACTATAGAAATGTAGTTCTAGAGAAAAGCTTAATAGAGATTTGTTAGAACTTAGTAAAGGTATTTTTATTAGATAAAATACCATTGTAACTGACAAACGTACGAACTCACCAAGTGAGTTGGCTGGTTCTTTCTTTTTATTCTTAATCTAAGATTCTTTCCTCTTTTTACTTGACTTGCCTGCTGTTTTTTCTCTATAGTTGTTATATCCTTTATAGTTTTGACTTTAACGCTATATATCTTCTGACTAGGGTGCTTTTTTCCTAATTTAGCGGTTTCTAAAGATGCTTATACTCACTCTATACCAAATGCACCGAATAAATATAGCTAAAACATTGACTTATCTGCTTTTTCCCCTGATCCTTCATTTTGATCATAAATAATGTATTCATAAATAGTTAATACTTTTAAGTACATTTTTTATTGACGGTGAGTAATAATTTATATAGGGTGTTTCAAAAAACATGTGCCATCTCTTGTGGGGAGATTCCTCACATAAAAATAAGATTTATTTTTCATATCAACATAGATCCGATTCTGATTTGTTACGTAGCTACAGGGTGTTAGTCTTAATATTTTTTTGATTTATTATAATTTTCTTTCAAGTACTTTTAGCGTTTCGAATGAAATTTTGATGCTAAAAGTAACTATAAAGGCGACATATGTTAAAGCTAAAAAAAGTGTCGACATGTTCACCAGGAACGTGCATATGGGTTATCACTAGAATATTTTTCAAAAATGCATGTACGCCACTGACTTTTTTTCTCTTGTTAGCAAAATAGTGTAAGCAATTTAATGCCGATTAAAAGTTGTCTCTTGATATTTTGTCGATTTCGGCCTCCTTGATGAGATAAACGCAATTTTATTAATTTGTCTTGGTCCAAGTCGATAACAACCTTTAAAATGTTTTAATATCATTAACTTGCGAAAGTTTTAAATAAGTACTCATTGATTCTTCATCAAAAATATAAAAAAAAGTTCCTATAAACATGGGTATGGAAATGCATAGTTTTAGAGTCTATCTCTCGGTTTATCTTAAATACCATTATTTTTTTATTTGAAACTGCTGTATGTTGTATATTGGATTAATAGTAATAATAACTTATAGTAATAATATTAATAATAAATTAGGTGAAATATATAATTTATTATTTTAATTTTAATTTTATTAATTGTGATTAATAAAATTGCGTTTATCTCATCAAGGAGGCCGAATTGGACAAACTATCAAGAGATAACTTTTAATTGACATTAAACGGCCTACACAATTTTGATCACAAAAGAAAAAAAGTCAGTGGCGCACATGTTTTTTTGAAAAATATTCCAGTGATAACCACGTCCCTGATAAATTTATTGACATTTTCTTAGTTTTGGTTGGGTTTGGTTATTATCATTAAAATATGTAACACTTATAGTAACTTTTACCCCCAAAAATTCATCCGAATCACTAAAAGTACTTGGAAGAAAATTATAATAAATCGAAAGATTATTAAGACTTTAACACCCTGTAGCTACGAAACAAAGCAGAATCTGACCTATGTTGATATGAAAAATAAGTCTTATTTTTACGTGAGGAATCTCCCCACGAGAGATAGCACATGTTTTTGGAACACCCTATATAAAAGTCAAAATTAGGTATTTCAATTTTTCAATACGAATAGAAAAAAAAAATTATAAAAATCTAACATACAGTTTTTGATCAGTTCAGAACAAAATATTTTTTAAGATTTATGAATGATGGTACAACAGCGTTTGATGGAGTTTATTTTCAGAAAAGTACTAAAATAATCTCCTTATCTAAAGAAGTTTATTTTCAAATACTCTTTAAATAACTACAGGATGGATCCAACCTGACGCCCTGATTAATTTTCAATAAAAATACAACATTGGTTGACGCTATTAAAAATGATATTTTTTTTTGTATACACAGGGTAAGTCTTAATATTTTTTTGATTTATTATAATTTTCTTCCAAGTACTTTTAGCGTTTCGAATGAAATTTTGATGCTAAAAGTAACTATAAATGCGACATATTTTAAAGCTAAAAAAAGTGTCGACATGTTCACCAGGGACGTGCATATGGGTTATCACTAGAATATTTTTCAAAAAAGCATGTACGCCACTGACTTTTTTTCTCTTGTTAGCAAAAT